GGGGAAATTCAGTCGAAAAATTAAGGTAAAATCGCTCGAAAATGACCTTTTTTTTCTCAAAAAAATGGATGATTTTTTCACAAATCTTCAAAATGCTTCGTGTTAGAGTATCGATTGATGTTTCTCTTGCATCCAGATGAATTTCTGCGTTGTTTGGAGAAAAGTCAATTTTTGGCCAATTTTGTCTAAAAATGTAAGGCTAACCCCTTGCATTTTTTTCAATTTTGGCCAAAAAATGAAATTGCTTGAAAGTTGCTAGAAAGACGTCTTAAGGGCTGTAGAACGCATTCCAAATCGTGTGGTGGACAGATGTTTCTCTTGCATCCAGATGAATTTTTCTGCGTTGTTTGGAGAAAAGTCAATTTTTGACAAATTTTGACAACAAATGTAAGGCTAACCCCTTGCATTTTTTTCAATTTTGGCCAAAAAATGAAATTGCTTGAAAGTGCTAGGAAGATGCCTTAATGGCTATAGAACGCATTCCCAATCCATTGCTGGACAGATGTGCTATTCAAGGGGAAATTCAGTCAAAAATTTAAGATAAAATCGCTCAAAAATGAACTTTTTTTCTCAAAAAAATGGATGATTTTTGCCTTAATTTTCAAAATGCTGCGTGTTGGAGTATTGATTGATGTTTCTCTTGCATCCGGATGAATTTCTGCGTTGTTTGGAGAAAAGTCAATTTTTGGCCAATTTTGACTAAAAATGTAAGGCTAACCCCTGGCATTTTTTTCAATTTTGGCCAAAATATGGAATTGCTTGAAAGTTGCTAGGAAGATGCCTTAATGGCTATAGAACGCATTCCCAATCCATTGCTGGACAGATGTGCTATTCAAGGGGAAATTCCGTCGAAAAATTAAGGTAAAATCGCTCGAAAATGAACTTTTTTTCTCCAAAAAAGGATGATTTTTGCCTTAATCTTCAAAATGCTGCGTGTTGGAGTATTGATTGATGTTTCTCTTGCATCCAGATGAATTTCTGCGTTGTTTAGAGAAAAGTCAATTTTTGACCAATTTTGACTAAAAATGTAAGGCTAACCCCTTGCATTTTTTTCAATTTTGGCCAAAAAATGAAATTGCTTGAAAGTTGCTAGAAAGATGTCTTAAGGGTTGTAGAACGCATTCCAAATCGTGTGGTGGACAGATGTGCTATTCAAGGGGAAATTCCGTCGAAAAATTAAGATAAAATTGCTCGAAAATGATTTTTTTTTCCAAAAATGGATGATTTTTGCCTTAATCTTCAAAATGCTTCGTGTAAGTGTATCGATTGATGTTGCTCTTGCATCCAGATGAATTTCTGCGTTGTTTTGAGAAAAGTCATTTTTTGGTCAATTTTGATTAAAAATGTAAGGCTAACCTCTTGCATTTTTTTCAATTTTGGCCAAAAACTAAAATTGCATGAAAGTTGCTAGAAAGATGTCTTAAGGGCTGGCGAACGCATTCCAAATCGTTTGCTGGACAGATGTGCTATTCAAGGGAAATTCCGTCGAAAAAATAAGGAAAAATCGCTCGAAAATGACCTTTTTTTCTCAAAAAAATGAACGATTTTTTCCTTAATCTTCAAAATGCTGAGTGTAAGAGTATTGATTGATGTTTCTCTTGCATCCAGATGAATTTCTGTCTCGTTCTGAGAAAAGTCAATTTTTGGCCAATTTTGACTTAAAATGTAAGGCTAACCCCTTTTTTTTTTTTTTTTTTGGCCAAAAAATGAAATCGCTTAAAATTTGCACAAGAAAAAAACAAAAACAAAAACATTAATGTAAACTGAAGAGTCAAACGAAACCGTACAAAACAGGATATTTTGTTCACCTTTAAGGAAGATGTATCTATTTGCTACAACAACTATTTAACGCGCGCAGACCGCGCGGTTGCATAATAAAGCCGGCTGTATAAATAGAAAAAAAATGAAACGCGTCAAATTATGTGTAATTTAATTTAATCGTTTCCAAAGCTGAGCAATCCTTTAATACACTATTCCAACAATGAGATTTCTAACCCCATTTTACCTTTAACACGGCTTCCTGCAAATACGAGATATACGACATGCACTACTTGGCTCATTATACATGTATGAATTTTCGGAGGAATAACCGCTTTAACCTCAAAACATTTAAGGTGTCTGTACCAATTCTTCGAACAAATATAGGTCTGTTACAACTGCGGGTAACGTATAACTGACCGATAATGTCAATAAAATTGACTGATACTGTGTTACCATCCGATAATGTAACAGAAAAAAAAATACTGATATAAGCAGTAAAATGGACAACACTATCAGTCAATTGTTGTTATATTATTTGTCAGAACCGATAAAGTAACAAATATAGTGTAGCAATATTTACTACACTATCAGTCAATTTATGTGACATTATCGTTATTCGTCGGTTATCAGTTGTGACAAGGCCTACAGCAGCAGCGTTGTTGATTCTTTGTCACTCCCCCGGTCATTATTTGTCGTTGTCGTTGCATATGTTGTTCAGTTCACTCACCGGGAAGATAGAGATGGTGAAGCCTGAAGATTTTATTTGTCTTCTTCTTTCAGGCAAGATTCCCGCAACTAGTAGGAGCCATGTTAGCAAGAGCATTCTTGGTTACAGCGTTAGCGCTTTTTGGCAGCTTCCTCGCAGGTGAAGTGGCACGCGAAGTCTTCCATTGCACAGAGACGGGAATCATGTGCTGCGTTGGGGGGTGCTTTTTGGTATGCCTCGGTATTGGGTTTTGTGTTTCAGGGATAGTCGAAGCTGGATTATGATGAGTGTTCTCAAACAAAACTTCACATGCTATAAAGAATAATCTAAGTAGTGAAATAAAGTGCATTTTGCACTGTATTTGTAGGCATGACTGCAAATTTAATACACAAATAATACGCCTTTAATATAGATTGTCAAGTATGCTTTTTCTAAAATCATTTTAATGTGGGAAGCTAAAATCTAATCTGTTCGAGACCTACCAGATGGTATTGAAGTAGTTCAATCTCAATAAATAAGTGTCAAACGTTTACAAAATGTTTTGGATGTTGTGGTCACGTGATAACTCTTGATCAGTTTTTTTTTTTCTATTCAGCACTGCATGTGTAGAATTTGGTATTGAGTGGTTTAAAAGTTTGATTTTGCTAGTAAACGAGAAATTTTTTGGGCTGCATGTTTTGCATTCTGTAATGGACAGGCGGGACGTCACATGTGACGTAGTTTTTAAGATCCTTTGGGGAAGGCATTGACGAATGGTCCAACCTGGGCTGCCTCATGATCCAGTGATGCAGGGCTTAGTATTTTTATGCATCATTGTTGGCGGATCCAGGAGGGGCCAACGGGGTCATTGCCCCCCCCCCCAAAAAAAAATCCCAATATTTCCTTATATTTTCAGGAAATAAATTAATACAATGCGTATCTCTCCGCAGGCCGTAAGTTTTAATATTACAATGTGGAAATATTATATATTTAATCACCTTCCCCTTAAAAAAAAAGACACTCCAGCTATCTTACCCCCCCCCCAACATTTGGTTCTGGATCGGCCCCTGTGCATCATCACCTTGTGTAATTACTGTCTTTTAAAGCTACATGTTTATTTCATCCAAAGGCATCTACCTTAAAATTATTAAATTGTTTTCAGTTTCATGTGATATTGCTTATATCGATACCACATTGTACTGCGTTACTTCGACTGACTGTATCATTGCTGTCTTTTAGTGTTACAGTTTTATTTCATCTATCTACTTTAAAATCATTAAATTAATTTCAGTTTTATGTAATATTTCTTATATCGGTACCACTAGGCCATCAGCCTCGGTCCAAAATTTTGGCCACCGGTATCGAATGAGGGGAATAATCGTCATAGCGATTTTTGGCAAGGTATACAACTCCGGAGCTGGAAAATATGTGATAGCATTGCAGCGGTGGCAGCTTTTTGGGTGTTAATATCTCCCTCTTTTCAAAATGTCCATCAAAATGCTTGTTACCCCTCTAGGGGCGATATACCTTGCGCATGCTCACTATAATCATTTATGCCCTGATTTGATACCGACCAAACCCCCAGGCTGATGGCCTACACATGTATTTCTTGACTTCGCCTAACTGTTTTACTGCTGTATTTTAAAGATACAGTTTTATTTCCTCCCCCTGCCTTAAAATTATTATATCAATTTAATATTCAAGAAATAATGCTTCATTTCGTACCACGTGTATTTTATTTATTTTACCCAAATGCATAGCATTAGTTTCACCTTCAGAACATTAGCGCTTATTTCATGCATAATTGATCAGCTGCGTAAATCCATCTGTTGTCGCTGTGTAATGTTTAATATTTACAGATGTTCTCACATCAGCCGATCGAATATTACCGAATAAACTGTATTAACATATTGTGGTTTGTAATGTGTCAATCAAGATGTTTATGGACCCCTTGTGTTACGGTATACTTTCAAAGGATGAAAAAAACTCGAATTTCCCCATGCATGGCGCTTCAGAAGGTTTAAAATTAAATAAATACACTCAAAAAGATGTAAACTTAACTCTAAAAGAGTGTGGAAAACCACTCAAAAAGAGTTGTCCCCGAAATGGCTCTGTGAAAGAGTGTTCTTTTTTTTTGTACAATCTTTTACATAAAGATGTCAGTCCGCGCACATTGCAGCAAATAAGCAATGCACAATCTGAAATATTCGACTGCTGGCATAAAGACCCTATAACCCGGACGTGTAAATATGTCCTACCACAACATTCCCTTATGAAATCATTTATACGTCACACGTATTTACTACGTCACATCTGCTTTGTATAAGGCCTATTATGTTGGGCTGAATGAACGCGTTTGTTTGCACCATGATGACACCAAACACAATAGTAAAATGCACTCATACAGATCATATTCATGGAAACCGAATGACGAAACTTCCAGTGAACTTCAGTACATGCGATATCCAACCGCGCTGACCATTAGGCAAACAATGGCCAAAGAAGTGGATTTCGCATGCTTCAGTGTTCATGTGACCTCGAACGCGTAGTAAAGAGGGGCTTGGGTGCCAGTGCCAACCACACTGGACAGGTGAGGCACAGCTTTACTCGCACTTGGACATGGCGGCAGAAACGATCAACAGCCATCCGACAGCTTCAGGCAAAAACCAGCCCGGTGATGCTCGGGATACTAGGAGGTTTGACAGAGGGCATCCGAGGGTGCCATGCGAAGACAGCAGAGAACCACACCCACTAAAGAAGGCCGGCCTATTCTCGAAGTTATTCTTCATGTAAGATAAGTTTTTAGCAGCTTCCTTCCTTTGAGCAGATATTGATATGGTTATCAGCAGTTGGGTATCGAGAGGAGATCGAGCAAGGGGGAAAATGACGACATTTGCCCACTTTTTTCTCATGAAAAAGATAGACAGCTCGTGTGGAAACAAACAGAAATTGCGACAGTAGCTCGCTAGTTGCAACCGCTTAAAGTAAAACCTGATCCTGCTTATAACAATTTCTATGTTCTCAAAAACCTGCCATCTTAAAAAAAATGTCACTCCTGGACGAAAAACCTAGATACTCTGCTGATACACAGCCGAGGGTTTTGAATGTATTTCTGCCAGCTGGAAGCAATGAAAACTGAAGGCAACGTACACTGTAAAATGTTGGGCAAATAATGCGTTGGGCAAAATATAAACAAGGCAATATGTATAGGCAATTTTGCCCAATAGTTGGACGTGTGAACTATTCGCCCACCGTTGGTCGAATAGTTAACCCATTTTGCCCAACTTTTTTACAGTGTAAATATCTGAGGGGAGGAGGAGCAATCTGCAGGTTCTTGCATTTTCCGCCGGATCACGATTCTCAATCGTCTCTTGCTTCAGAAAAGAAAGTTTCCCTGATTCAACGTGTACATCTACCCATACAGTCTGTCGCCCATGGTGTAAGAACAAACCGCAATTCACTCTTCTCGTAACTTTACTTTACGTCGAACAAGCATTACCAACCGCCATTCTTACAATGTTAGGACAAGTTATCAACCATTCCGCTACTTTACAACGAACAATAAATATATGTTTTGTCTCTTAGTTGGATGTTTGGATTCTTCCGCCGAGGCTACAAGAGACCTCTCGTCGAAGCAGACTTGTATGACGTTCTTCCTGAGGACTCCGCTGGTGTTTTGGTTGGTAAACTCGAGAGGCAAGTAGCGTAACTGCAAGTTGCACCTTATCTTAAAATTAAGTCTATTTTTACCAATAACCTAATCAAAGATCTGCAAGTATACACCTAAAAGCAAACTTTAAGCTTCAACTTTAATTTAAGCAACTGCAAAAAAAAAGAAGACTCATACAGAAGTAGGGCTACAACAGCCGGGGCGGTTCCAGAAATCGGAAAAAAGAAGGGGGTTGATGTTTTAGGAAGACTTCGATATGGATTAGCACATGTCACTGTAAAGTTGGATGAATTTTGTTCAACTTTTACTAATGTCAGAGGATAGCCTATCAATCAAGAAACTCGTTGTTGGCACTTCTATAACCTTGCCCAATAATATCATACAGGATACCATAATTAACTTCCAATTCGGCACCCATTTCAATAACATTTAAAAATGTCCCAGAACTACGCAAAAAAAAATATTTTATACCTTTTGTCATTATAGCACACACACATTAAGTATTTGGCGTTGTTTCAGTCAGTACCGTAATCGGTCCCACGAAGTAAGTACTGTCAGTACATGAAAAACATAAATCAATTTTAAAACATATCCGTTCAAAATTTCACGTTAGTTATCACCTCTTTCATTCTTCAATTACGTGCGTGTTACTTTAGTAAGCAGTGTAAGTATATTTTACTATTGTGCACACACAAATAGTAGAGTTGAAAGAGAAATAAGGATCACGTTGTATCTTTCGTTTGTGAGAATATACCACCGATTTGAAGGGGCACAACCGTAGTTTTGGAGTGCAGGTCAGTAAATACAATCGAGTAAAGAAGTTTGCTTCGCTCTCAGTACGCCTATGTACGTAATGCAAAAAAATAACCATGATATATTTACTTTAATCAATCATCCCTACGTTGCCAACGTTTAACTGTGTGGAAATAAATATGCATTTCAGGCGCAAGTCATGCTCCACTCTTGCACATTCTCAGAATAAAATGTAAGAATGTGACGTAGATGTGAACGGTCTCCCCCAACTTAATAGTCTTGAGAAGGGTACATTTTGTACACTTTTAGTTAATATAGTGTGCCTGATTGTAAGATTTTATCAGCACTCCCCATTGAAAATATGGCACGAGCCTAGTGTCCGGAGAAAATAACCGGTTTACATTTTCAGCACGCCTCCCTCAAAAAATGTCTGGATCCACCCTGCTAGTCCCCCCAAAATATTGGCTCTGGAACCGCGCCTGAAGTGGAGTAGAAAGTAGAGTGCAACTGTATACATAATTCGACCTTTTCCAACGATCGATCAGCTCTATTATGAAAGCAAACTCTTAGGCCGTGAAGTTTGCAGTATGCCATTAAAATGCCATACTTCATCCAAACCCCTCCTCTCAAGTCGAATAAAGCAAATAGCATTGTGCTGGGTTCAAGGCCGCACAACCTCGCTTTGTACGTGCTTGCACGTCCACTATGAATTAGAGATAACCATAATACAATCTCATCTGTTCAGGTGATATTCGAGGGCAAGGACTTTGCATAGCTTGGAAAGGCATTGACCAAGCTTTTGTGTAGTCACTGTTGGAATGGGTGCTGCAAAACGTATATGGGGCCTCCTTTCCTAATCCGCCACTGGCTCGGCGCTGAATCTAGATACATGTGATGTCAAACCTTTTGGTGCACTTCCACAGCAGCTGTATTCCTAAAGAAACCTGTCTGGACGTGTAAAAACTTGGACGTTCTTTTGACAAGTTTAAAAATCAAATAAAGAAAATGGAAGTCTGGAACTGCTTCCAAGGAAGCTGGAGTTTATTTCTATCAAAATTCAGATGTTAAAATAACTGCTTCAAATCATTTGATGCTCCACGGGTGGCGCATACGAATGTATTCTAGTTATAGCTCTAGTTGTTTAGTTGTTTTGTGGTATAATGCCTTCATTATTGTGGTGGTCGTATTATAGTCTATACGTTATGATTAAAATAACCCTTTACTCGGATTGATTTAACTTAAAGAGAGTTTCACACACAGCTCAGTATTGAAACAATTCGTCAGCAACACCACGAAGTAGCACTCCACGTGTTCAACCTAATTTTTTCGGTTTTCATTTCTTTACATTTTTAAACATTATTCATCACGGCCTACCATTGCAAGAAGTTTCAAAGCTTCAAGAGCTTTACGTAATTATTCATGGCAACTTTTGCGAAAAAGTTACAAGTTTTGTTTTCACGAAGTAGTACTCAAGTTCCATTTACCATTGTAATGCATGGCGCGCACTGTGCTCAAAATGCGAGCAAAAACATGTTCACGAAGTATCTCTCCTTGTTTGAGCGCGCGCGCTGACCTCCATTTCCACGAAGTAGCACTCACGTGGTGTTGTAATACATGCGTACTACTTGGTTTCGCGAACTAGCACTCGATCACCTTTTTTTCCTTATTTTTTGTTGAGTTAATATACAAACTGGTCAAAAACAGCAAATGTATTAAATTAAATACATCAAGTGTCCACAACGGGAAACCCAAGTGTAAATACTCTGCAGTTTGAAGGAAAGTGTTGTTCTCGAAAGCGTTTACCTTTAGATGCCGTTTTCTCCTATTGCTAGTTTTTACTTGTATGTAAGTGCGTGCTACTTACTGGTGTCACCGACGAATTGGTTCAACTCTTCTTATTAAAAACAAAACCAGTTTCTCGTAGATAGGAGTTTTCATACAGCCTCCCTCCACACAATGAGGGAAATATCATATATAGGCGTTACAAATTTACATGACTCGAATGGTTATCTTCTCACGAAAATACTCGTGGTTAATATTCCTCATTCAGGGAGTGGAATAAAGAAATAGAGAAAAGTAAAGCAACTGGAAGGCTTCCGTCTCTTCGATGGGCGCTACTAAGAGCCTTCGGTCGGAAGATAATGATCTTCGGCATTCCTGTTTTCCTGGAGGTAACTGTTAGGGCAAACATATCGTTACTGTTTGCGGAAACACCTTGCAATAAGATGTAATACACAATGTCGTGGAGGCTATTAGTTTTTTTCCAAATGTTCCAGTAGTGTGCTTTAAATTAGTGTTCTTGGAAAATACTCAAAAGAGATCATAATAATGAGTTTCCAAAAGGTTGCAGACCAGTAAATAGGCCCACAGTTGCCTATACGCCGAACAAATTACCACTGTGCAGTGTGCATGTCCACAGTTTTTTGAATGGAAAGCTTTGAAATAGGATCAGTCAAGCTTTAAAGGTACATGTATAGGATCGTTAGCTTTTCGTACATTTGATTTCCTTGAATCTACAAAAAAAATGTGTGGCACATAGCTATAACCTTTTGAGGTTTCAGCTAAGTAGATACTATACACATTTTGAAAAACAGAGAAAGAGTATGCACATTAATTGTTAAAGGTCTCTTACCTATAGATTCCGTTGCTAAGGCACGTAAAAAGTGTACCGCGGGCACTCTTTTCTACAGGGTGTTTGAGATCAACATATCTTCGACCGAAGTAAGGGTTTCGCAGTAAATCAGTATCGTAGTACTTCTCCAAATGCAAATGATCCTGCGTACTCTTACTTAAATTAATGTATGCCATGATCACCTACAGGTAGGAGTTGTGAGTAGTTTTTCCCGATTTTTTGTTTTGAGGTGGGGGTATTAATCATTGATGTGTAATGAAAGAAAGCATACCGCCTTTTGACTCGAGCCCCCAAAGATATTCCATGTATACTGTTCCCCTTGCCACTTCGCTAAGTTGACACGGATTATCTAAACGTTTAATCAAGTGGCAATTTGGATATTTCGAACCATTCCAACTGTCTCAGCTCCTATGGATACATTATTGATATAGGAGGTCATCTTGAAGATGGCCCAGCCGCTGATGCTGACTCGTCTGGTTCTGTATTTCTCCACGGACACCGTGTCGACCACGGAAGCCTATTTGCAAGCGGCTGGCATCTCCCTTGCCGCCCTCCTCATCCTTTCGATCCACCACTATAGCTTCTTTGTCTTAAGCAGCATGGGCATGAGGATCAGAATTGCCTGCTCCGGTCTCATCTTCAGAAAGGTAACGCGTCGTTCCAAGTCGAATCGTCACACGTTCCAGGGTCAATATCACAGCTTTTTGGTTTTCATATTCGCTAATATTGTTTAGTCATATGAGAAAACTACAGAAACCACAATGTAATGTTTTGGGTCGACTAGTGTTTTAGTCACGGGTCGTTGAATGTTTGAAGTTGCAATTCGGGCGATTGACAATACAGGACGCCACCAAGAGTTTGCCATTGGATAGTCCATTTTTCAAGTTACGGTCGACAAAACAAGGCCCACAGTGTCAGTTAACAACTTGAGCTCAATTATGTTATAGATAAGGGTATAGCGTTCTGCCGCCTTACAAAAACACCATATTAATAAAAAGATGAGAAAAGGGCAAACATATACTCCAATCATACGCTTACGAAACTACTGACCGGAAACACTAACAATTTTAAATGTCCTGCGCTGCGAATTTGTCGATCATCTCCCACAATGCACTGGGACAAATGAACTCTTGGTGGCGCACTGCATTGTGAATCGCCCGAATCGTAGATGTTCTCAGAGGGCAAGCTTGGTGTCCTCCTTCTATCACCTCTAACTCCCTGACTGACTCACTCCCCACCATGCTTCACTAGCTCAACGTGATTTCAGAATGAGTTACTTTCAGCATATGATATTATTGACTCGAGAACACCAACTTATTTAACAACGTAACGTTCTCTGTTTCGGCTGTATTTCATGATATAGTGTTATACCTCTAGCTATTATATATATTTTTGTTTTTTAGGCGTTACGGCTCAGCAACCTTGCTTTGGCAGAAACAACAATTGGTCAGGTGGTAAACATCTTATCAAATGACGTCAACAGATTCGATGTTGTAGGTATATCGGGAATAATAATTCGGGTGTTGGGAGCAGCCCCATCACACAAACAACGAAGACAAAACCAAAGGGTGATAAGCACAGCCCCAAAACCTAATTAAATAAACTACTCAGAAGTATTAAATACAGGTTCTGTCTGGGCTGGTAACCTTTAAGAATTTTCGTTGATGAGTAGATGTACACGGTTTTAGCAGCTGTCATTCTATAACAGTGGCTTTTAGATATTTTAAGGCAAATTGCGATCCAACCCCACTCCCTCCCCTATAGTATGAAATACGATTTCGTTTCAGTTATGATGCTTAATGATCGTAAGTGCATCGCTTTTTAATAGGTCTTCGACTTCATACATTACCTTTGGACAGCCCCCGTCCAGTTGGTTGTATTGGCAGTCTTAACGTGGAGAGAGATTGGTGTTTCTTGTGTGGCAGGTCTCTCAATTTTGATCTTGATGGCGCCCCTTCAGAGTTACGCGGGAAAATTGTTTTCAAAATTCAGGTAAGGCCCGATACTTTTCTCTGAAAGAGGAGATCAGTTGTTTCTATGTTAAATTATTAAGGTATACCCTTTTTGGAACCTCTTCGAAAGTATACATTTTTTTGTCAACAAAGGGTCAAATTAATTGATGGTAAATATGTATTGTTCACTCGTTTTTTCCCTTTTCAGAGCAAAAACGGCATTGCTGTCGGATGCACGGATCCACATCATGAATGAAGTGATATCTGGGATGCACGTTATCAAGATCTACGCGTGGGAACATTCATTTGGAAAACTTGTCTCTGAAAGGCGGAGGTATAGATTGACTGTCATAATTCCACAGACATGAGACGTATATGACGTCACTTTATCTTTACACGTGCGCTTACCTATCCGAGCAATGGGAATGGCATCCCGTCCTCTCTACGTCCTATGCGAAAGGACACGTGAAAACAAGGCGTGGCGTCATTACGTCTCTCAGCTTTCGAACACGATGCGTTAGATTCCTTCCTTAATACTTGTTCAGGCTCGCAAGCTAACAACGACCTACGGATCTGGTACTGTAGAATGTTTCTTCGTGATACTAAAGTTTTCGCATGGAATGATTTTTCAAATTCTAAGGAGCAACACTCAACCACCTGAAAATCCCGCAAGAAAATTTTAGGAGTAACAAATCAGGCAACTGATCTGGTATAGCACATGCATGCCCTATAACTAAGATTTCAAAAAGTAATACCTTTATAAGTGTGACCATTTAAAACGAGCTAGATGTCTCGTTACTTGTGGCTTAAAACTCTCCTAATGGCGACCAAAACTTTTGGCCGTAGTTTGACGGTAGAGACTCTAATTCGCCCGTTGATTGATTTCGCTCTTGTTTTCAGCAAGGAGATACGCAAGATACTGCAGAGTGGATACCTACGCGCCTTCATCCTAGCCTTCCTCTTCGTCGGTCCTCTGTTGACGACATTCGTGACGTTCGTGGTCTACGCCTCCCTGGGCAACCCCATCACACCGACTAAAGTCTACCCGGTCCTCTCTCTGTTCTTCGGCGCAAGACTCGGCCTGACAAGGTTCTTCCCGAACGCGGTATTGGCGAGTTCGGAAGCACTCGTTTCCGTTCGTAGAATTCAGGTAAGCTTCGGAGGTAGAGCTTTATCTCCAAATAGATAATCACAGCACTCAAAGCCCCACGTTGCCACTGGAGTCAACCGCCGAAACATCAGAGTCCTGTAGTCCGCGTTTAAAAGTACAGCATGCATGTCAAAAGATTCAAACAGAAATAAACCATGCTTCCTGTTAGGTTAATGATGATATTTTTCTTATGTTACCCAGAAATTCTTACTGATGGAAGATATTGAAAGACACGTTGGCGGGCCTACAGAGGGCGCCTGTGACAATGATGTCATGGAAGACCCCGCCATTCCTTTGGCCGCGAACGGCATCTTTTCCTCGAGCAAAGGTCAAATTGAAAACTCCTCGCGAGATGGGACAGACATCTTGGAACGCCCGGAGAAAGCGCCAAAAAGCAGAGCTTGCCTGATTGAGGCCGAGAGCGATTATGAGCTATCGGGGTTCGTGGGACCCGCTGGGTACCAGGAAGAAGAAACTTATACATCTAATAACGACGTGGATGATGGAACAAGAATTGTAGCGAAGAATATTTACGGATCCTGGAACAAGGTATTGTTTTCCATGAGACTAAGCAGTACCTTACGATCTCCTCATTTATAGGCCTACGAAGGATAACTAACTCGTTCCTAACTGTACAAATTGTGCACTATCATGTGCATTAATTAATGTATTTATTTACTATACGTATGGCACTCCCCGGTGTATCAACGCTTTTACATCCACAAAAATACTATGGTTTAAAGTTATCTGACATCTGAAACGTCATTATTTGCATCATTGAACAACAGGATGTCAGTGAATCAGTGCTGCAAGACATCAGTTTCCGTGTTGAGGCAGGGCAGCTGCTTGCGGTCATCGGGCCCGTTGGGTGTGGTAAGGTGAGTACAACAGATGATTCCATTCCATTGTGATGTCCATCCCAGGTATGAATTCAAAACTGTCCACGCAATAGAATTAAGTTTCACATCATTATTGGCATTTTATCACCTTTCAGTCGTCCCTTCTGATGGCCCTGCTGGGTGAGCTGCCTACCGTATCAGGAGTCAACGTCTTGAGTGGTCGGGTTGGCTATACGGCGCAGCAGCCCTGGATTCAGTCTGGCTCGTTAAGGGAAAACATTCTCTTTGGGCATCCTTATTCGCCGGCAAAGTACCAGCACGTCATCCAACAGTGTGCGCTTAACAGAGTAAGTCTGTTAGGGAGTTAAATATCAGTAGAAATCTATGTTTGTAGTCTATAAGCCTCGTCACTGAGAGGAAACAGTTGTTCATTGATGATTTTTTATTTATTTTTTTACTGCAATTGACTGTTGGAAAGGGAAAATACATTTAAAATTCGTTGCACAGGCAGACAAGGCGTACAAGCTGTTGAAAAATGTTCAGGCCTGTTTTTGTACCCAAGATGGTATTTCTATTTTTAGATGTAATATGATGTATGGATTCTTCCTCTTACCTTAAATGAGGAATGGGGACATAGCAAAGTTCTGGTATATAAAAGGGAGCAGGTCAGTAAAAAGGCCCGAAATTGCCTGTACGCCGGCCAAATCGCAATTTGCATGCCCTGAAATTCTCCGGTGTAAGCCGAAGAGCATTATGTGGGCCATGACCTGGATTGTTTGTAAAATAAGAAGGGTGAAAGCCGTGCACAGGACTGCCGTGAAATTCAGACGACTCAGAAATTTGGCCCTACAATTGCTCTATTTTGCAATGGAGCGCAGGCATCATTGTTCAAAATGGCGATGGGCAAGACTACTTTTAGGGGTGCTAATTATCATTGGATGGATTTTTTCCCAAAAGTCATTAGTTAACCCCAACAAAATTGAACAGAAAATGACATATGATGAAATGATGAAACACGCTTTAAATTTATGTGTGGCTCAAACACGTTCGAGAGTTGTGAGTCGAGTTTTCTCCTGAATTTCGGAAGTGGGTGTATATTTATTGCCGGTGTCTATGGCAGTTTATTTAATTACTGGTTTGCAACCTTCAGCAAACTTTCGCCATGTTTAAAGATGCCTGTAAATAACGTGTTTTTTCTAAGCCAAATTTAAAATCTTTTCACGTTGATGTGTGAAACTGGCAAACTTGTATTGACAGGATATTGAGCTACTACCAGACGGCGATCAGACGCTGGTCGGTGAGCGTGGCGTGACCCTTAGCGGAGGTCAGAGGGCAAGGGTCAGCTTGGCCAGGGCCGTGTATAGTGACGCTGATGTATATCTACTGGATGATCCTCTGAGTGCTGTAGATCCTGCAGTTGGTCGACACCTCTTTCAAAAGTAAAAACAGAAATGCAGCTTGGCTTAGTTTGCCTCGCTGGCATCCTCAAACGATTCAGTTTATCTCTTCACTTCTTTTCCCTAATTCCTGTCTTTAATGTTGATAGTACAGGTTTCCATTTGTACAGTTCGAATGGAGTACGTGTCTGGGATGGGTGAAAGTCTTAAAATTGTCATTTTTATGACGCTTTTCCATCAATGTCTTCGTGCCTTGTTAATATTCATTTTGTTCCACTCGTTGGCATTTGTGATAACATCACTTTTCTTTGTAACGCAGCAAATAAAGACACAAATTGTTGCGTTCAAATTAAACTCAATTTGCATTCGCCGTTAAAAATCTTCAGTGTTTTAGAATAGTCCTGGTGTCAACATAGTACAGTTCGTTTGATCCATGATTAATATTATCACATTCCAATAAAACACACAATTTTGAAAGAGTTTTTTTTTAATAAGGTGCATTCTACAACAAATGAAGGACAAAGCTAGGATTCTCGTCACCCATCAGCTTCAGTTCCTACACAAGGCTGACAAGATTCTCATCCTTAAACAGGTACCCGGGCAAATGAAACGTTAAAACCTTTTTTTTTTCTTGGTCTAAATATTTTTTCATCTCTGCAACAGAGCCCCCAAAAACCAATTATTTTAAGTTACTCGAGAATTTTCGCCCATACATGGTTATATATTTAGAGTATACACACTGCTGGGCCGGCATTGTCAGCGTTAAGGCTAGGCCTATTGTTTATAAGTTGAAAATGGTTCTCAAAATCAGTCTAAGACGACAGGCAGAGCATAATTCTGTCTGAAATGTTGAGTTCCATCGGTTCTCTTTCTAGATCGTGTACGAAGGTGCGTGGGTTAGAACCGGGCCAAGAACATGGTGATTGTGCTCTTGGGCAAGACACTTAACTTCAATTGCCTCTCTCCATCCACGAGTATAAATGGGTACCTGTGAGGGTCGATGACTGATTGAGCGCTGATATCGGCTGCCGCGTGGTCCAATGGCCTGATGAACGGGGTATTAATAATTGTAAAGCGCTTTGAGATTGCTGATACGATGGAAAGCGCCATAGCACAATTACTATTAATTGTTATTAGAGGGATCGGCTGCAACTCGGTTTCAGTGCAAATGAACGCTTTATCATTGCCATTCACCATGCAAAACTTCGAATCCTGAGATTGGCGAAGCTCATTACTAATAATGCACTAATAAAGAATGGATTATCAAAGGTATTATTATTTAGGAGAGAGAGCAATATAGCTGGACATGTTGTCTGTTGTTTGCCAGGGCAAAGCAGCTGGCTACGGGACCTACCAGGAGCTGCAGGAAGATGGCGTGGACTTCGCTGCTCTCTTGAAGAAACAGTCTGAAGACAGTGACTACGATGGAGCAAATGAGCAGGATGTAAATCCAGAGGCGCTTGAAGACAAGATGTCCATCAGCGCAGATGTTTCGTTTTGCCCAGACCAAAACGAGGTGCGGTTCTCGGGTATAGATAAACAATCTGAGAACTTGACAGTATTAATTTATTTCAACCTAGTGCAGTGATGAATTGTGTGAGCTTTGTATGTAAACTTTGTACGGCTAGCTTGCAGATGACACGTTGTACCAATTTGTCTGGTTCTGAAATAAAAAAAAAAAAACGTTAATTGTAAGAGTTTGTTCTCACGACCTTATCGCAACGAGCTCTTTTACAACCAACGTGTCACTTTTTCAAAGAAGAGATCGATATTCCCGTGAAATCGTTCGCACACCCCATTCGTAAATTGATACATCAGTTAAACAATGTATTGTCTTTTCTGGGATAGGTAGACACACCTGTTGATATTGTCAAAGAGGAGATTGCGGTCGGTATCGTGGAATGGATGGTATACATCCGGTACTTCAGGGCCGTTGGTGGATTCTTGATTCTGCTTTTCTGGGTCATTGTCATAGTCGGAGCACAGGTAGGATTATTATTTGCTCTAAGAAGCATACTACTCTAATCATATTATAACCAAAGCATTCCTCACTGCGGCCGTTGCAGGATTTTTCCAAGGAGACAGTCTGAATGATGTTAAAGTCAAGTAAGTTTGAAGACGGATGCGCAGTGGCGCAACCAAGCGGGGCACGTGCTCACCACAACAATCCAGTGCCCCCAGGTGCCCCCACCAAAAACTAAGAAATTTGCTTCTTGCCAAGGAATTCTTTTTCTGTAAAGAATGTTTATTATAGTTAAGTGTTACTGGGTTCTTTTACGTGAATTGCATTACACAACACACGGGACCTCCGGCTTTACGTCCCATCCGAAGGACAAAGCAATAATGGTCAAGTGCCTTGCTTAAGGGCACAAGTTTCCGTGCCCGGGCTCGAACCCACGCCATGGTTGCCTCTGAAACACTAGAGCATGAGCAGGTGCTCTTAACTGCTAGGCCATGACACTCCGCCCTTGGTGGCCGCTTATAAAATGCTGGTGCCCCTTTGCCCCAACCCACGCTGGAAAAATCCTGGCTACGCCACTGCAGATGTGCATTAAATGTTGAAGTCTAGGATCTTTCGAGGAGGTGGCTGAGGTATGTAAAGTCAACAAACAGTTAATTGTTACTCTAAGCTGTTGACTAATTATTTCAATATTGCAAGACACTTTCGATGACAGGACATTTGGATGTTTCTATTATTAATGTCCCAAATAATATTAAGCTGAGAGAAATATGATGGCTTGCTTTTTCCCAATAATACTAAAAGCCGTTTTGAAAGAGTAAAACAAATAAATTGTCCAGGCACTTCTATCTTACACGGATCTCTGGCTGGCCATGTGGGCGAACGAGGAAGAGAAGGATTTAGCAGTCAGGAATCTTACGATTCAGGTTGGTTATGATTGAGATCAAATTTAAATCATAAACAACAAAAAGTGTAAATGTAATTCATCGCTTCTTGAACTTCATCGCTTCTTGAACCATCAAACTTACTCAATTGTATCCATTGTATTTGATTCCTTGTTCAATAATTATGTAAGATTGCGTTTACCTTGTTCACATTGTTTGGTTGAAGTGTTAATTATGAGTATTAAGTTGTTCCAGTTGGAGAGTATATGAACTGTCCTGGTTGGTTTTGTTACGGTTGTTCACGTCTTTTAAACTTAGAACCAATTTTTCAATCTTATTGTCCCCAACCAATCCTAACTCCTTGCACACACGCAATACGCCCGAAAATTGCTATCTCAAGCTATAAATAAATCTTCTACGCATGTGCAGATCTTTCCCATTACAGTCACTTCATAACAAGGCCTACAATCCTCACTCCAGTTCCTCAACTTGATCATCAATCCACAAATTGATCCTCAACTTGATCATTTCTTAACTTGATCCTCAACTTGATCCTCAACCTGATCTTCGACTTGATCCTCAACCCTCCTCACAGCTCCTCAAGTTGATCCTCCAACAAGGCCTGATTTAAGCCTCGCCTACTACTCTGAAACCTGAAACCTGTTGGTAATGGAGTTCCCGAAATCTCAGGAATTCTTTTCAGGAATCTCGAGGGTGTTAGGTAACAAAAGTCTAGAGTGTGTTCAGGGCGTAGACATGCGTATCGGCCATCTTGGAGGACATCTTTTTTATATTATTTCACTTGCGATTGTTGTGTATTCCATACACTTTGCAGGATTATCAAAACGCTACCGAGTATGAACACCGGTCCTATTACATCAGGATCTACGCCATTTTGTGTGGAGCCACCACAGTCGCCATTTTCCTACGTAGCTTTCTGTTCTTCCATTTGTTGATTACCGCCTCCAAGGTTCTTCACAACCAAATGTTTTCCGCCATCATCAGAGCACCCATACAGTTCTTCGAGACGAATCCAGTTGGTGAGACACAGTCAGTCTATTTCAAAGTACCTAATAAGTTTAAATTGTTGCACTTTTAGCAATAGATGTAACAGGCCTATTATAAGTCCAACATTTGCAGAATGTTTCACATTATAATATTGGCCGATTACGAAAATTGCCTTAGAGGATAACCACACAAAATTAGGCAACTATCTATTTTTATTTTTTTTTTTGCTGGTCCCAGAGGGTGTCCTCTTTTTTTTTACCTGATTGACTCATTGTAACATGTGAGCCGGGCAGTGCAATCGTATAGGATTACCCCGTATAAATGTCAATGAATTATGAATGGTCTAAATCCGTCCATTATGTAGACCAATCATGTAAAGACTTACAGTGAATAGCCATACTCAATCTGTTGTTTATGCAGTGTGGGACTAGCTGTACTATAGGTTTGCAATATTTAATCAGTGTGACTGTAATTTTACACATGAAAAAGCTGTCACAATGCTATAGCCAATACTTTTAGGTATCTCATGACGTGTTGGTTTGATCATACTGTAGAAACAATCTTGCGGTTTTTGGTAGATCCCTATAGGACTATAATTACCCATTGAGTTGCGCACCTAATACGTCTGTCGGACTGCTGCGCATGCCACGATCCCAACCTTCAAAGAATGATCAGATTGTGTGTTTTTCAACAGAGTACCAATTTGCAAAGACGTCATGCTTGTATTATTTTGTCGGTCGCAGGTCGGATTCTGAATCGCTTTGCCAAGGATATCGGCAATATGGATGATCTATTACCTGCTGTCTTCACCTTCTTTTTCCAGGTAAAGAAACTATAGGACAGCCTTTAAAACACATTTTTGATTACACAATTTTTGTGTCGCCTAAACAAAGTTTTGGGGACATTTACCAGTCCTAAAAAAGTATGTATCTTCGTATCTCTGTTTCTCCTTGTCTCCGTATCACCGTATGTTAAAGTTTAGGTTAAGTTTTTTGAAAATTATGTACAACTTGTACATGCTTTCATGGATTTTGCTGAAACTTGGATGCAGTGACGATCCTTGGGTGGAAATACACATTTCCTTATCGGGTTACTGAGGTCAAAGTTCATGGAGGGGTCATTAGAGGTCATTGTTCAAATATGCTTCAAATGTTTCGTTGTCCACATAATTTGACGGGTTTTTAAAATGTAAGTTGGATGGAGTGATCCTTGAAGGGGGGTTTCATCACTACTCTTCCGAAATTGGAGGTCAAAGGTCATGTACTCATTTGAGGTCGTTGTTTAAAAATGCACAAAATGTTACTTATTTTAAGAACGCAAAACATATAGGGATCGACCGCGGAAAAAGGCGGCACATGCGGTCTGCGAACCACTTGTTTGTTCGCTTTGCAAAAGTCAAATTACATAATTTCAAACATGATGTTATACAAAGTAAAAACGATCAAACAGTGTTATGGATGATGAAGGCTTACAAAACTGATCCATGAGCGAAGAAAAAAAACATATCGACTGATACTTGAATATAATCCCCCTGATACATATTTTTCATACAGTCGAAAATTGTTGGTAGTTCCTGATTGATATTTCTGTATTTTAATCGTATCTAATAACTAGAAATTAACAACCGAAAGTAAGACACACGACAGAGTGCTTATGGTTTATTATTTTTCTTTTCTTTTCTACAGCTCATTATAAACGCCATTTCCGTTGTCATCTTAGTTTCCATCTTCAATCCCTTCTGCCTTGCCTTCACCACGCCGATTTTACTCATATTTGTCGTCGCGAGGCGATTCTACTTAGCGTCTTCACGAGACGTTAAAAGATTAGAGGGGATAGGTAGGTCCATTGTGATACAGTAGAACAAGTTTCATCAGCTCTTAAGTATTCTGTTGATAAAGTTACTCTCTTTTCGCAAACTACTTGCCCGAAACCCTTTTGCTGTACGTCTTTCAGAAAAGTCAAGTGATTACGGGTTTAGCTCAATCACACGTCACCTAGTCTAAAATCAAGTATAATGTTAACATACGGAAGTTAACCTGGATAGAGTTCATCCCTTGTTATCTGTGACTTGACATGTTATTTGACATAATTATGTTCACCTTTGTGATGACTTGACTAAGACGATGCTATTTTTATATACACAGTGTTGTAGTAGTCCAGTACTTTTTTCCGAGTACCGAGTACTGCCGAGCACTTAGGTTACCGAGTACGAGTACGAGCACGAGTACTTGTACTTCCGAGTACAAGAACTGGTCTCCGAGTACGAGTACTTGTACTTCCGAGTTTGAGTGCGAGTACGAGTACTTGTATTCCGAGTACGAGTACTTGTTTTCCGTGTACGAGTACGAGCACCGGTACCTCTATTTCCAAATACGGCCATACGGCAAATGGTTCATTTTGCGTAACTGGCCCAGGCCCAGTCAGACCGATATACAGACCCACTCACAGCTAGCTGCTAAATGTGTTGGTCCGGACGTGGACAGAGGAAATCAGGAAACTGAGCTATACCAATTTTTTTTCGAGTACTGCTATGCGAGTACGAGTACTTTGATGATCGAGTTCATTTTCGTCATGTCAAGTACGAGTACTTTGCTGCCCGAGTACGAGTACCGTCATTTCGAGTACGAGTACTTTCACATTCGAGTACGAAAACGAATACTCTACAGAAAAGGAACTCGAGTTGTACTCGAGTACGAGTACCGAGTACGAGTACTTCTGTTTTTACAATGTGTTTAATGTGATGCCCCATCTTTAGAAAGTGGATGTTGCACAACGATTTTCCTATATCCCATTTCCAGCTCGTAGCCCCATATTCTCTCACCTGTCAGCCACTCTGAGTGGTCTCAGCACGGTCCGAGCCTTCAAGGCCCAGCAGCGATTCACAGCGGACTTTGACAGGTTCCTGGACGGCCACACCAGGGCCTGGTCCCTCTTCCTGGCTTCGTCTCGCTGGATCGGACTACAGCTGGATTTTTTAAGCATCTTTTTCATCTCTGGAGTCAGCTTCTCCAGCATCATGGCTGCCCACCGTAAGTCTGTCAAAGGAAAATGAGGCAATGCAAATTCACAATCTTCATTGCTTTGCTGTTGACCAAACTCTGATTGTAAAATCCCTAGATCTGTTATTGTTTCACTAGATGTCAACAGTCTTCGTAATTATTTGTTTTCGTCTTTTTGTTCTAAGTTCTGAATCTCAACTCTGGCATTGTGGGGCTCTCACTGACCTATTCCATCAGCCTCTTGGGGTCATTCCAGTGGGCAGTTCGACAAAGTGCAGCGATTGAAAACCTGGCAAGTGCTGGTTACTGCAGAAATTGAAATGATTATTTTCCAATGTACAGGCAGTTAAGTCTTTTAGATGAACTGGAATCATGGATCCTGGCAGCTTATGATGTGGAAATTGAGGAAGAATATCGTGCATACATTACAATATAATCACAAGATGGAGAATTTAATTGGAATAACTTTGAGATAATTTTTCAATCAGAGGTCATCGAGAACCATGTATGTGGACATGCTTCTGGAGCATCATTACAAAAGGGGCACCTTCTAAAATAGTTATTGTTGCGATAACGTCAATAACTCAAGGACTGGCAAGCACCTAGGAAACCACCACTCTGGGTGTTGCACACAAATTAAAAAAACCCAGTAGTATCTTTTATCATTAATGTACATTCAGATGACATCAGTGGAGCGTGTGTGCCAGTATATCGATATCAGGCCGGAGGCTCCGCTGGAAACCGATCATAAGCCTCCCCGTGACTGGCCACAAGATGGCGGCATCACGCTACAAGATGCCTCCCTGCGATTCAACGATGACGGGCCACTGATACTGCAGGACATTAACTGCGTCATTAAGCCGAAAGAAAAGGTGTGATCGAATTATTGAAAATCATTCAACCTTTTTTATGCTTCTTTGGCAAGTCATTAGTCAAGCAATTCTACTGGACTTCAGTCTCAACAACCAGGCTACGTCACAAGTGACAGTCAGTTAGTCGGTCAGTCAGTCGGGCACACAGAGGACTAAAGGATGGCCCGCATGAAACCAGCAAATAATGCTGAGACTTATGCATAGCAGCAGCAGCCAAACCCTTCATCAAGCCGGATCAGGGGAAATGTCGAACGAGGCCTTTCTTGTGAATGATCATTTCCAAACATTTTGGCTTTCAGGTGGGCATTGTGGGGAGGACAGGTGCCGGCAAGAGCACCCTGATGACAGTGTTGATGAGACTGGCCGAACCCACAGGTACCATCATGATAGACGGTATCAACACAGCCCTGATAGGACTGCACGACCTCCGCAAGAAAGTCTCATTCATCCCACAGGTATATAGAAAGAAATGTCCCACTGATAAGTCAGAAGATAACACGAATTGCAAGCAAAGCTATATAGCCTGCATCTTCTCAAACTTTTACCAGGAATCTGCACATTGACCACAAAATGATCCAGAGCCTTTTGGACCCGAAAAGTGTAATCTTGAACCTGAAAGTATCATGTCACCTTCGACCCAGATTCCGGCTCATATCTGACCTCGGAAGTTTTAGAATGTGTCCATGAAACTTTATCCTCAAGAACTTGCGAAACAACCTCGTTTATAGCTGTCCATTGTTGACACTACATAGGCCTACATGATTTTCAAACCTGCTTTTTGGTATAGTGTAGTTATCGTAGTAAACTGTCCTTTGATTCCTCACCCCATATAGGACCCAGTTCTGTTCAGCGGAACGCTACGCAGGAACCTGGATCCTTTTAATGAACAATCCGATGCTGATATATGGAGAGCAATTGAAGAGGTATATTAAGTATTCTCAGTACACCATTTTTTTTGTGTTAATTCGTCCATAAAGGCTTGCATAATTGAGTCAACAAAACTTCAAGGCTTCTTCAGACGCCGACAATGAGGTATAATTTTTAATAGGCATTTGATAGCAAAATGTCTAGAACACAGAGAATTCATTTCACCTTTAGAAGGTACATGCTCGGAATCAATTGAGAAATTTGGTCAAAAATTAACGTGTATTTTTGAAACCTTTTGAGGGTATGTCCGATCACAAATACACTGCCCTGTCTGCCCAACACTTACTGTGTGCAGCGTGCCCCTATATTATCACTGGACTCTTTTTCTCTTGGTAACCGAAATGTGAAGGTGGAGTTGAAAAGGGTTGTTGAGAAGCTACCAGACAAGTTGGAGGTAATCTTGACAGAGGGAGGCACCAATTTCAGCGTGGGTCAGAGGCAGCTACTGTGCCTGGCTAGGGCTATCCTACGCAAGAACAAGATCCTCATAGTGGACGAAGCCACAGCCAACGTGGACATCAGGTTAGCATGCAGTTGATTCTATAGAGTCTTTTGAAGACTTGCTGAAGACTTCATTACTAACAGCTAAAGTTTTGTTTGTTTCCTTGCCTGCATGTTGGACGAGACTGATCTCCTTTATTTTGCCTCTGTTGCATCCTAGAACTGACCGTTTGATTCAGGCGACCATCAGACAGCGGTTCAAGCACTGCACAGTCCTGACCATAGCTCACCGTCTCAACACAATCATGGACTCCGACCGAGTCTTGGTAAAATTGAATAATCGGTAGCTAGTTTATCCATACGAATCATTGCAGAGTTTTACTCATTAACTCGGTTACAGTCAAATCACAATTCAAATCGCAAGTTTATTACGGTGCCAGTAACACCGGGAATGTCTTTATCAATACACATGAAAAACCTGTCAAATGACTTGACAACGGTTGGTGACGTTTGATGGGCGTTTTATGATCAATGTTGGCACTTGTCAGGACTTGAAATACGACTCTTTCATATAGTTCATGAATCAAATTTTAGGTATTGTCTCTTTCGATCCTGGTGATGTTAGCAGATTGCTCCTTCTTCTTCATCCAGGTGCTTGACGCAGGGCGGCTTGTCGAGTTTGACGAGCCTTACGTTCTGCTCCAGAAGGAAGACGGCATCTTCAACAAGATGGTGCAAAAGACTGGCAAGGCGGAGATGGCTAACCTTCTGCAGATTGCTGATGATACATACCACAGGAGTGCCAACCACAAACTCAAATCCTTGGATGAACCAATCTGCGTGTGAAATGAACTGCACCCTTTGGGTATACGGACCACATGATGGATCAGTGATATGTTTTGAATAACTGAACACTGTAGTATTGGCGTATATGATTTACGGTGATCGTCGCCATTATGTCCAGGGTGTTGTACTTGATATATTGTTTTTAATGTTAACTTTTTTTTCATTGCAATCATAATTTGCACCGCAGGAAAACTGTTTATGTGTGTGACTTCAGTATAAACGTCAATTATATAATTCGATGAAAATATACGTATAGGGATAGTATCCAGAAGTAAACTAGATGTAGACACTCGCTTCGATACTCGGGTGGGCTCCGCGTCGATCAGATTGCTACCAGGACTAGTAAGCAGCTTACAACAGAGTACCTTTCATTTCATTTTGAAAATAGACGCAGATATATTGGAACTGTTTTATATCCGGATCTTTGTATTATGTGGCAAACGATAATCGTATCAATTATTGTTAAGATATCGATCATGCGGATTGCAGATCGAAAGTTGCTACTTTTGAATTTCTGAGTAATGGGCTTTCTCGGTATTCTCCCTTTATTCAGCCATTCCGAAGGGTTTGGTCGTGTTTGCACTCAGCAAAGGTCTAGCAAAGGTCTTTTAAATGAACTGCACCATTTGGGCCGAAAATACAGCAAACAAACAGACTCATTTCGAAGTACTTGAAAGTTTCCAGTGCGCATTTGCAATCGTTAAGATCGGCGTATTGTCTACTTTTATGCCAGGGACGGATCTGTCAAAGTCAGACTCACTAATTCCATCTATCAAAATCATGGAAATGCTATAATCCGAACTTACATGGGAAGGTTGCCGTTCTCACGCAAGACACAAAAGTTACAGTATAAATGTTTTAAGTCACTGTAAAGCAAAATATATCTGAGAATAGACCACTATCGTGTTGCGGCCATCTTGATTTTTTCCCATTCAAATCAACGTAACCAAAGCCATGCTGGAAAAAAAAAATAGTCTGGCTCCTGCATGTTTGCAAAAAAACATAATAATTCAGTACTGTTACTGGGTACAGGGAACATGACTAAAATGGTGGCAGCATGATAAAGGTCTATACTGCTTAGCTTTCAACATTGCCACTAATCTCTGAAAAGACCATGCCATTCCCATTCTCTAATCCTGACGATCATGTCAGCAGACCACTTCAAAAGGATACTGGAAAATTGTTTCTGGGTGTGACCAGAAATTGATCTGTTGTTTAATTACGAAACGTTTGGACTCTTTGAGTACAATGGGGTGATCTGTGACACAACTAGATTACTGATTATTTACGCAGTTCAAATTGATATACACTTTTTGTTTTATAATTCAGAACATACCTTCCAATTTCAGCAGTAATTGATCTGGTTACAATGATAAAAGGAAATTTACCAATGGAGCAGAGTATATGCCTGGTGTGTTTACATTTTACAAGTCCAGCCCCGCAACAACAGCCCCTTTCTGTCACATTAATCTGTTGCTATTTCTGAGTTTAAAAGCGTTTAAACTTTTAAAATAGTGGCATCTTCGCTCTTCTTTGTCAATCTGTGCTTGCTTATGCGCACGGCACCACGCACAGCGAAATAGTCTACTGACGCGGCAGTATTCACAAAACTCATATTTAAGACAATACATGTAAGGCCTACTTCACTATTAAGTAGGACACTTATGGTAGACATATTCAGGAAATATCCAAGCACTTTATTAATCTCAGCACCCTACTCACGTATTTAAAGCCGCCACTCTTGGTTGTGCCCTATAATCGTTTATTAATTGTGAATGAAGCGGTGTACATTGCACCAAGGTCAAAGTTTTCAAAATGTTAAAGGTGATATACAACATTTGCTTTTGCTGTAATTTTCAGAAATGGACTCACTCGGGGTTAGTATTTTATAGAAAATATCGTTCCACTTATCTGTTAAAAGTTTTGTGTTCATGGATGCCGGCAAAAACAATGCTGTTCTCGTAGTCTGGTTCCCTCACCCTACGCTGCAGACGACACGGGGCAATTTATAGACGTCAAGGAATTGTCAGGTCAGGGAACCAGACTAGCTGGCTTATGCCCATTCACGGGTGCGTTGTCGATTACAAACAAAATGTGGACTAACTAACTTCGATCAATTGGGGGTAGTACTTATAAAAATTAAGCCGCTTTCGTGCAATGATGCTGGGCGAACAATCGCTGGAAAATGATACAAAATTTCACTTTTTCTTGAAAAGGACAGTACACCTGGTGCAATGATTTAACAGAATGCTTTAAACTATTAGTTATTTAAGGTATTTCACAATTATTTGGTAGTTCATTGTTCTCAATGTTTGAACATAGGCCTATTGAATATTACCTTTAATGAATAATGTACATTTACGTCAATGATTAATAGGCCATCAGCTGAAACTCAAAAACCGCGGCTGTAAAATGAGTTTCGTTCCAGCAACACTGGGTCTACTTTTTTAATGCACATATGTGGGGTTCAGTACATCACAAACACTATGTCAAAAGTTCTCCAGCAAATCTGCTGCAGTTTTTTTTACACTTCATCAAAGTTTGCCAATGTTGTGTACATGTATGTATGCTAAAAACCCACATTTTCCGGTTTGAGGCCTTGCGTTGGCACTTCCATTTTCAAAACTACAGCACTATATCTTGTCACATCCTGCACTCTAGAAACTCCTGGGTCAGACTCAGTCTGCTCAGTCCTTTTCCGGGTCAAAAATTGACCCCTTTTGGAGTCATAAATGACCCCTTTGGAGTAAAAAAAAAAGGACATGTTTCTCGGTCATTTTGACTGAAATGTGTATTTATTTTACCCAGAAAAGGACTGAGCAAATTTGGATTCAGATTCTGGGTCAATCTGACCCAGGAGATGTTAGAGTTAAAAAATATCTTTTTATGTACATTGGCAATTGGGTCACACAGAACATTACCCTTTGTTTTCTCATCTGGTAGACATCACCACAGTCCCTCTTCCAAAAATATTTCACTGTAATCTAACTTATTTGGCAGCATAAAACAATGCCTTTATTTTGAAGGTTTATAATGCAGTGGTGGAACCAGCTCATCATTAATGAAAGTGAGGGGGTGCCCAAAATGGAGGTGTCTTTAGAGTAAATAAATACCGGTACATGTAACAGCAGAAGAAACAGGAAAGCAGACGAGACATGCCCCTTTAAACAAAGCAAACTAACGCATGTAAAAAAAAAAAGTAAAAAAAATAATAAATGGTTGCTATGCCCCCCAAACCCTCTGGATCTGCTGTGGTGAACCAGGTACGTCACTTAAAGAACCTACTACTTGTAAAAAAGACCACCTTTTTTGGAATGAAACAGGCTTTAAATACAATTATAAATCAAAGGACCATCAGAAGTCAGAGTCTGGTTTAATAATTTCAAAAATCGACCATTGTACATTTATTTGCTATCTAATCAAAACAGCCATCTTGGTTTGGAGAAAAGCCTTAAGATCAGTCTTTTGTCAAAGAAAATTTCAGCTTTTTATTTATTGATACATTGATTAGCACCGAAAAATGTTTGGATGTATATCAATAAAAAGAAAACAAAACCATAACTCATGCTATTTTGTATGCTTACACATTAAAGAGAGTGATTTGGCTTGTCATATGTGGCTAGTCTCACTGTTAAAATTCACAGAATTTGCTTTTCTACTGGAACTAATTTTTAATAAATGAAAAGAATTAAAATGAATAAAACCAACACTAATGAACAGAAGGATACAATTATGTAGTTTTGAAATCTAGAGTTACTCATTATTTTCATTATAATGTCAAATGCTAACTAGTCGTGCTGATACAACTTCAAGTAAATGTTATCACTACATCAAAGTTCTCATCAAATCTTGTGCAGTAACGGCATAACAACAGGATGGAGCGTATATCTTGCTTTCTAAGCCAAAGTTTCAGTTTTGAATCCTCCTCTGAAGTCGCCAGAGATTCAACCACACCTCCAGCAGATAAAGTAGCGGTGTAGATGATGTCGCATATATTCAAGGAAAGAGACTTGTGGATATTCTCTTCTAAGCTGATATGTCAACTTATCAGTTCTGTAAAAAAAATTAAATAGTAAAATATAGACAGGTTTAGTATCTGATGATCAAAAACAATGATTACTGTGGACGTGCTTTAGAAGAAAGAAAACAACTTGTTCAATCTAGAGTTAAATTACTAGAAAGATCATGTGGCCGATCGTTTTGCCTTCCACTGTAAATATGTAAACATTGGTAGCTATTGAGAACCAACCTTTTCAGCTTCCAAAGCAATATCAAGAAGTTTTCATTTTGAATATTCCATTAAAGTTTACATGTATTTCTGTTTGCACTCTGAATAACAATCAAAACATCTTACCGATATAAAGATCCAAGGCCAGTTCCTTCGGCTTCTAAATCATTTCATGATTCCAACAGTTCAGTAAGCTGGGACATTCTCATGAAACTTAGTTGTTGATCGGGGTTGAACAGTCAGTTGCAGAACATCTCCCTTTTCCTGACGTTCATCCTTTAGGGCCTATATATATATAGAATCAAATAGTAAATTCTATAAAAGCTATTTTGCTATTTTATACAAAGGGAAAGACTACCCTCACACCTCCATAAAAGTATCCTTCAACAATGGAGAAAGAGACAGCACAACATTTTATTATGGGATTTTGTGCAGTACCCGTTGTACTTTGGCATCTTAATGTTAGACATTTATTTTCAGTGCCAGAGGTACTCGGTTTGAATCATGGAACTAAAAAAAAATAACCCTTTTTTACTGGGTTTTTCAAATAAGATCTATTTGTCATTGAAGACATTTTTCTTCATTGACTTTAGAGAATTTTTTTAAAAGGAAAGTAAAGTCCAAGAACCATTCGGTAAACAAGTGACGTACCCAACAATCGCATGCCGTAGAGAAAGAAAATGTGTTTTTTTATAACCAGGAATCTGTTATCATTTTGAATGGTATCTTTTGCAAGAAAATAAAATTTTCCTATGCATTTTCAGTTGACGCCATCCAAATCGATGCGGTTCTGTGCATTCACGGTGCATCGTGGTGACCACCAGCTTTGCGTTTTTATCATGCGCCAGTATCACAACTCCAGCAGTACACTTATCATAATTTATGCCGGGAACAGTACAGCGTCATCAAACTTATGAATTATGTACATCGTCGGTCCGCGCGTGATCGTCGTGTGCATGAGCAGGCCCACCAGCACGGTCACCCATACATGTCAAGGGTTCCGTACGTAATTGTACCGGGTGTAACATGTGCAATGTTACGACTCGGCCCATTATTGCCGTACACGCGACCTTCGATACCCCCTCCTCCTCCAATATCGGTGCGGTACTGTATCTACTTGTTTTAGAGCTGCATGGGTTAATACCATTGATTTAAGTCTTACTAATGGAGATCAATGTAAAATGGAGATCAATGGTTAAAACACAGAGCAAGTTAAACCGTGAACCATGACCTGCGACCTCATATCTGGTGTCTAATTGGACAGTTCACGTCACGTGGTACGATGCGTCATACGCGGCGGATTTTTTTTTAACGTAGGCGCATTACGTTTTTGAACGTCCACAATGGACAAATAGTTCGCTTTTTCGAGTCAAATTATCAAAATACTGCTGGACGAAATGTGGAGAACTTTTGTAGTATCATTCTTTGGTAGTGTATTTCGGTAGAACTGTTAAAAAAATTTAGACCCAGGATTGCTGGAGCGAAACGAACGAATTTTCCAGTCTAGCTGACGGCCTATAACGCACAAGAGATATACCGTAGCCCTACCAGAAAAGCACAAAACAAAACCGTTCTTGTTTCTGCTTCAACTTTTGCCAGAATTCGTGTTTATATTCCACGGAGCTGTTTTCCCCTCATTTGGCAGAATGACTGCAAGGCCTATACTGGTAAAGTATTCCTATACCGTCAACCGGGCACATATGTTTTGAATGATTGAACACTACTATAGGCGTATTATGATTTACGGTGATCGTCGCCATTATTTGTCCGGGGTATTGTTATATTGTGTGTAATGTTGAACATTTTTAATGCAATCGTATCTATGCACAGCAGCCGAACGGGAAGTGTGTTCGACTTCAGTATAAACGTCCACATACGTATACGCGTCCACAAATAAATGAGATGTAGACACACGCTTCGGTGCCGGTGGGCTAGCTCCGCATCGATCAGATATGATGCTATAGGACTGTAGTTAGCAGCTAACAACAGCTATAGTACCTTTTACATTTGGACAATAGACCCAGCTAGATTTCTTATATCAAGATCATTGCATGACGTGACAAACGATGGGACATGAATTGTTTAGATATCAACTAGTATGCAGATCCAGAGTTGCTTAACCTTTGAATTGCTGAGTAATAGGCTCTCTCCGGTCTTTTCCCTTTATTCGACCATTCTCCAGGGTTCGGTCTTGTTTGCACTCGGCAAAGGTCTAGCCTTGCGATCGGCCGGCAAGATTGTCCAAAGTGGGTCTGCGATCTCCACATCTATGATGTCATCAATCAAACGTATGAAGAACAAAGGAACAGGTTCAACTTCAACACGTGGTATGATTCTTTCTTCGTGTTTTGTTTGCGTTTTTCCTGTTAATTTAAATTCTGCCTTATTATCGGGGGCGTCACTAGAGCCACGTTTAGGGTGATAATTCACGAATTTATACATGTTTTTTAATTCATAAATCGTGATCCTGTCAAATCGTATGCCCGTCAACAAATCATGCAGCATCAAAAGCGCCACTTTGAGTGTCCAGTCCATAATAATATCTTAATTAAGGTTTGACGCGCCAATCATACCGTTGAATACTTTGTGTTAGGGCCCCCAAACACTGCGTCCTGCAGCCGCCATGCATGTTACACTATTGTGGGCGTTCGAGTAGCTTCACCGAGTCAACTCGGGTAAAGGCAGACGGATTTTCTATAACAACCGCTGGCTAATTTATCGAACGCCGCGGCCGTGCGCCATCTTGATCATCACGCGTCACACGACGCCCGAAACTGGAGCCTTGGCAAGCCAAACGCCCTCGGAATGAATTTTACTAATTACTACAAAAAGTTGTCAGCTTCTCAATACTTGGAATGAAAAAACAAAACGCATGCGTGTGACGTTATTCCACCACAGACCCGCGCCGCGAGCAGCAGGGTCTGATCACGTCAAGACTAATCGAACGACACATGGGACTGACCCGAATCGAGCCAGGTAAGCAAATCGAACGCGTCCACGTTCATGGTTATGTGCGTTCAAACTTGGGACCGCAATATTCGGGCGCGTCAGGTCTGTTTTTGTAATTGTCACAATTACCAACACACCACCATCAATTTTCGAACAAGAAAAAGGTTATTGCTACCTCCCAGGTTGTCAGAATGAGGACTATGAATCCAAACGTTGACTTCCTATTCTAACTGCTGACGGTACAATGTAATACTTAAGCAAGGCTTCGTAATTATTCATTGTCAGGAGATTCGAGCCAAGCCCGAAGAATTTGCTTGACGGCAGCTAAACTTATCGCAAGGATACTTCTGACGAAAGCGATGATGTCATCGAAAGATATCGTGAAAAAGTCTGGCTCAATGGGGGAAAGCATCGACGCTAATGAGCTCCCTGACGTGGACCCGGAGGTACAAGCGAGCCTCATCAAAAGCATCATGGAGAGTGGCTGGGGTGCAGCGGCTTTTGCTTCTGATAAAATCAAAGGTATGCTCCCAGACGTGGAACCGGAGGTGCTTGCGAACCTCATCATAACGATCAGGGACAGCGGCTCGGATGCAGCAACTTTTGCAACTGAAAAGGTCAAAGGTGTGCTCCCTGACGTAGAACCGGAGGTACTAGAGCTCCTCGTCGGTATTATCCTGGAGGGTGGCTTGGTTGCAGCGAGCTTTGCTTCTGATAACATCAAAGGTATGATATTTTGTTACTTCCATTTTTTTTTTGGAAAACAAAATGGACATTAATGGCTGCTAATTGTAGTACAAAGCCGGAGCACACCACTCCTTCCGTTATGTTATGGTAAGGGGGATAATGGTTGTCTGAAGGCACAAGGAAGCAATCGGAATTACAGTCAACACAAATAGCTCAAAAATGGATTTATAAATTGATGACATTTGGCTTCCGCAAATAGAAAGGAGGGCTGGGGTTGCACCCCCCCCCAAGAAAAAATCCCTTTCATCCACTGACTTATGTTACAATACTGACTTATGTTACAAAACTGGAGACCAAAAGAATTCAAATGAATGCTCAAGTTCCTAAAAACAGGATCAATTCCTCGCACCGTGAGTTACGAAAACACGATTGTTTTCGAAGTTATAATGTTGCAATATCTCATCTAGCCAATATGCAGTATCACATTTCATTATTCATATAAGCACATTGGAAAGGAGTTTCCTTTCCAGAGCTTACTTTTGGAAACGAGGTTGAAAATAAAAGTAAGCCCTGGAGAACAATTTGCCCTGCATAGTCATTTTCATTTCAGATTGTAAGAACCGCGTGTAGTGCAATTGTTTTTATTCTTCACAGATTATTTGCCAGACTTAGCTGCAGCGACTCTGGCTCTTGGTGGCGTCTCTATCGCACTCCCTGCCATCGGTGCCGGCGGAATAGCGGTTGGAAAATATACTCTTATCAAAGTAACTGTATCAGCAATTCTTGTAATGGGAAGACATGTTTGGAATTATTAACAAAATTTACCGAGCACGAAGATTACAGCAGCCTCGACACTGAGCTGGCCATGTTCACAGGAATTGTGGCTTTTTGTGCTTAATTGCCTTTGGTCGAAATAAAAAAAAATGTTTAGCGTCCCGCCTTTAAGGAAAAGAAGGAAGATGCGGCCTTTTATTTTTCCTTCAAGATAACTGCCCGACCGGGCTAAGTGTCCGCCAGGTTTTGTTTACATGGCCGCCATTGGACTCCGAAAATGACATAGCAGCTTTATTTGGGTTAGATGCAACAGATAAAGAGGCCAAAATGATGTCACAGTTGAAACTTATCATTTTTTCATGTATCAAAATTTTTTTTAAAAGGAGATGGCCTCCAAAAAGAAAGCGGGCCGGGACGCTAAATGTTTTGTGTTTTCATTTCGCCTGAAGCCCAATTCATATTTGACGTCATGAAACATTCGCTGCGAAATTTGCTAGAGTTGAAATGTGTTCAACTTTTACGAATTCGCAGCACGAATACTCCCCATGACGTCACAAATTTGCGTTCGCTTTCGCTTTCGCGCCGAGTATGAACCGGGCTTCAGGAGTAAACAAAAAAAACAGTAAAAAGTACGAAACCAATGATTGTGAGTTCAGATTCATTCTTTTGTGCTAGTTTAATATAAAAACAAATTACAGAATGCCATGCTCTGTAGCTATAGTTCCAACTATAGTTTGACCATACAGTTGGGTATGCGGAACAATAGCCGCGCTGTAGTTGGAACTACCCAACTATGGCTGAGCTATATAGTTGGAGCAGTTGACACAGTTGGAATGTAACATCAACTCCGAAGACGGTTGTCTCAGAAGATGGTTGAAATTATGTAGACACTTGTACTTTACCTATACCGGGTGCATTTTTCCAACAAAGATTACACAGTGATCTGAACTTTGTGTACAACTTAAAGGCAATATTAAAACTTTGCCATTAAGATAAGAAAAAAAATACACGAAATTATATGGCAAGTGTTTATAAAAGATTATTCCTTTTAGGCTCCGCCGTAAACTTCGTCATTAGTCTATTTTCAGTTGTATAATTGAAAAAAAATCGATTACCTTTCTAAAAGCGGATATTTCTTCTTTTTGGGGGGATACCTTTTACCATCTGCAACCCTCTGAAAAAAAATAATAAATTGGGTTGTTCATGCGCGTAAATAGATGCGAGTAGACTATAGGGCCGGTTCCTACATTATCGATTCTGGTATGATGCGGGAATCAATTTGGCCTATGATAACACAGCTATACATTTTTGTAGCAATGAAGAGAAGTTCCTGTTTCCAATAATGTCATGTCCATGGTTTGTCATTTTAATTTCCATAACATATTAAGTGAGATGTCACCGAGCCTTTCTCACCTGTTTTACTAAATGTGCACAGACCTCATTTTGTGACGTCACATTTGAAATGACATTATGCACTGACACTTGTAGCCTATAGACCATTATCATGCTGCGTCCATCTTGATTTTCCCCCGTTCCAATCAACGTAACCAAAGAGAGGCTGGAAGGGAAAATAGTCTGGTTCCTTTTTGCACAAAGAAACATTAACATTCAGTACTGATATTTGATACAGGGATCATCACTGAAATTGTGGCAGCATGATAAAGGTCTATAATGGGAGACTTTTGAAAGCCTTAGGTGGCAGCAAACACACCGGCCCTTGCCAATTATTTGCGTTATTTTTAGCATGCGACATTAGTTTAAACGACGTAAGCGTTGGAAAAGGAACCGTGTGTTTGCTGCCACCAATCGTCTCAAAAGTCCCACATTGTACAATGAGCAGCATCGTCAGCTTGGCATTCACTGGAATTTCTGTATCTAAACTGTAGCTTGTTGTCCTGTACCTTTAGGAGTCAAAAAAAATAAACAAGAAGCACGAAACCAATATTTGTACATTCAGATTTAATCATGTGTGTTATTTGTTTTCAATAAAGTATCATTGCACACTTTGTACGCGCAATGCCATGCTCTGTACCGTGTTTGCTCTCCCCCTCACATTTTGAAAACATCAATGAAATTCAGATAATCAAACTAAATACTGCAAATTAATTTACAAATTTTAAAAACAAAGCTGGAAGCATTAACCACGATTCAGTTCCCTTTTTAAACAGTCACATTAACATGTGAATATTAGTGTTGTGACTACCTGTATAATGAGTATAACATGATCCCCTCCAAAACGAAACAAAACAAAAGTTAAACTGTTCGTATAATAATTATTATTAGTTGTTAATAAAAAATTTAAAAAAACATGTACCAAGTGGTACAACCCACAGCGGCCGGGTAACGTGTGAAGATGGCTTACGGCACCGTCTGTGTATGCACACGGGCCGTACCAGTACCTCGCGAGTACAGAATCTTATATGCAAAAATATGCAGATTAGACGCATGCGCATCAGTGTTTGAATTAATTAACTCGAGTTGAATTAATACAATATATGGCCGAGTCAAGTGTCCACCAACCCACCCACCCACCAACCAACCAACATAGAAACATAAGTAGCTTAAGCCCATATTTCCCGCATACTTATAGTTTCCATAAATATAAAGTCATTCAATATGACATGTAATACTTCAAGAGGTTTACTCACAAAACGGCTGAACATTTCTTGATCTCACCATGCAGAAAAGTGAGTAATTTTTTTACCCATTTAGAGGATTCCTCGCACGGACTCGGATCTATTATTCAGTGTTTCGGAAGGGGATGCTTTCCTTTACCGCTGTCCCAGAGCAGAAAAACTTTAGCACAATTGAACCATTGAAAACCTGAAATCTCATATTAATATTTTCGGCTTAAAATTATTCAAGTGATTAATTCTCCTTTTCTTCTTTGTTCTTCTTGAATTTATCCTGGAACACGCCTACAAAGTACGAGGCAGCTCCCCCGATGGCAGCGCCGACACCGCCCACAGCTGCCGTGGCCCCGGCGCCGAGGCCCGCGGCCCCGGCGGCCTGCAGGGTCGCCACCAATGAACCAGCAGCCACCCCGCCACCGTTGGCGATGGCAGCAGACGACATCATGCCGGCGGCGTAGGATCCGGCCGCTATGCCGCCGGCCCCGAAGCCAATCACCGGTAGAACCACCACCGCTGCGCCCACGGCAAGTGGTGCACATATTGCCCCCACCAATAGATTGCGCTTCAAATATCCTGGATGAAAAATAACATGAAAACATAATCGGCACTTTAAACATTTGCACGGTTTGAAATGGAACAAATTTAAAATCCGTTCACACATTTTCCCAAACGTTTAAAAAAGCCAACATTAAAAAAACCGGAAATTTGTGTTTTTCTATTTAACAGGGGTAGCACCTCGTTTTGGGATTTGTTTAAAACGTCCGGCTTTAAACCGGTTATGGACCTGGTCGCCGATAATGACACTCGCCGAAACCAGTCCTTTAAGACTGCTCCGCCACACTATTTGTATTCGGGTGCATACCTATGTTCCCCAATACCTATGTTCCCCAATACCTATGTTCCCCAATACCTATGTCCCCCAATACTAACCCTGACCCTAACCCTAACCATGGATTTTGGGTAACATGGGTATTTTCTACATCGGGTAGACCCCATATATTCCCTTATTATGATTCACGATTTGAATAGTGGGATTGGAACCGAAGACCTCGCAAATGTATTCAAAATCTACCTTTGAGCACGGCAGCTCCACTTCTATTGTGGCTCTTTCTCTTAAAACCATCAGCGCAAAAATGGGCATGGTTGATCTTTTTGTTTTCCATTTAATTGGTACTATGAATTAGGGACCAAAGAATTTGGGTGGTGAGCAAAATCCAAAATAAAGAACTTTTTTCTGGTGCAAGTGGTTTCAAAAGTGGTATAATTTGCGGTTTACCTCCACTACTTTGTTCTTCTCCGCTGCTTTGCTCCTGTGGTGTCTCATCAGGGACTGATTCATCGGTTATTTTCCCCGCCTGTCTCAACCTCGGGTGGTCGCTCGGGGTGGTAGGTGCAGAGGACTCGTCTGGAACTTGCGTTTCTGCAACAAACACACTTATCTTACGATCACAATTATTTCGTATTGGTTATTAATGAATATATTTTGATATATGCAGTGCGGTAATGGTTGCGAAAGAAAGCACCAAAATCAATAATTATTTGGGTTGGATTCGAACTCAGGACCTGTATGTGCAGGACGAAGGGGAACCGGAAGGCTGTATAAGTCCGAGTCCAAGAGCGAGGTAGACGGATGTTTTTGGTTCGGAAGTTCTCCCATACTACGAACATAGCTTACTTTCAAAATTTGCATCTCCATCCCGACAAAAATTCCAAAAGGTCAGAGTCATTCCTTTGTTCCCGTGACCAAAAGAAATCGTCAATGTCATTCTATTTCAAATCGGCACCCTTCCTCACCGCTGGAATGCTGGACTCTTGGGTAAAAATGTTATTGAGGCCAGTTCTTCGTAAAGTTCAGTTTTTGGTCTTTAGCTTCGGTATGGAGCTGATTTTTTCTTATCTTTGCCTTGTTGGGGTTATTGAGCTCAGTATATTTGGGGCCTTCTCATCAGGTACGAGTGCTGAAGCCGAAGTTGGAGTTTTTGGCTTGAACACAGGATCGAGGCTTGTATAAAATTATTATGATTCCTGATACAAGGGCGAAGTAGATGCTTGGTTTTCAGAAGTGTTATAAGAGGTAAAGGTAAAGATCCCATAGCCATTACTGGCCGTAGGCTTGGACGCGGTATATATGAGTGGCGGGGCCTAGTCCTCTCCTCTCGCCGTCTTACCTTCCCTGAAAGAATCAGGTACCCATTTTACTGTTGGGTCGTCAGAGACAGTTTTCCAGTTTTGGGTTCGAATGGGATTCGAACCGCCAACCTTCCACTCCGTAGCTCCACGCTCTAACCGCTCGGCTACGAGGCCCCTCAGAAGTGTTATAGTACTTCGTGAAACCTTTATTTTTTATCACTTTGACTGCTATTTCATGATTACGCATCATAAAACATTGTCTTCCTGAGTAAATAGGCCGAGGCCTACGCCTTATTCATAATAATGCTCATAGTGTGTTTACAAACTGAAAGTTAATAATTGAACTGCATTTTGATTTTGAAAGATAGATATGAACGGCATATCACAACGCACTTAATTTGGTTGTCGAAAGCCACAGAATTCCAAAAATAGCCTAAATTGACATACAAAACTTAAATGTATCTCCGACTCCTGGTCATCGTCAACCCATCAAAACATAAAATTTTAAATCTTAAAACAAAATAGAATTATCTAGTTGGGAAATATGGTCTTGCCCTTCGAGCATGAAATACATGAATAGTTCAAAAATAATACACATACGTGTCATAATTATGATTTATCAACAAAATTATTATAGGGCCTTATGATTACAATTTCCATTTCCGAACTCCAAAGTCCGAAATTTGTGAATATCATTACTGCCATATGCGCTACACAAACAGAACTAATTAACCAGTTATATACAGCAGTTCTTCATTATACTGCAAAATTGTACAGTATACAAAAGAAACAAATGTCACTTCCTGTACTTTTCTTCAACAATAAACAATATATATGCAAAAACAATATATATGCAACCAGACAAGTCAGCCCAAAAAAAGCCCACTCGCCGCAGTACCACAGCCGTATTGTAAGGGGTATATCACAAGAAAAAAAACAACACAAATACATATAATTTTGATGCTTATTTGGTTTTCAAATCGTTAAACATGCGGAAATATTTCTACATAATGCAATATGCAGGAGCAATTTGAAAGTCACAATGATAACCTTGGCTAACGGGCCCCTCAATCCGGCTAATATAACGAAATTATCAAACAAAGCCAAAACTTCCTTTCTCAAATTTATCTCCTACATCAACACTTTAGCTACCCCCTTTTTTTTTACTTAATGGAACCCCTTTTTCAGAGCTCTTTTCCTTGACTTTGAAATTGTGCAATGCATTTGAATTGTTGTAGGGCCTAGTTTAATGTTTAAAGTTCACTCCCTCAAAAATAGTGAATTAAGAACTTAAATTCAGCTTTTTCAAGGCCTCTCCTATTTATGATGGAAAGTTTCAAGAATGTCGTTGGGTTTGGGCAGGTAAAAAAAGTTGCCTCATTTCCTGCACTGGAACTTATGTCCTTACAAGAGAACTACTTTATTTGTAGTCCAGTCCTCACAGTCACAAGCCAATTACAAGTCTTATAGTCTTAACTCAATGCACGGACATTGACATTAAAGTTTTGTCAATGTTCCCACTGATTATTTACCCTTTATGGTATGTGACAGAGGTGTCCCCCCCCCCCATCACCCTATAAACACCGTATAGACTATTGTTACCTAACATATTCCCAAGATATCTCAAAAGAAATTCCGAGATACTGGTAACACAATGGCAAACACCGGGGTTCCCTCTGTCACATATCGTGCTACCTATTTGTCATTGTGAAGTAGTAATTTGAGTGTGATTGACTTGACTGCGAGACATGCTGTCCAATAAATGACGTTACCTTTTAGATCTAATGTTTGAACAGTGACATCTGGGAACAGCCGCTTCAAATGCTGGACAAACTCTTCGGCCCCCATAACATCTTGAGAACCATCTGCGCTGAAATCGGCAAGTGTAAGTTCTCTGATGCTTCCATCATCAAAACACACCTGATGAAAATGTTATTGAGGAATTTTCAAAGGAGAAAAGAGAGAATTCCAATTTCTTACATTGGTATATACTTAAGCTATAGGCCTATCCAAGATTTAATTGCAGCAATTAGGTTTAACCAGTTCAACATGTTGGCCTACCTTCACAGGCAGTTATTGATGGGTGTGATCAAGTACGCCAAGGCGCGCTGCGAAAGCTTTACACATCCAGTTCATAAATTGTGAGTTTACTGTCTAACCACCAATTGCACAAAATCGCAACAAAACGCTATTTCAGCATGATTACAGATGTTACTTTGACGTGACGTTGTCATATTTCGTTTTAAAGGCCTATGCGAAATAAATAACAAAATCATTTCCTTAATTAAGATAGGTTAATGTATGTAATTAAGCATGCAGAGCTGTTAAACATGTAATGGCTTTATGTTGTAATTTACAACCGTCATACATAATCCTACAGGTTAAACATGGGAATTACCCGCAGACCACAAATCCTTAACAACGAGGCCACAGCGCTCGACATTTGCGAGTTAAATTTGAATAAAATCTGGAGCGCTGACTAAATCCAATGCTTTGCACGTTTTAACTTGGCAGCGGGTATTTTGCCGGAGACGGCAAACCTTTAGTAAACGTTAGTTTGCCGGATATGCACTGAACATGCGCAGTTACTATGCTTTTGGAGGGGGACAGAATTAACGGGCCGGGGAGGACACTTTTACCTAGGTAATTCTGTCCCCCGGACAGTTTTACCAGGGGACAGAATTACCTTCCACACCGGCATGGTCTCCGTCTTTGTGCCATTCCCATTGTGAACAATGTACTGCTGCTGATGGGCGTCTCTCTTGCAAGCGCTTGCCCCGAATCATGACATTGTGATTAGCAGCAGTGTCTTTGCTCTGGGGAATTCAAAGTTGGAAATGTGCCCAGACATTCTGAGCTCGTCAGTGTACCAGATGTTTTCTTCAAATTTAAATCCCAAAAGGGTATAGGTTACTCGCAAATGGCTTAATTGTTTGTGCGCGACTCGATTTTTTCTTCTTCTTTTTTAGATTTTCGAAGTTCTACGATTAATTGCTCATGTGGTTTGAAAGAAATAGGCATATCAATATAGCAAACTTCATTAATTTAAAGCTTATCAACAATTAGATTTGGAAACATGTCATGAAATTCCGAGGAAATACTCTGGAAATCAAAAGTGTGCTACCGGGGTACGGCCTATATCATTGCACAGCAACAAAATAATGTTAAGTATAATTCTGTGTTAAGTTTACCTGTACTCTTCCGTCCGGGTATGCCTTGACCGACACGACGATTTTGAGTTGACCATTTTCTCCACGAACTGGTTTATCGTTCACGATCAGAATCACTTGGTCTTGGGCAGAGGGCCTAGAAAACGACCACATGATGGCTGACTGTGCAGATGTAGATATAGACGTGTTCCTAGCGTGAAGAACTGGCCAGCGTGTTATCAGTCAATGCGACTGCGCCACGCAAGAACGCGCGATGGGAATCCCAACAGCGGATTCCAAACCTCGGGTTCAACCCGCCTGAGCCTCAGAAGATTTAACAATGGCTCTGTCTCGGGAAGCTGTTGCTCATTAAGGCATGACTTTGCTTCAACAAAAAAATGTAAAAACTATATTATATCAGTGCAAACTTTTGAGTATGTTCATTTAAGTCCGAGTTGAACGTACACGATTGTTAAAACCAAATATGAAGCCGAACATGAAGACGATACCAGTTTTTAAAGACACATGTTGGAAAAGAGCTGCGTGAAAGTAACCCCTGATGGCGCACTTCCGAAACCTTTGTATACGAAAAATAATTAGCAAAAAATTCAAAAATTTGCAATCACTTAATTTGGGGTGAATTTATTTCTTATGAAAATCACCCTCGAAAAAAGGGCCTTTGTAAAATTGTTACTTTAGCATCTCAATTTGTGGAAACTGAAAAATCGGCTGACATTAAACAGAAATATCGTGCCAAGAATTGACCTCTTACTTGTTTCAATTCCGAAATCCAAAGTAGACGCGAACGTGGTGTGAAATTATGAAATAATTTTGTGGTGGTCAGTTAGTGAAAACTTGAATCCAAAAACCAAAATGTACTATTTAAGGCTTACAATTTCTTTGAATAAACTTAAAGCACTCGTTAGCATTTACGACAAAAATCTAAAATGACAACTGCTAAAAACTAGGACTACAGTCAAGAACCAGTCCGACGAATCTGGAATCGTATAAATCGCGATTCAATGATCCCCTCCGAGAAAATCAAAGCACTGTAAGCACCATGTATAATGTAAACAATTATTAATTAAAAATATAAGTGCTATTATGTTTTTTTATATTTTTTATATATAATTTTTTTCTGGCAATGAAGCCAAGGATTCCTCATAAGTAGCTCGAAAGCCTAAAGAAACCTGTAGAAGACAATGGGAAGAAATTACAGTTTTATATAATTATAGTTCAATATAAGCACTTAAATCTTAGCACACATTCCCATATTCAGTGTTTTCATACACTAGCCATTCAATACAAGTAACACTCATAAGCAGGTTTACTCTAAAACTGCTGGTCACCTCTTGACCTCACCAGAAAATGTTACTCTTTTAGAAGATTCCTATCACGGAAATAATTTTAAGCACAATAAATTGTTTCAAGGACCATATAACCTGATATCTCATGTTAATACTTTCGGCTTGAGATATTTTTGCTTATTTCTTTTTTTCGTCGCTGGTCTTCTTGAGTTGATCCTCAACCTTGCCTGCTACGTACGCAGCACTTGCCCCGGCGGCAGCGCCGGTACCGGCCACAGCTGCCGTGGCGCCGGCGCCGAGGCCCGCGGCCCCGGCGGCCTGCAGGGTCGCCACCAATGAACCAGCAGCCACTCCTCCACCGCTGGCGACCGCCGCGGACGACATCATGCCGGCGGCGTAGGATCCGGCCGCTATGCCGCCGGCCGTGAAGCCAATCGCCGGTAGAGCTACCACCGCTGCGCCCACGGCAAGTGGTGCACATATTAGCCCCACCAATAGATTGCGCTTCCAATGTCCTGGATGAAACATGACGCGAAAATATAATCATTACTTTCATAAAGAAAAGTGTCATTTTATACGATTAAAATAGATATCTTAATTGCTATTTTTCTAGCAACACCAACAGTATTCACTTTGTCTTTTTGAAATTGGTCACATTCCCGGCTCACAGCCAACTGACACACTGAGCGAGCAGGCTAGGGCATCCCACTCCAACGCAACGCCCAACAGACAACCAATCAGAATCTACCAACACAAGCACTCCCACTCCTAACACAGCCTACTTAAGGAGCAGCATCTCCAACTCTCCTCAGTCTACTGACGATGACTAGAGCAGGCTAGTCGAAACGAAAAGACAAGTTCTTTTATAACTTAAAGCAGGACTGTTCACATCAGAACTAAAACTACTTAACGAAAGTTCATAATAAGCAGGACAAGTTTTTTTCAGAACTCAATTTCTACTGAGCAGTAGTTATTACTACAAGGTGTTACCGCGAAACGATACTCATACTCAACCATGCAAATTCTAAAATCTTATTATTCACTTTGAATGGGACATCGACCCAAAAAAAAGGCACACAAGCTATTGAATTGTTATTTTTTACAATTCAGAATTATTGGCTGGCAGACAATGATCCGTGCGTGGATGTTTGGCCAAACGCTTACCAAACTAAAGTGGCTTCCAATCTTTAAATAGGAAAATATGATTCCCGATTTAAATTGTTGGATTGGAAAGAACCTCGCAATCTATTCAAAATCACCATGGCATGATGGCATGCAGCTCTACTTCTGTTGTGTCTCTTTTCTCTTGAGATTACCACCTAAATAAAGCGGGCACGGTTGATGTTCTTTCATGGCATGAACAAACGAACACAAAAATGTAGGGAACGTGAGCAAGATCCAGGAATAAGAGCCATTTATTGCTTGTAGAAGTTAAGTATCGGTACGAACTTCTGGCATACCTTCATTTTTTGGTGGCGATGGTTGAGCTGGGGTAGAAGGAGATGACTTGTGTGGCATTTTGGTTCCTGCATGCAACAAACACACTTATCAGAAATAATGTAAAAAAATAAGACATAACTTTTATCACCATAATTACTTATTATTAAATCATTCTAGATAATATAATATATAATAATACTTTAGTATGGTGCTTATATAGCGCTTTATACCAAAATGTCTTAAGGCGCTTCACAATTACTTCCTCCGCTCTTCAAAACAAAAGTGGCGTAAGGATGCAGGTGAACATTCTTTCCTTAACCGTGCTTCTAATTCTGGTGACCGGATTCCACTATCTAACGCGTTGTCCATGTTACCTTGTACAGGGGCATTTGTCAAAGTAGGGAACCGCCGCTTCAAATGCTCGGCAAACTGTTCTACCCCCATGTTATCAGGTGTAGTACCATCTGCACTGTAATCGGCAAGCAGAAGTTCTCTGGTGCTTCCGTCATCAAAACACACCTGATGAAAATACATGTAGAAAGGAATTTTCAAGGGAGAAAAGAGAGAATTCCAACTTCTGACATTGGTATAACTTACAAGTAACGTGCCGATCTATAGACCCGTAAACATGGCCATAAAAATGATGTACATCGTCATGTGTCGTTATTGCCATGTAGATGATGTACACTGTATTCGAAAGCCTGGATGATGACGTCCCATCCACCATCAAGTTTTAATGAGCATAACTGGCAAATCGTATGCGCTAATTCACTAATACAGGGGGTTGGCGGTCAACCCAACTCCCACCCACCTGTCAAACATTATTTTTTTCTTAGAAAGTAGTTTTAAAACTTATTCAGACCCCCCCCCCCCCCCCCCCGCTCCCGCTCTGAAACCATTACTGGCAATGTCGGTCCGCACAAAATACATACAGAGCCAGCTTGGTTTAGGGGTATGATTGCGATATGATCGCCCATCATGTTTGCAATATTGGAAAAAAATGGTGCAACCTGACGCCACTATCTTCATATATCAATTATCATCTTAATGAAGGTCATTCATTGCAAAAATGATTATAAAGACATGAATCTGGGACTGAGTATCATCAATACAAAACTTTCTTGACTCTCCATACATGCCAACTAAAAAGCCCCAAAAGTGTGGCCGCGATATTGCTGCGCCGTGCAATATCACGGCCACCGGCTAGTGGGGCTACATGCCATATAGAATTTGTACACATTCGCAGAAGGTTGCAATGTTCATTTTTCTCCGCAATTTTACCTGTACTCTTCCGTCCCGATATGACTTGACCGACACGACTTGCTTGAATTTACCGTTTTCTCCACGAACTGGTTTATCGTTCACGGTCAGAATCACTCGGTCTTGGGCAGAGGTCCTAGAAGTAGAAAGCCACCACATTGTGGTTGCACTTCTGATCATGGCAAACGGGTACGTTTTCAACTACCAAACTGTATCCACCCGTCCCCGGCCCTAGCCGCTAGCTAATCTAAACCACTGCCGCTGATCTCTATGTAAAGACTGGATAGCGGATATTCATACGCCATTCACACAGTAGACTTTGCACATTGACCAATTCGCCCCATACAGCGCATTTTGATCACGTACACATAATAATTATGATGTTCTAAAAAGGACACATTTCCGAAGTGATTATCATTTTCAAAACGCCGAAAAAGTGAACTGCGGCATTAAAAAAGTAAACCACGACGTTAGAAAAATGGTTAAACCTTGGTCACGTCAGTGGTGGAGGCCAAACCAGAAGTAAAGTGAACCGCGATGTTACAAAAGAAATCATGCTGTCTATAAAGACGGCAACTTGTCCTTTGTAGATCACCAGCGGCAGCCGGTCTCACCGGTCTCACCAATATGGCGTCAAATTCATTCATTGTGCGGCTCTTTATGCGCTATCCAGTCTTTATATAAAGATATCAGTGTCTATGATCTTTGATCTAGTACCAAAGATCGCGACCGCGTTGCCGCCATTTGGAATTCCATCAGCAGGGTTTTCAAACCTCGGACTCGGCACAGCCGCAAGAGATTTTGTAACAACTTATTTGTTATTAATTGATGTCCAGATAATTGATTGACAGGATTTCCAGGATTTGAGCGATGAACTATGATTGGTTTATTGACACTTAAATTAAAGATGATTGAACGTGATTAGCGGCCATCTTGATTCTATGCCATAATCATAAACGATCCCACAATGCAACATACATGTCAGCTCTACGGAGGCTTTGGATGGACAGGACATGAACACAATCAAAGGATGAACAACGAATGAATGTACATGTATACAGGTTTACCGTTACAATTTTTTTAAATGGTTGTCTCAGGGAACTCTGACTCAATGATGCATGACCATGTTTCATAAAATTATAAAAATAATTTACGATATCAGAGCATACTTTGGAGTATGTTCATATAGAGTTTGAGTGGCACGAAAATGTTAAACCAATTATGAAGCCGAACCTGGAGACGCAACCGGGGTTTTGAAAAATCAAAACGCATGAGGGAATTCCCCCGACTTAGTGCCCCAAATGTAGCGTCGTCCCAACTGTAGTTGGGACAATCCCAACTATAGTTTGGGCGATAGTTTATACGCCGTTCCAACTATACAATGTATAATTGGAACCATGCCAACTACAGTTGGGGCAATGGCTGTAGTTGGGGCAATGGCTGTAGTTGGGGCGTAACAGTTTCACATAGCCACGTTAATAGGGCGAAATTTAATTTGGACTAACTCCTTTCCTTCTTCATGATCGTGCCCACGGTCGATGCATAATGGGTGAAATGTGCACCAACATAAACCATCATGAGAAACAGACAACTTTGCATTAATGGTGTGATTTTATTTAAATTTTTAATTTGATAAGCAATATCAAATATTCATATTATTTCTATTCATCTTCCATTCTAGCTTCTTTTTTTAATGGTGGTCGCAAACAAACTTAAAAAAAATATAGAAATTCCCCCCACCAAAACTTCCTGAACTATTGTTTAAAATGCAAAAATAGTGCGTGCACCTAATTGTTGTATATTATTGAATGGTTAAACCTTTCAAAGTTATGGTTATAATTTTTTTTCAATAACTGAACGAATAGTGAGAAGTATGTTTACTAAGATTTCAAAGACGACATTAAAGTACATATAAAAAATATCATGGAAACAAAACATACAAACAAAAACTCATGGATATTGCATGATAAGCAGCAGCGCAAATGAATAATTTTCACAAACGTCATTTTATATATTGTAAATTTCAAATTATGAAAATACATGAATAAAGATCTAATCTATCATATTATTATACAAATATATCAATGAAAAAATTTGGAGAAGTGAAACACACTTAATATTAACAAATCACTTAATTCAAAATTATCAAAACTAGTACCGGTACACAATATACTTCCTAAAAGACCCTGTCTACCTAGTGATCTCATTCAAAGTTAGTTTGGATCTGAGACTGACTTAATGTAATGTTGCAATAGAGTCCTTGGCCAGCACATCATCTCAGTGCCACAGGGTCCTCTCGATGTCGATGACGGGCAACTTTGAACAATCCAACATTTTAGCATCTTTTCCATGTTAAATTGCCAACATTCGACAGTTGATATCAACAGTCAATAACTCCTACTCATACATGCAGTGCAAAAGTGAAACGCTTCTTGAAAGTTAATTTGCAAATTGCGTGACAATAACTTCCAAAATGGTCGTTAATAAGATGAATCAAATTCTGTCTTTGGACTGTCGGACATGGACTCAAGAAATTCCAAATTTCCAAGCATCCATCAGGCACTATTCTTGCTAATTTCTTGAGACACTTCTAATTGCCAAATCCTAGAATTACTTAAAATTTATAAAAGTCTTAATTTCTGTTAAGTACCCATATTTATAGTGGGCTTAGAACATCAATACTGTTTGAGTTAGCGTGTTTCTACAATATCAAAGTTCTGTCTCGAAAATTTGAGGGAAACAAAAATAACAACCACCTCTACCTACAAAGGGAAACCACTAATTTTATGGAAATAGCGGCCTAAACGCCACAGTCGCATGGTTACCAATAAACATTTCCCCAAAGCATATGGGCTTTTGACTTGCTGCAGAATTATTAAGAAGACTTTCATCTGCAAACTCAAAATTGCCTGGCAGTATTTTGAGAAACAGCATATTATACACATTCTACACTGTACAGGTAAAAGTTATTCAAACTCTGAGATAGAAGCCAGATTAACGAAAAGATTTCGCTTTCAATGGAGTCAATTTGTAAATTTCCTAAGGAGTTAATTTGGGAAACTTTAACGTCAAATTTCTCACTTTTCTACTTTCTGGCTGAACGTTGGGAACTGAAATACCTATAACTCTGTCAGATTTTGTACGATTCCCATTTTCTTTACATCATTGTCTGATTCCCATTTTCTATGCATCATTAGAAAGCTTATCAATATACATTGTCGTTTCTAGTGAGCTTAAATTTCTAGTTTTCAAAAGTTGGTCCAAGTGACTGGTTTTGGGCTGGAGGCCCTAAATATCTTAAAGCCGCAGCCACAGGCAAAGCCATAACTGGTGACCGTCTACCAATTGCTATGTCTCCAATACAAACTATCGCATGGTTACCAGCTCTTCTCCGGAGGTCGGATGGATGGCTACCGTCGCGTCAAAGTCCTTCTTGGTCGCTCCCATGGTGATTGCGACGGAGAAGCCCTGCAGCATCTCGTCCACTCCCATGCCTTGCATGTGAAGACCAACCACCTAACACAAACAAGATAGATTCTCTGTTCACAGACTGTCACAGTGTCAATACTGGGTTTCACTGATGTTATTTTAAAGCACTTTTTTTCTCAGCACTGGCATCGGACTTTTGACAAGCGAGACAAGAGTTCACAACCTCCCTTGGGTGGGACTCAAACCCACGATGTCCAACTTACCGGTGTCAAACCCCAAGGTTTTCAGGGTTCCCAGGGTTTCCTAGTTATCTTCAATACCTGAAGGCATGCGTAAACCCACCAATGAGTTCGTATTTCCTTGGCCTAAATTCATACTGCACCTGCACAGCTGCATTATGCGTCACATCTTTATAATACTAGTACCACTCACGAGAGGCACCAACCATAAACATAGCTAGAGGGGTGTTTCGCAAAAACATGATGTACAATAGTGGAACAAAATCGTTGGAAAAGTATAACTTAAGACTTGTTTTGACTTTTTGACCGAAAGGTACCGGTATTTATGAATGATAATGGCCCGAGCCAATCCGCGTCCAGCCCCTCGGTGCTCGGTCTTCCCTTATTAAAAATACAATTGCATACTAGTAAAATTGTGAATCCTGTTTTCTTTAATCACCACAAAATCGTTTTTCTTCTCCGTGGACTTCTAATTGTACCTTTTCTTCCGGTCCAGCACAGATTAGTTTCATCTTGGTCCTCTCTTTGCGTTCTGTCAATGCAAAGTACATGTTGTTAAAAGTCGACTGGTAGATCTTGAGATTTTCACGCTTGTATTTAGCCTCCGCTTCAGCTGCATGAAAAAAAAAGTGAGAAGAAAAAGACATTCTATTACCAAAGAACAATGAAGGGGGGAACTTTGGCCTGAAATGGGCCTAAACATGTTTGGTTTTTTTGCTACTTGAAAAGTAGGGCACCGATAAAACCGTTTGAAAGAAAAGATAAAATAGCTGTGATGTTCAATAATAATACAAAGAAGAAATATACTGCCAAAGGAGTAAATGTTGAGCACATGACACGTGCCACGCGCACCACTATAGACTCGTTTATACTACGCTGCATCAGGAGTCCTGTTTATGATGGACATGTCTTCGAGCATTCCATAACCTCTTTAAAGTCAATGCGATTGATAAAAGTGCCCAACTGCAAAGTACCAGTAACAAATAATACGCATACAAATGCTATGGACAGGAGTCTAAAAAAAAAAGAAAAAAAAAGAAAAAAAAAGGAGAAAAAAAAATCTTAACGAAAACAAAGGCTGTTTCAGACTTCTGAAACAGGCTGTTTTCAGTCACACTGCCCGCCTCGCCGACAATATCCCGGCAAAGAAGGCAGTTAACATCGCCATTTAACGGCAGAGGCAGAATTCCCCCGGCACCTGGCTGGTCAAGACCCCGAGGCGGACCAAGGACATCCTGGGTCGAGCAACTGGGACCGCCCAGCAAGGTTGACAGGCTCTGGCACCAGGCTTCAAACCATGGACACAGGAAATCAGCGCGACGGACCCCAGATGTCTATGCGGTAGAGTGAGTGAGTGAGTGAGTGAAACTGCAAATTATCCTACCTTCTGTGAGACCAATTGTCCCGATAGGTGGGTGAGAGAAGACCACGGTGGCGATCAGGTTGTAGTTCATCTTCAAGTCTGGCTTGTTGTCAAAGAGACGATGAGCCAGCATTCTGCCAGCTCTGATGGCGACTGTTGGAGGAATGAAAAGAAAGTTCTCCTCTTGTTTGAAAACACCCAAGACAGTACATACTGTCTATCTGGTAGACACTGGTCGCTGGTAGTGACAAAAAGCACTTGGGTTTTGCCACATTTGGTTAAAAAAAAAGCTTTTAAATACAAGTGTGAGGTTTCATGTCATGATGTCAGAATGTTGAACAAGGTTGGGAATACTTTTTTTGGCCTAGAGGTTGCAAGGGGGATATTTTGGCCCATCCTATCCATTTTTGACAGGAAGATGGGGAATAGGTTGTAAGATCACCCCAGTATATTTGTAATGAAATATGATCATAGCATTATCCTGCAAATGACAACAAAAAGAAGTTCAGGGTAGCTGTATAAAAAAAGGGAGAATAAAGAAAAAGAAGAGGATCCAAGCAACTCCTCAATTTAAACAAAGCAAACCTTAAGAGCATTTTGTATCAATATATAAATTAAACTTTCCAGCAAGTGCAAAATGATTGCATTTTTTTCCCCTCCTACTACCACTACTACTAGTCGGCTACGCAGAAGCTTAGCTGGTCACAAGGTTTTTGCCAATCTATCTGGCTTTTTCTGGCTCTATTTTGGGCAGCCTCATGGATCTCCTTAGATGTAAGGGTTACATCTGTAGAAAGTTGTCTGGCAATGTACTGTGGGTACAACAAAATAGGCCTGCCTTTCCTACGGTTCCCGTGGATAGGTTGATAGAGGGCATAGAGGTTGACCTGGTCGTCTTTTGGTTTCCTGAGCATAGATGTATGTCCAAGCTATTTAAGCTGCCGCTGGTAAATGGTGATGGAGAGGGGCTGTTGTCTGTTACAACATGTATCTCATAGACTTGATCATTACTGATGTGGTCTCTCTCACCATCATCGATCCCCTAGTCCTCAAAACAAATCTTCGCCCTCTTTTTTTGGTATAATATCACAACTTTTGCACACTTTACCTGGTGTAAGCAGTGCCCTGCCGCAGATATCTCCCAAAGCGTAGATCCCTGGGGCGTCTGTGTTCTGATATTCATCAACTAGGATGTTGCCGGCCTTGTCCGTCTTCACACCCTGAAATAAACACAGGCGGTATTTCAGTGTTACAATTTAATAGGACAATGGGCTCTGTGTTCCAGTACCCACTCAAATGGGGAGTTGGGGGAGACCAAACGCATTGCTTTACAACGCCCGTGCCCAATTACAAGGCGCTGCAAAGCACATGATTTTCTGTTAACAGAGCCTCCGTCTATTTTTTCATGGAGACCATAAGCAGTAAGCACACCAAAAGGCACGCTTACCTCAGAGGAAAAAGATGCTTAAATTAGTGATGTGACAATAGAAATCTCCATGCGCGTGCACCCATTAGCACATAAACGCCATGAAATAGTGCTTAAACTGCAGATCAATTGCAGGTATCCAAAAAGTGACTGATAAAATTATTGTTCAAAAGCTTACTAGGTTTAAAGATCAAATGGCAATAAACTTCCTGTGAAATTATTCTTTACGGTATGCTGTCATTCTGAAGGAAACAAAAAAAAGAAGTGGCACATTTTGGGAAATTTCCGTTTGTAATTCGGCGAATCCGTAAATGGGTGTGCGCACAAGCGTAGACACGACGCAAACGCGTGCACGGTTGCTATTATTCAAAACTTGTACTCGAAGGTCCAAGTTCTTTAACAGTAAGTTCCTGTACTCGTTCCCATTCATCTGATGCTTGTGGTACTCGATACCTTGGTACTCCGCAGTACTCTGCACTTGGATAAAAGTATTTGACTACAACACTTTTTATTTCCTCCAAAATATGCACTGGGAAAGTAAGCAGGGCATTCCAAGTTTCAAAACACTTTTGACCGAGGCAAACAAAGATGAAAACTTCAGAATACTGGTACTTATTCGCTCGTACCCCCCGCCCTGCAAACAGGACGCTGGTAAGGGCTGACGTCATTTGAGCTCTCATTGGATAGATTTGCGTGACCTGTGACGTAGAACGCGTCACACAAACTAGCTTCCGGTGCCCATCATGCGTAGCGCGCGCTAGCTGCATGCGAAGGTCAATCTGTACTTCCTTCACAAGATTCTGTGAAGCTCATCAGCCCTTAACAGCACCCTGTTTGCAGGGTGGGGGGTACGAGCGAATGGTACTTACTACTTTATCAAGGTCCAGTATGTCAGAGTTTGGAGTTCGGCCGACTGCCCATATAACGCAGTCAAAGCCGGAGAAGACGCCCGCGGTGGTCTCGTACGTCATAGTGCCATCCCCTGATTTCACTAGTGACTTGGACTGAGAAATTAGACAAAAATATAAAAGGAACGTCCATTTTATTAAAAGAAACTAGCACCGGTATCTGTAATTGTTCTTGTGAATCCACTGGTGAATGCAACATGATAATACCCTAACTCCCTAGTGGTGGGCAAAATCATATGAAAATTGGAGGATTCAGGACTTTTAGGGATAGCTATAGACTGTGGATCTACGAGAAAGCTTGATCGGGCAGATGGTTCAACTAATCTCGTTGCAACAGGCTTTCAAGCAGACCCAGGTGAAAAATAGAACAGTAGGTTCAAAATTATAAAAATTAATAAAAACAGGTCAAAAGTAGGACTCTTGAGGACAAAATCAGGATGAAAGTAGGATGTTTACTGGCTTGCAAGAGTAGTTGTCCACAGCATCTTAAGCCTCATTCGGTACGCTCTGTACTCACAACACCTGTGCTCCATAATGAACTAATAAGTTCTTGGAAGTACAGGTCAAATACACCTGTGACACCAAGCCCTTGTGATTTACATATGACAAATATTCAATGAGATTTCATTTTTGTAGTTGTGGGGAAAAAAGTAGGAAAAAGAAAGAAAGAGTACGAATTTCAAGAAAAAAAGTAGGAAAAGTAGGTTTAGATGTCTTTGTGTACAGGTACAGGATATTATTTTTTAAAATGTCTTACAAGAATTTAAAGTGCAGAAAAAAAATTACCATTTTGAAAAAAAAAGAGTTAGGTTTAGATGTCTTTGTGTACAGGATATTAATTTTTTTTAATGTCTTACAAGTAGTGCAGAAAAAAATTTACCATCCTTTGATGATTTGCATTTCAAGTTACCTCAGAAGACTGGTTAACTGTCCACTACCATGTCCAGATGAAATTTAGTCAACTACTCGTAAAATAAACCATATGATAACTTCTGAAAAGCTACTAACCACACTGCCTGTCACCAAGGTGATTCCAGAAGCTTGTATGGTCTCTGTGACATTCTCGCTGACCATACAATCAAAGTTCCTTAATGCCTGCAGACAAACACAACACGGTTTATGGTTTATTTTTCATATCATATCACAAAAACATAACTGACAAGAATCTCCGATATAAGAAATGATACGAGGTCCATACTTTTTAATCCTTGTACTTGGTTATAGTATTTTTTACTAGGAATACTGAGAAAATGTCCCCAAATGTTCCAAACTTCAATGCTACACGCAAGACATACTACTATCCATACAGAAAAGTGGCACACTGAAAATTAACAGATTTTCGCCATAAATTCATGGTTTCCACAGAAATCTCCAAAACAAATTCCATTTTTTCCAAGACAAAATGAGGGCTTTTCATGACCGATTCCTACCCTGGTTTGGCATCTAAGGAGCCTTTTAAAAATACACTGGCCAGTACTCACACAGAGGAAAAGGGTGCCACACCAGTTTAAATTTCAGCCTTCCAGGAATTTACACCCGACCACTGAGCGCCACAAAAGCATCTCAAAAGCATCACAATGGTGCATTAATTGCACACGCAAAAAGTATAAACATACTTGCATGAAGGGAAGATATGTGACCTGTTCTGTCAAAATCAGACTTTTCTGGGCATAAGGTCGAAAATGATATTTTTACATATTAACATATGTTCTTTTTCCTTTTAATAGGTGGTTTAATTTTTGAAACCGGTCATTCCTGGGCAGAGTTATGCTATTTTGAAGTTCATTGTGTCGAAAAGTAGAAAAGGGAGAAAATGGCCACGAACGTCACAAAACAGTTATTTCTTTATCTGATATACCTTATCAAAATCATCAAAAAAAGTATATGTAGAGTTCAAATTAGGGTTTCAAACTTTTATAATATATTTTAGACATGTTCAGGATTACAAATACTCAAAAATTTGAAAATCAATAAAAATCACCCCCACAGCATTTTTTGGCCCTATCTCAATTTCAACCTCTGCCCAGAAGCATCTGCTTTGGACAAAACAGGTCACATATAGCCGTAAACTGGAATGCAAACTGAAAGACTGCCATATAGGGTAATTGCATAGCAAAATATTACGTATCATCATGCATGCGTTGTGCAGGATGCCATGACTTTTCCTAGTCTGAGTATCACCCGATATCCACAGAGCCAAGTCTCCTGTATAACGTCTGATATGTCTAAACATGCAGATATATGCAAGCCGCACGCCAGCCAATCGGAGTCGACTTTACTAAATCGTGACATCATTTCATTCCCAAATTCAGGACTAATGGTTTGATTGGTCAATTCAAATGCAGTGTTTTGTAATATAGCAACAGCCGAGTGAACATTCGCAGAACATGATACAGAGTGCGTGACACAGGTATTTTTTATCCATGTCTATGACACGCAATGGGTGAATGACCGAAGACCCGATATAGAAAGGGCCCGCTGATTGGTCAAAATCTAGAGGTCAAGATGCGGTTGTCTTGCATAATTAATCAGTGAATCTGCTCACATATGACAGGCCATGGCTTTCGCCATGGTCTACTACATAGGCCGGACTTTTCAATGACTTTTCTTGGAATATCAACTTTCCATGAATCCTTGTAAAATAACATTCCATGACTTTCCATGACAGCTTCAAATTCCAAGATTTTTCCAGCATTTTTCCACGACTGTGGGAACTTTGCAAAATTATTTACCTGCTGTTTCCTGATGAAAAGTGACACATCACTGCCGAGATCATTCAAGATTCCTGCTAGCTCCACCGCTATGTAGCCAGCGCCAACCACCGCAGTTTTCCTGAAAATGAAACCAATTTGTCGAGTGAAATGAATTCGAGTCTTACCCAAACAAATCCAGGCAATTACTTTTCATTTCCTAACTCAAGCACCCAACTCCCCTCTAAAGAGCTTTCTTTTAAAATTATACAGGCTCCGTGCACATGTACCCCCTCAACGGTAAGAAAGGGACAGTTGGGGGAGACCACTGGTAGAGAACGCATTGCTGACAATGCCTGACGCTCACACCCTACAAAATTCACCAGGGGTTTTAGAGACCGACAGGAATAAAAATCCACAAAGCTCCACATTGGGTCCAAAGCAGGTCGCCGAAGTTGCCAATTGAGAAGAAGTCCCAATGTAACAATCTGACCTCTTTGAGGGAACTTAGGTGGAAGACTCTTAAAATACAAAATCAATATAAAAACCTAATAATTTGCAGATCTATTTTGTGTGCTTACTTTGGCAGCTCCTCAAGCTCAAAGAAACCGTCACTTGTGATTCCCAGCTCTGAACCTATAAACAGATGAAAAGGGGGGGAAAAGCATTAGAATAGACCATTTGTTCTTTGTCTAATTTGTTTGTTTTGTTTGGGGTGGCAGCAGATGTGGGGGGGGGGGGACACAACGTCTGATCCGTCTAAAACCCTTCTTAAAATACTGTCATTTTTGTTGTATGATGCTATCAAAATGCCGATACAATTCTAAATACTTTCTTGCTATCCACCTCATGCTTACAAACTGATAGCGAGTAAACACAATTCTAAACACCTTCTTGCTATCAACCTCATGCTAAAAATGTTTAGCATGTAAACAATATGTTTACAAACTGGTAGCAAGACAGTGTTAAGAATTGTGTTTACTCGCTAATCACATTTTTGGGTAGGCCAGGCAATTATCCCCACAGAGGCATTAGGCTACCCGCATCCCAATGCCTGAAACTGAAAACTTGGTCCTATGGTCAATCTGACCTCTCTTGGAAAATTTCTCATAACGCTGTCAAAAATTATCAGATTTTGATGTTTGATGTCTCATTTTAAAGTGAAAAGGCGTATCTTTTAAACCATACATATATTATCTATGTTGGTTACACGTTCTACGTCTGGCATTCCGTTATATTTTGTTTGCATTTTTTTTGATACACACAGTATAACTCAATTTTCACTGTTTTGTGGCAGAATATAGTCGCGTTCCCTAACGTGGCGCACTTCGAAGCCTACCCGGCTTTCTTCGTGTAGTGTTGCCAAACCTCTTTGTTGACAAACCTCAAATTCATGCAGTAAAACACTAGTACTTTTACCTTATTAATGCTTGCTTTTTAACCTCTGTGAACAATTTCAGTTTCATAAAATTTAATCCGAAATTCAAAAACGGTGGCGTCCCGAAATTGGGCACAAATTGGCGGAGTGTTCCCTAACGTGGCGCACTTGAATAAATCTCGGAAAATTCCAAATTAACATTTAAGAATTTCAGTAAACTTGATAAATTCTGATAAATAATTATGATCTCTACTTACATACCCAGCAAGATGTTTGTCAGAAAATTATTTTCTAATTTTTCGGGGCATTTTCAAAGGGTTCACTTTGCACTTGAAAATAAAATCTGATAATCACGCCAAAATAATTTTTTCTTCTAACTTTGTTACGGGTAAATAAACTCGCGGTTTATGAACAGGAGTGTTTAGAACTTGATGAAATTTCACTTTCTGGGAAATTTCAGTTAAAACTTTTGCTCTAGGTAGGCGCTACAGGCGAAAAATCAAAGTGCGCCACGTTAGGGGCTGCGCCACGTTAGGGTACATCAACAATACCCTTTTTTTGGAGCAGGTCACAAATACCAATGCACCCCTACCAGGGATATCCGGCATGATCGGCCGTCCTCCAGCGGCGATCATGATGTGTTTGCCCGTGTAGAGCTGCCCGTCCACTTCCAGACAGCGATTGTCGGTGAACTTGGCCCGACCTTTGATGTACTCGACCTTTGACCTCTCCAGATTCCCAAAATAGATGTCGTTGAGGCGCTTGATGTAGGCGTCCCGCTTCTGCTTGACCATGCTGAGATGAGTTGGAACAATGGCAGAAATCAATTGGAAGACAAAAACTACAACTTAAACCTAAAGGTACTGGATCGTGAAATTTATTTTATTTAATTGTTGTCTTGCTTTTATTTCTAATTTTTTTTTTGGGGGGGGGGGGTGTCCAGTATGACTCAAGCACATGTACAAGTTACATGACATCTGATGGTGGCATTAACCCTCTTGCTGTTTGAACAGTCACAGACAGTACAAAAAATAAATAAATCCTCATTCCTCATTTTCTGCTTTGCCTTTAACATGTACAGGCTAGTCACAAACAGTCAGATCATATTTAACGGAGCTGCGAGACCAAAACATTTACGCGGAGTAACCACATGGAGGATTTTATCACCACACATGTTTCTAGGTCAATAACCCTACTCTAAATAATCTAATCCTAATCCTACTCTATGTATTGGTACATGTAGGCAGGGAGAACTCAACTGTTAAAAACATTCACTTGACTGTTTTTGATTGAAAGGACAACTTAATTTGCACAGAATGTATGTTTGCATGCTGTTGTTTCTATACATGCACAGTGTTCCGGGGGAAAAAAAATCATACATTATTACATTGAGTCACATGTATTAAGATCAAGCTTGGCGAAAGACAAAAAGAAACGTTCATTCTATTTTACGTTTTTAGGGGAGGGATGTGGTTTTCAGGGAGGGGGTTCAAAGGGATGGGGGTAAGGATGAGCTATTTATAATCACATGTACATTGTACCTCCAAGAGAATCCCTTTTTCTCTACATCAAAGCCATAGTCAGGTTGATCGTGCAAGTACTCGGAGTGCATTGCCGTCAAAAACATCACCTTCTTTGGAACACATCCTACATTTACCTGGTGGTAGAAATACATGAAAAGAAAACATGTATTTGTTAAACTAATATGGCCATTTTGATAAATCACGCCTATGAGACTCAGTAAAAAATTTAACCAGTTTACTTTTCCGTCCCTGCCTGCTTCCTCTTTCCCGCCCGTTTTTTTTTGGTTTTTTGATCATACACTTGCAATATATTATTTCAGCATTTTAATCATTTCCAGCAAAACTTAAGTTCAAATCTGGTAGCACATGTAGAAAGGGTGATAGCTTCTTTGGATACAAAAGGAAAAGAGTGCAGAAAATGGAAGAATCCGTCCGCCATCTTGGAAACCCTGCCCTCTTGGAAGGGAAAAAAAGGGCTGCCTCCTCTTTCTTCTTAAAAAAAAAAGCCCGGATGAAAATTGTTTTCATTTTTACTTGGCCTAATACCATCATCAAATTCATCAAATCATGGTTAAAATTGGAGCCTGTTTTGAAAACTGATTCCAGTGTCAATAACAAGGCTGGGCAAAGTGGTGATATTTTTTTAATAATTTTTTAACTGCACTGAACTGAGGTAAGTGGACTATGCACATGCACAATGTGTTGGTGCCACTATTAGGCCAAGTAAAAAAAAAAATCAGTTTCTCGCCCCCTCCCACTTCCTTTCTTCCCGGCCGCCTCCCATTTTTGGGGGGTTCATACCGTACATTTGCAATATATTTTGAACACATATTTTCAAAATTTTGTCTTTTTATTTGTTTCCAACAAAAGTGTAGCTAGTATGTAGAAAGGGCTTATGGCTCCTTAGGAAACAATTTTGTATCAGAAAAATAATCGAGAAAATTGAAGAATCCATCTGCCATCTTGAAAAATCTGAAGAATAATTATAAAAGAAGAAGAAAAGAGTGCCTGCCTTCTTCATTTTTTTTAAAAGGCCGGACGAGAAGCTACTTATTTTTATTTACTTAGTCTTATATAATCTGCCTACTTTAGTCCAGTCCACTTTGCTTTAGTGTACTCAACAAATGTCCATGACAAGGCAATTCCCTCCTTGGCCCATAGGCCCTGTGTGCTTCACTGACCTTCCCAAAAGTAGTCAACCAGCTTTTTGTGAGTGCAAATGAAAAAAACTGCCAACTCACACTGACTGCAAACAAACTGCAAACAAACTGCCACACAATGATTGTTCACAGCGTCTTTGTCATTTGTAATGTAAATTTGCATGCAGATTCAGCAGGTACCGGTACATTGTAAATTGTGGGCCAAATCCAAACAATGTGGTATTTTTTACTCTTTTTTATGGGTCAAGGCTACAAAGTACAACTTCAAATTGTGTTTTATGTACATGTAGCTGATGCAATCTGAAGTTAACCATGTTAACCTTAACCATCATGAATCCTCCAATTTTAATGTTTTTAAGCTCTGGCTGACTAGAGCTTCAACATAGGTCACTTCATGGTTGGTCGGTTGGTCGGTTGGTACCGGTAGGTCTTGACCAAAAATGAGCCCCCTAAGTTTCCCATAATATGTATATTTTATGAGAAACTTACGGGGCTCGTTTTGGGTCAATTCTACCAATTCACCAAAAAAAGGACCAAATGCAATGCCGTCGTCAGTAAATGCACTCTTGCCAAACTTTTCGGAACACGCCCCTTTGTCTCGATCGATGCACATGCACCTCTATTTTGCATATGAAGTGAGACACTTTGGAACCAGGCCAGCGCTTATTGTGCACTTGCGCTTGATTTTTTTTCCACCCCTATATATGGAGTAAGAATTAATAATTATAACAAAAATTAACAAAAACCAAGAAATGGGCCAGGACGAAATGAAAACCACAAAATAATTTAAACAAAACATAGGGCCTACATGTAACATAAACAGGATAATGTTCACATTCCAAAACAAGAAAGCAACAATTGATTTATTGAAAAATATAACCCCCCCCCCACCCCCTCCTCGCCCCCTCCCCTCCACCCCCCCCCCCCCCCCACCCCATGTGCATGATGTGTGCCAAATTTCATTGCATTTTGTCGCTTCACGCCCAAGTTCTGAGGGGGGCATGGGGGGGGGGGTCGGAATCCCGACCCCGGCTGTGAGATGGTTCCCCAACTTAAACCGGTCCCGTTCTAGCCCTTCCTGACAATGCCTGAGCCTAGTTAAAGCTTAAGATTAGAACAAAGATTAAACTTTGGTCAGTAAACAGTACGGCTAGGCAGTTTCACTCACACACGTCCCTCCCAACCGGCTTGACTCAATCAGACCCACAGAAACACCAAATTCTGCAGCTCGTCTAGCGCTGGCAATTCCTCCAGAACCTCCTCCTATTACCAGGTAATCGAAAGACTTCGGTGTTACGGGAGGCATGCTGCTGAATGTCCTTTTCCGGAGGCAAAGAGCTGAGATTGAGAAGCTTCTCTTGCAAACAATGTTTACAACCAAGTTTCTGCACATTGCGGACCGTGCAGTTCGGGCGGGACCGACAAAAGAGCACTTAGCGCCCAATCGTGTATACTTCAACGCACGAGGAGCGGGTTTAATTGGGCTTGAAGAGAGTAGGTTTGTGCTCTTAAAGCGCCCAATCAGAGAGTGAATTTCCCTGGTTTCCTTCACAACCGGCACAGCTTGATAATGTATCAGTGGATCACCAGCGATTGAAGCATGTCAAAGGTCAAGAGATTGGAGCGATGCTCGACCGAGTGCCGAAATTATCGTTAAAAACCTGGTAAAAGTCCACGAATTTGGCATTTTTTTGTTTATACAATTCAGAATCCTTTAGTTTTGTTTAATGTGTTTCGAAATAGCATAGCTGTGTTATACAATTGTTTCTGAAATATCGTTTAATAGATGTCAACAAACACTGGGCATGGAAATTCATGAAATTGGAATGGATGGGCTCTTGAACTTGTCACTTGAACTTAATGAAGTGGTCAATTTCTAATCTGGTATTCAGCAATAGGCAGTGTTTAGGCTATTCAGAAAAAGGTAGTCGGTTCTCTGTGCCATTTGTCATTCGGACTTCAAATATGGGGCCAGCAGCCGATTTTACGAAACGAAGTGGCTATCGATATTTTTTTGATACGCACGCAGGTATATAATTATTTGTTTCCCCACGTTTTGTCGAGCAGTGCGCCAGCTCAGCCGATAGAGGGTAGGATTTTGCACCGCGAGGTTTGCGGGTTCGAATCTCAGTTTTGCACTCGAATTTTTTTCCTTTTCTAACCTGAGGCTTTGGAGGATTTTTTTTAAAAGGGAAATAAAGTCCGAATTTCATAAAGTTCAAATTCACTTTTTTCCTTCTAATTTTATATTTTCTTGTCATGTTTTTTTATAAAAGTTGCCAGGTTGCAGTCTACCGTAACGATAGAAAATGGGAAATGCGTTACGGCTGCCGTAACAATAGCCACTGCGTTTACGAAAAAGTGCGTCGCTTGCACCATCACATGCGTAAGACTTCCGCAACAAATTTGTTACGCATCTCGCAATAAACTCACGATCGATTTCACCAAACTTGGCTTGGACGAGGTTAAAAACAACATTTACAACGGCTATTTGTGTGTAAATTTGTTCATTCGCAAATATCACTTCAGCCCACCATTTTGAAAATTATTTTGTCCGACTTTCTTTGGAATTGTTCGGCAACTCTTAAAAAAATATGAGTAAAATAGAAATTCATTTGGAAAAAAATGTTGCAACCTGACGTGACGCCACTTCTGCGATTGTGTAGCCTACGAAGTCTATGGAGAATCAAGAAAATTTTCTAACTAAAAAAATGACATGATGCACAAAAAATGCCACAAGAGAGTGTCCTTATAAATGCACAGTATTTGAAATATGGTGTGATGATCATTCAAAGCCACAGGACGTTCGTGCATCATGTAACGTATCATTACAGGCCGCGTGAAGCCGCCTTTCGTTGCTCAATTCACAGCATAAAAGCATCATATTAATAGACGTGTCTACATGTAGGTGTTATTTATAGATGTCTGTGACAATGGGTAACCGAGGACACGATATATATGTATACAGTTTTGCATAATTAATCATCGAATCTGCTTGCATATCATAGACCCTTGCTGTGCAAGGGGATAGTCCATTGACTAGGCCTAGGCTTGGCTGTCCATGTAATTCAGGGGAGGGAAATCGGACCTAATGCCGGCCCCATTCTATGGCCACTCACCAGACTGATTTGATTGATAGGAATTGTTGTCTATCATTTGAACTCAGAAATTATGCTTGTGAATTACTTTTGGCAGACTGGCCACCATGCAGCATGTACAAGATCAAAGCGATGGGCACGTGGAGATGACCTCACCTACAGCCTCGGTTCCCAGCACTTCCAACGATCACATCAATCTGAATGAGTTCCCATCCCATTTGGACTACACGTCGGCCCTCGATCACGACAGACAGGTATTCCAGGGTAACGATAGCTCAGACGTCTCCCATCATAGTTCAGGATCGATGAAATCGGCACTGTACAGCAGTGGAGGTCGCTCCAGGGTAACAAATCTCATGTTCCCTAAGGTGCGGCGCAGACCCTTCCAGTGCAAATACTGCACGTTCTCCTGCCCCTCGGCCACCAACCTGTCCATCCACATGCGGATACACACGGGGGAGAAGCCCTACAAGTGTGGCACCTGCTCCTATGCCTCGGCAAGAAAGCAGAACCTCTTCCGGCACATGGCAACAGTCCACAAAGCCGATCATGTGACCATGTGCGGTTCCACCCCGGCCATGTGTGCATATCCCATCGGAAACCGGTCCAGCGGTGAGGAACGGATGCCTGTGGTTGAAAATGTGTACGGCAATGTTCAAGATGTGGTCTTGATTGACGGTGATCCGGTCCAGATTGTCGGCAGGGACCGGGGGAGCTTCCCTGTATCTGAAGCTGCCTCCTCAAGTCCACATGTAACACCGGTGTTCCCTTGTGAAAGCGCCACCAGCAGCAGCCAGGAAGAGGATGTTGTTGAGGTTTTACCCGCAAACAACTCAACGCCCATCACTGAATTTTCAACAAGACACTACGCAGATGGCAGCAGATTCATATTCGCCGGTGGCGTCGGAGCAGCCACTGCATCGTCTCCATCACCTAAAGTTGATTCACCACAAATGTCTGTGCTCAATCACCAATTTGACAGTAGTAAGGAAACCCCGAAAATTCAAACCCAAACTAGTATTGTAAGTAACGAAGTTCCATCAATACATGTACCAAACTTAATATCCCCAGACAGAACCCCAGTTATCAAACCAGAAAGTCCTCTGCAGCCAGCAATATACAAAGAACCGATCACAGGAGCTCTCAAAAGGAAGCAAGGCAGACCCGCTGGCCACTCGACCCTGAAAAATATCTTAGATAGTCCACTGGTGCTTGGCAGTAAAGCTTGTGGTAGTCCTCCGTCAGTTTCCTCCAAAAGCTTACATGTAAGTACTGTGGACCACCTTGAGAAAACTGGATCAGGGATAAAGATCATCCAGACTGAAGAAGATCTTGAGGAAGTTCTGGAAGGAAGACAGAGAATGGATATCCAAGTTGCCCCATCGGGTGTGGGTAAGCACCAGGACTTCAGTCCGAGAAGCATGAATGGAGGTTCCTCAGTGGAACCGCTTGCCTTCTCTCATCTTAGAGAGAGCCCAGACACTGTTTACTATCCTGGAACTGATACTACTCCAGGTGGGACAAAGGAGGACGTCACACCTTCTGTGGATGCCATTCTGCCCTCTCAGACAAGCATGTTCCGCCATAGACATGTTTCCACCATGAAACCATCCTCGGCCCGTAAAGTTAATGAACATAAAGGCAGAAGTGGCCAAATGGCTTCAGAAGATGTGATCATGGTGGAGCAGATTTCTAGAACAGCAGTTCCACCCAACATTTCTGGTCAGAGAAATCAAATGCAGCAGTCCCCCCAAAAAACAAGCCAACTGAACATCAGAGATCATTCCTCATTCATAAACAAGACAGGAGAAAGAGTGGAAAGCTCCAATTTCCATGGTCGAAAGACTCCAGTCAGGAAACAATACCCGAACACAACGTTTGACGTTGACCGGAATCAAAGGTTGCAGCATGGAAGTCTTCCTAAGGATTCTCCCGCAAGCCTTGCAAGAACATCCTTGACGATACAGGTTGACTTGAACAAGATCATGTGCTGCGCTGCCAGAAAGTTGTTGAAAGCCCACTTGGTCGACTGTGATGTCTGCGAGATCAATCTGCCCTCGGAATCATGCGAGGAGCAGTGTTTGACAAATAGAAGTGGCAGATGTGGAAGAGGCAGGTGTTCTGCTCAGGAATATGATGAAGGTTACCTCGGGAGAGAAAGGTGCCGGTCGGATCCAAGGGATAATGAGGATGATCAGATGCAATCAGTGAACAGGAAATTGACTTTGTCAAGAGGTCTAGGCATTGACACAGGCATAGTAAACCAGGTGAAACGTGGAGATGCCATCATCAGAAGCGTAAGACAAAACAAGATGGGGGATGGACAAGGTGAAGTTGGAATGTCATTTTTAAGGCCAAAACAACCATTCTTATCCTCATCACATAATGAACATCCCATTTTCGCAGAGACTTCAGTTGTAAGCTCATCCAATGTACCTATTTCATCTACTTACTTCGGGGCTGATGCTGCCCGAACTGTTGATCATCTGCTAACAAGACGTATCAGTGAACCACAAGAAAGTGCCGAATATATTGCCTTCTTGAATGCCGAACAGGCTCGGGGAAAAGCAGCGAGCAAAAGGAAAAGCTCCAAAGTTAAACGTGTTTGCGACATTTGCGGAAAGGTTTGTCATTCCAGAGCCCAGCTTCTAAGCCATCGGCGGGTGCACATAGAAACCAGCCAGCTCTTTCGGTGTGCTGTCTGCCGTTACTGCACCCTGCACTACAAGCTCTTGAAGCGACACATTGTCGACAAGCACTCTGCTGCGTCCAAAAAGAACTCGTTCACGGAGTGCAAGATTTGCAAGACGGCAGTCAGGGTGACTGCAGTGGCGTTACACATGCAGACCGTGCACGGGCATGTCATCTGTGGCGCTGATGGGAAATCTGTAGACATGGATGACAGTGGAAAAGCTGAATGCTCTGTGGACCACACACACACCATTGCTGCAGGTACTGTTTTGGTAATCCATGTCATTGGCATACCGCTCAATGGAAAAGTCTTTGCCCCTTTAATTTGGGCGTTTCACAATGCAGTGCGCCACCAAGAGTTTGCAATGGAGAGTCCATTTTTCAAGTTTATGGTCAACAAAACATGGCCCATTTGAATGAGTGTCAGTAGACAACTTGAGCTATTTTGTTAAGGATTGGAGCATAGCGTTCTGCCGCCTTACAAAAAAACACCATATTGGAAAAAAAAGAAAAGGCAAACAGATCCTCGAATCATATGCTTACGAAACTGCAGACCGGAAAAATTTGTCGACCATCTCCCACAATGCACTGGAAAAAATGAACTCTCTGTGGCAAACTCTTGGTTTGTGGTAATTTTGAAAAGTGGTATTTTGGTATCAATTTCCAACGCTGGTCAGCTGACCAGCATTGAAAGAAAACTGGATTTTTTGGCAAATACTGCCCCCAATTTACCATATTTAGTTAGTCCGCATATGTTTTGCATTCGATTACACACCTACATGTATGAACAGGTACAAGCCAGCTAGACTGGTTCCCTGACCTTACAATTCCCTGACGCCTATAGATTGCTCCATTTCATCTTAAGTGGGGTCAGGGAACCACAGGCACTTGAGTGTTTTTTTCTTGGTTTTTCCAGCATCTACGAACCTCAAACTTCAGATGAGTCAGTCTGACAACATTTGCTGTAAACCCCTCCCCCCCGAATCCATCCATTTCTGAAAATTACAGCAAAAGCAAATGTTGCATGTTCACTTTAAAAAGTAAATTGTCCTTTCCGTTTATTCTTAAAAGTACTTCTAAGACATTCTTACTGAGGGTTATTTCAGATTCAAAATTTTGAGAGCTCTCCGAACCCATTCTGTTGTGATATTTACATCTGATGATGTGTTGTGCAATCGGAAAATTCCTTCTAATGGATCCTGTTTTTGCCATTTTGCAGAAGTTCAAGGTCCAAAACCTCCAGATGCTCTTGCCATGGAAACAGACAACGATGCCGTCAAGGAATCAGAGGCATCCCAAGCTGCTCAGGAGGGCTCGACCACAGAAGACGGGGGGAGTGTGCAAGATGTTTCCATAGCAATCAAACAGGAAACGGTGCAGGAAGATGAAGACTAAGTATTGAAGTTCAGGAACTTATGAAATTTGAAAGAAAAGCTGAAACATGGGAGCATTTGCAAGTAAATTGCACTTTAAATTTTTCTGACAGCTCTTTGCTTCAGACTCAAATGTGGCAGCTTCCTAGTTGAGGGCACCCTTTTAATTCATGCTATTTAACTCACACAGTCTTTTATAACTGGTACCAAGGGTAGATTTGGTAAGATCTCAGCCCCAAATCCCAATTTACATATAGTACATACAAGTACATGTGCTATGTAGTTGGGTACTTTTTCTCAAACTTGGTGACAAAAGAAGTGAATGAAGATTTATGCCTAGAGACGTAGCCCACATCAACAAAATTGTGGGTTGTGTAACCAAAACGTAATGATCTATGGATGTTTTTTAATCAATATTAGGTTTTGCCCTTCAACGACGTATAAACACTGTATACTCGGTGTGTTACCTCCCGAGTGACAGTTTGAAAAAATCAATCAGGTAGGTCTCGAACCCGTGACCTCCTGCTTTCTAGTGCAAACGTCTTGCCACTCGACCACCGAGCTAACGGGATCGCTTGGCTGGTTCGAATCTGATGTACATGTAGCCAGCAGCGGGTACCGTAATTAAACTATTCATACATGTTTAGATGAATTCAAAACGCAAATTCATTTAATGAATATGCTTTTTATAATGTTTGTATGTAGCGGGTGACGATTTTAATGTGTGCATTTATATGTTGATTGGCCAGCCAGTAAAATGTTGACATTTGTCACTGTTGGGCATGTTGGGTTTGCCTTGTTTTGGTAAAACAGTGAGAAAATTGCTTGTACATGTACATGTATAAACTACACATAAAGCACAAATGTATGTGTGTACATGCACTTTTGGGCTTCTGTCACATTTTAACTGCATGTAAATGAATTATTTATATCAATTATGTTATTTATGAAATTATCAGTATTATGATTGAGTGATCTCTTTACAATAGTCCACAATGAAAGTGGAATGCAATGAATGTACATTTAGGGAGAAGTATTTGCGTGTAAAATTGCTACAACTTAACTTAAGGCTGTTGGTCAAGTTACCACTTGAGTATTTTTGCTCTGTAGGAGGCACATAGTGAGCAAGTACAAACTCCAAAGTTGTTACAACAAAAGCAAAAGTGCAGATTGCCAATGCCGCTTGCCCCTTAGGATATCTGTAGGCACCATGCTGAATCAAACAAAAGCCACCAAATTCAAACTTTAAGGATTGCTACCTCCAATAGAATCCAGCTTCTAGAAAACAGATTTTATAATTCATGGCGCAGGTCAAAAAGGTCCGCTTGATATTGTTGGATTTATCGCGACATAGAAAACCTGTTCAAAACAGGGGATATACATGTAGTGTGACTGGGCAGTTTTAAACGTGATGTTAGGGGCTTGCCTGCCGATAATGAACCCAGATGAAGGTGGGGGTTATTTACAGCCACAAGGCCCATAACTGTTTTGTTCCACTGGTTCAGGTTGACTGACCGTAACCCTGAACCTAACCCTAAGACCAATGGGACGTCGGACCAATGGGACGTCGGACCAGTGGGCCGTCGGACCAGTGGGCCGTCGGACCAATGGGCCATCGGACCAATGGTACTTCGGACTATAGAGATGTCCCCCAGGTCAACTCAGTCCCAAACCAACTCTTTCAAATGGGACCTTTCTACCAATGGGACGTTTTTACCAATGGAACGTATAGAGCAATGGGCCGTCGGACCAATGGTACAAATGTACTTTAGACTATAGAGATGTCCCCCAGGTCAACTCGGTCCCAAACCAACTCTTTCCAATGGGACATTTCTACCAATGGGACGTTTCTACCAATGGGCCGTCGGACCAGTGGGCCGTCGGACCAGTGGGACGTCGGACCAGTGGGACGTCGGACCAGTGGGCCGTCGGACCAGTGGGCCGTCGGACCAATGGGCCATCGGACCAATGGTACTTCGGACTATAGAGATGTCCCCCAGGTCAACTCGGTCCCAAACCAACTCTTTCCAATGGGACATTTCTACCAATGGGACGTTTCTACCAATGGGCCGTCGGACCAATGGGCCGTCGGACCAATGGGACGTCGGACCAATGGGACGTCGGACCAATGGGACGTCGGACCGATGGTAATAATGTACTTTAGACTATAGAGATGTCCCCCAGGTCAACTCGATCCCAAATCAACTCTGTCCGAGTCATCTTGCCCCAAGTCAGCTCAGTCCCTGTTCAACTCAATCCAAGTCATCTAGGTCTCAAGGCAACTCGGTCTCAAGTCATCTCAGTCTCTGGTAAACTCGGTCCCTATGCAAAAAATATATGCACGCAACCATAAAGTATACTGACTGTGTTTAAGATCACAATTTTAACATTACCATTATTTTTTGATTACCTTTTTTTATACACCCTGCACAAGTGTGAACAATGTCCCAGGGAAAAGTGAATACGTAAATGATGAAGGGAATATATTTATGTAGGTTTATTGAAATAGTTGCATGTATTTGTTTAAGTTTTGAAAGTCTTAGAAGAAAATACCAGTATTTTTTTAAAGCCCTACAAAGTAAATGAAAGTGCATGAGTCTTCACTGCTGTGTGAATGTAATACCGTGCTCTGTACAACTCGCCTAAAATCAGCATCAGCAAATGTCAGCAATGTAGGAAAGTTTGACATTGAAATAAACGTCTGAAGATAGTTTCATGTAATCGTGCGGCAAAAACAGTAAGTTTCTTAACTTAAAGTAAGTAAATAATAACCTTTGTAATAGAAGTGTCATAGTATTTGAATTTACTTGCTTGGTCAGACATACATTGATAATCCTTTAAAAAGAACTCCCAAGAGAGTCTGTGAGATCTTGAATTTGTTTTATCCAGAAGTGCAGATGCGTAGCAAAAGTAGCCTACACGTGGTCCAATGGATTGTAAAAGCCCTATTTATTCAGGCAATTGCACTAAACATTTACAGACATTGAAGTGCTGTGCATTGAATTACAATGTAATAATTATGTAGAGGTATATTTCATCCATTGTGAGCATATGAATTCTTAAGAATGTATAAATATACGACTGATTGTGAAAAGCATTCTTAGAACTTTGCATTAATTTTTAACTTGTGCAAACAGTCTCACCGCCATCCCGGCTGGGCCACGCCTACTAATTCAACTGTCCAAGAAAAAATATCGTCGCGCGCGTCGAGCGCCCTCTTTCGGCAGTTTGGCGTTAATTTGTGATTTCCCGAACTTTGTTTTATTGTGCCAGCGGATTATTAAAAATTCAGAATCTCATCAAAATCGCTCAGTTTATATTTATGTACAATGTATAACCAAATACTTACGCACAAAAATGACTTAAAGTTTGTGTCAAACTGCCTTTAGTGTGAAGAAAATTCACAGGAGGTCATCAGCCAAATTCGGCGGGGACCAATCAAAAGAAGTTCTTTCTTTGACGTTCTCGATATCTCCGGTACGTACGTGTTTATTACACGGCGCGCGCGGCGGCGGCGCATGGTGGCTCCGTTTATGTCTGTACGTGTAGTAGTACAGCGTACGACCTGTGTACAAAAAAGTATTGACATCTTTTTGTACAGTGACCCATGAAACACAAGACGTCACTTATGGGGCTATGGGAGGGCGCCCCTAGCGTTGGATAGGTGAACGCGCGTAAGGCTACGTAGTACATGTATATAATCTCATGCGTAAAATAATTTCAAGTTAATCTGCCAACTAAAGCGGGTTTTCATGAAAGGGAAAATCAACTTTGCAAAGATGAAGAGACGAATAAAGGGATAAATAAATGAACGAATAAAAGGGGCAAATAAAAGCTAGGCCTGTCCGATAAAATAGTGACATGTTGAGATTTGGTCATCATGCATAAAACAGGGAAACTTGGTTATTGCATGGAGGAATAAGAATGTCAAGGCTTATACAAACACTGAGGAACATTTTAGGCGCCAAGTCTTATTTTCCTTTGTTTTATCTCGTTTTCCATTACTGATAGTACAAGGTATCCGTTATTATATTTATAACAAGGTAATTTGTAAAGTCCCAATTATAAAGGTGTTCGACTGCCGGGGGGGGGGGCGGGAGGAGGTAACCTGGAACTGGCAGCGTCGAGTGCTTCGAAAGTCTACAACTTTCCTGAAGTTGTTCAAATATTCAGAGAATAAACTACTTTAAAATGTTCAGTTCTGCAAAATGATGATTTTATCAAGAAGTTTATTAGCAGCTTTGCACAACTTAATTATCACGTCAAGTTGAGTGCGTGGAGCAAAAAATAATTGCTTTTACCTATCTAACGCTGGGAGCGCCCTTCCCCATCATGACCTCTGGGCAAGTACTTCCTGTTTCACTTTTTACACCGACTGTCCGACCTTCTTCATATTTTGGTATTATTAGTATAGTAATATAATACAGAATGTACGTACGTACATTTGTGTACGTACTGCACTGCTGCACTGTGCATGCAGCAGGGAATATTGCTAGGCGCTTTCAATGTCACCAAAAACTTTGACATGGGGTCGTTAGTTCTTCTCAAAATTTCCTTTCCTTAGTTGGTGAGTATTGCCCCCAGTTTCAACACCTTTTCTGTGAGTGTTACGTGGGTGCCAATTGTAATTAAGCAGTATTTCGGGAACAGAAGTTGATGATATTGTGCTTTATAATTTGATAATGATATGTTTGACTTTTTCAGCACAACCAAAACAAGTGTTGGCAGCATGTGCCTGTCCTGTCACTAAGTGTCGGGGCTAAAAGTTTCGCCAAGTTGCCTGGTATAAAAAAATAGGTTTTCTTTCAAAAAGTAATAATGTGAACACTGAAACAACTGCAGTGATTACTGGTGATGTTAGTCGTACTGAACTTCTTGCTGATTCAATTTAGATACATGCAAAATGCAAGAAAAAAAGACAAGGCCTGAAATAAACATGTCAAGGAAAGACTCCATCTCCAGCCCAGCCTCAGGCAAGCATGGCATTGAAAGGCATTTTGCTAAGGCAGTAAATATTTACCCGTACGACAGTCTACTACGCATGTGTTTTACAAAACAATCGTGGAACTGTGCTGTTAACACCTCTCAGTATTGGGAGTTGACAAACTCTTTGCTTCAGGAAGTAGTTTGCCAACTTCAAAGTCCTCGGGGAGCGAATATCGACTGTCCACCCTCAAACCATGTTATGTTTGTACACTTACACATGTCATTCTACGACCTCAATTTTCGAAATAAATATATGCCCTGGAAATCTGGAAATTTTTTTCTCCAAATGTTCTGTATTTTATTCAATACAATTACATGTTTTGCTTAAATTTACAGTTTCTTTTTGTTTTCCACTCAGTTCCCAGACAACAGATTCATACTTGTTTGACAAAGTCAAAAGAGTGTTCATCGCGCTCCTGAAAAAACTCAGCTCCTGAGTTCGTCGTACAAAAAACACTGGTTTATGTTCCCATGTACACGATGGGAGATAAGGACTCAATTTGCAGTCACGATGAGTCTGCTGACGAGGGGCAGATGGAGATCGAACGAGTCTTGAGCCCCAACGGGGACAGCCACGCCAGACCGGACGACAGTAGGGAGACGGGGATACTGCGCAGGTCCAACAGCGCCCCCATGTTTGACGGACCAACGATGAGGTACTAGATCCTAGCTTCTCTCCTCCCCAGTGCAATGGTGACCTCTAATATATCTTTGTACTCGCATTGGATACATTTTGTAAAGCCAGTGACCAGCGGTCAGCACTTTCTTGTGGGTGACTAGGTGTTACACCGCAACTATATGGAAATGGCCCCAACTGTAGTTGAAACTGTCCAAATTAACAAAAATTGGGGAATTCCTAACTATAGTCGAAACAAACCTAACTCTACATGTAGTTGGGACGATGCCGCTGTTGAGGCCTAACATGGGTACGACATATGGGCATGACATGCATGTTCATTGTTTTAATATGTTGACTGAGGCAGAGCCAGTGACATCCTGGAGCAGTGCAGAGGATAACATAGGCCTAAATGTATGCACAGCTGAGCATAAACAACACAAGGTCCAGCCTAAGACCTTGACACAGTGCATCCTCCAAAATCGGCTGTACAGTTTTGCCATGTAGCCACAATCCTGCAAAATCCTCCGTTTTGCAAAGACATTTGTGGAGGATTTGGGAAGATTAAGGTTAAAGAGTTGTATGTTTGTATATTTATGTGTTTATTTCTTCTCTTTCTCTTAGTGATGAGTCGCCCGTATTTCAACCAATCAGAGAGAGACAGAGAGTGCGACGATTCAGCGCCAACTTGTCCGGCAATGGCAAAGCTGCCAATGTGAGTACAGTTCGCATTCTTCCTGTTTACGACAGTGTTGAAGTCGAGTCCATCACAAATTCTGTCACAAGTCCAATCAAACGTAAGGCTTGTGCTACTAGACGCCATGCTACTGCCGTGCCAAAACTTAATCGAAATGAGTACGGCAATGTGTCGCATACGAACGCAGTTGCTCTAAACGCCAAACTTAACAGTCAAAGCTTAATGCACCTTGAGCAACTGGCTAGGTTCAAGCAGTTGAAGCAGTTCAATGAACTTTCGTTTACCGCTTGGCTTACTGTCCTGAATCCATCAAAATCCCCAACTGTTTCAAAGTGGAGGTATTCTGAATCTGCCGAAATCCTCCCGAACAGGGGTGTGGATTTTGATGGACAGGTACGTTAGGGTTAATTTCTAGCTGTTAGTCAAGTTTGTAGGACCTCGCTTTTGTTAACATGTAAATGCACAGTGACAATTCAAAGAACAAGCTTTGTTCTACAACAATAAGGTTTGTGTAACTTATGATCTGGACTTAAATAGAGTCGATGAATTGATTTCCAGGCGAGTACCCCGGTGCGCATTCCATCGCGCATCCGACAGATACAACAGGAAGAGAGTCTGGATGTTCGCAGCAGAGAAGCAGAGCACGAAAGGTTAGCTCCTCAGATTTTTGTGGACTTATAAAGTCTTAGATAACCATGGATCCCAAAGTTCTCTTGTAATTGATGTGCTCTAAGGGATTTTTAAGAGAGTAGGCAGCCTTAACCTAAACCCCGTGGGTTCTTTTTGCTAGGAAACATCCTCAATCCTCCAGAATCCTCCAAAATGTTGCACTTATGTTCCAATGAAGGATACCCACTGCCTCAATCCTTCAAAATCCTCCAACAGCCCTTCCTCTCAAAACGCATTTAGCCTCAATCCTCCAAAAATCCTCCTCTTCAAACACCATTCAGCCTCATACAATCCTCCATAATCCTCCAAAACCACCCAGAGGACTTTGGAGGTTTCAGGAAGGTTAGGATTAATGCTTTGTAACGATTCATGTTTTAAGGTTATCAACACAAGGCCAGTTGGTAGAGCAACGAACAACTTTCTAGAGAATGCAGGTCCAAATCCCACTCCAATTCATTGTTCAACCTCACATTGATTTAACGTAATCAGTGTCAGTTGTATGCATCCATGCTGGTTTATTTGATAGTTAGGTTCCATCTCAATTTATATCTGGGTCGAGTTCGGGACAATTAGTCCTGGACATTGTATCGGGTATAAGTTGCAGGGTTCTGAACAAATTCCCCGCAATCTTCCCGCATTGAAGTCACAAGTATTGATGAGTCAAGCAGTTGCTCATGCGAAAATTTTCCCGGAACATATCCTGGACAAATGCAGAGCTTCTTCCGGACATAGTGAATGATTCTACCCGCAACTTGTCCGGATACGATTTTGAGACGGGCCTTTACTCAGCTGTATCACACTCTTGAATTTTGTCATCTTCGTCTACAGAGAAGTGCAGTCCGCCTTTCAGATCAGTCATTCTTGTGATGAAATGAAGTTGGTAAGTACAACTGTTATATGCTTCAGTTTTAAAACTAAATGGGCATATCTTTGTGATAGTAATTTAAAAATATCTTTAGTGATAGATACTCGGTGCACATTCAGTTCTTCACAATCCTCCCTTTGTTTGATCAGTCACAGACATCAAATTAGGTTTTGCCCTTCACCGACGTATAAACACTGTATACTCAGTGTGTTACCTCTGAGTGATAGTTGGAAAAACTCACTCGGGTGGGACTCGAACCCACGACCTCCTGCTTTCTAGTGCAGATGTCTTACCACTCGACCACCGAGCTAACGGGATCGGTTGGCTGGTTCGAATCAGATGTACATAGCAGTGGGTACCGCATTAACTATTCAGCAGATGGAATTTTTGAAAGCAGGAGGTTGCGGGTTCGAGTCCCACCCGAGTGATTTTTTCCAACTTTCACTCGGGAGGTAACACACTGAGTATACAGTGTTTATACATCGGTGAAGGGCAAACCTAATTTGATTTACATCACCCTGACGCAAAAATTCCATCTGCTGTACAGTCACAGACAGTCAAAAATTCAATCCTGTTCCCCTGCCATGCCTTTTTTACACAGGCTAGTCACCAACAGTCAAATTCCATCTACAGACAAAAGCAAGTGACTGGTAGGCAAAGCTGTCTTATCAATCTCCTACAGTCAAAGCGTACATGTAGCTATATCAGGTTTCTTAACAATCACAGCCAGTCAATCCTGCTTTATGAAGGCAAGGAGCACACAATTTTAAAAATAGTCACCTGATTTATTTTGACCGCTGGACTGGCCTTGTTGAAATTGCCAGCCAGAGAGGGATGGTTATTTAAAGAAGGAATCTCTGGTACTCGCCTTGTGTAAACATCCACTTTCGTTTCATTTGAATTTTTGTGTTTGTTTTTTTTGTATTAGTAAGCAGTATATCGTTTTTGACAGATTTACAAAATATATAACGGAACGTTTTGTGCCTTGTGTTTCAGGGTGAGAGCATCAAGGCTCTAAGATCGGATGGTAAGACGTCATTCTCAGAGCCGCTGCGGATCCTGACCTCATCCCTTCCTGTTCCATCTACGCCCTCACCCAACAGAGACCGGACGCCAGGAAAGGTGAATTGACTGGCTGGAATTTTTGAAATGCCATCAAACAGGGCCAGTACAGTGTAGTATAGAAACATTTTGGCCAGAAGAATGAATTTCGACCCAAATTTAAATCCCCTGTGTATTTTGGCAGAAACCTTCCCCGATCCACCTTTGCATGGGAACCTGTCGGCACTTTCCTTGTGCTTTAGACTTAAGAGTTGTGTACGACCCCATAACTTATGTAAAGTAACATGTACATGTATGTACAATAACTGGGCTCCAGATGTACTTTCTGCAAACCGTACCACTGAGCAGATTTTTAAGGATCTAAATATGATGGGGCAATATGTACATGTAGAGGCGTTTGTCCCATACACAATGCGTGCACACAGAGACTCTTAAGGGCATCGCACCTTCTAAAGGCAACTCTTGGCTGGCGCGGGGTTGCATAAAATGTAAATTTCCATGTAGAATGGTTTTCATTTTGAAGATTCTCCACAAAATGGCATTCAAAAGCTTTCTTTTTCATTGTCTGCAGGCATGCAACTTTTCCTCGGATCAGCTGATTTCCTTGCTTTTCACTTCAAACTTATACCGTTGAAAATTGAAAAAAAAAACACTGAACGAAGTCTTGTAAAGATTGGAGTTCCCTCGTTTTTTTGTTTCTTCCAAGCTGCATGCCTGTGTCTGAAAAGTTACTAAGTAATGTGTAAAGTTGGTTACGGGTACCTGATCCCAACCAGTTCCTGACATCAGCGGTCAGGTTCTAAGGTACCTAATTCCTATCTGCCTCTTCAGCACTGTGTGGTAATGTTAAAAGTTTAAAACTTTCACTTCTTAGGGTGTAGTTATGCATACCGGTAGCACAGACGGAATGGATGAGTATTCCCCTTTTTTGTCCCCCCTTCCAGCAATGCTTTTCACCATCGATGCAGATCTCCATGCGCAGTAACTCTCTCACCCCCAGCCCGATACCAAGCCCCACCAGACAGACATCAAGACGCAGCATGAGCCCTGTACTTAAACCAAGTCTACTTAACCTCAAGAGGAAATGTAAGTCCGTCAAGTTTTTAGCGTAGTTGCATTCAATCTGTATTCACCCTGATTGAAGTTGCCGTTTGTAAATCGTCAGGTGCCTGGAAGAAGGTCGTAAGGTCGAAAGTTGGGTCAAAAGGTCCAATTTGGATTTTTCGTATAATCGATAGAGCTTGGAAATATCTTTCATTTGATATATGTATTGTCTCAAGGGGCTACATCATAGTGACATAATTAACAGTAAACAAAAGACGGAAGGAGGGTATTCATTATTTGTGCCCGGCAAAAGGACGTTAACGTGTAATACTAATGTATCAAAAATGTTCGAAGCGCGCTAAGGTCCCACTCAAGTGGGTACGCAAAGCCAATTTTGTTCCTGGCAAAAGGATGTAAGGATTTAACATGCCGCTTAAGCGTACTTTTAAGGCTTGGGAAGTTTTGGAAGGCGTGGGAATTTTCTTTTATAGACTCAGTCATTTTTTTTCTCTCCAAATACAGATGACAGTGACAGTGATGCTACCCCACCAAAGAGACAACTTCTATGTTCTCCATCTCACAACAGCAGTAATCAAAGGTAATATATCCCTCGTCTCAGTTTTCATTTTTTCGGTTTGGTTTAGAAACAAGTCACCAAAAGTCAAAAATTCTCAATCTTTTAAGCGTTTAGGCATTTTGAATATTATGTGATTGTCAATCTCATATACTTTATCATTGCGTTTATTATACCTAGTTTATGCAGTTTGAGTTCTGATGATGCCAGCCCCCCACAGAGAAACATCCCGGACCCCTCGGCTAGCTTGGCCATCCCCGTATCCACGAGTGGATCGGTCTTTGCTTTTGCTATGAGTGACACGCACCTTTGACAGTAAGCCTGTTCCATTTAACTGAAAAAGGGGGAAAGTCTAGGTATACACATGTGGTTGTCTTTGTTTCTTTTGATCATCCAAGATGATTTTGTGTGTGAGTTTGTTTCTGCAATCAGTAGGGGACGTTGAACAATAGAGGACAAATAGGGTCCTCAATTCCCAATAGGTCCCCAATTTGGTAGGTCTTCCTAAAAAGTTCAAGTACAAACAAAAGAGGGACAATAGGGGGTTCACGATTGCAGGCAAATACACACTTGTGTGTGTTTGTTTATGGTGTAAATCGAGGACACACACACGCAACATCATCGGTGAATTGAGGACAGGAACCAAATCGAGGACGACCTCGATTAGAAAACGTGTACAAAACCAATGAGAGCTGTTGCAAAAAAGTTAGTACAAACAAAGGAAAAGGGAAGAGGAACAAAAGGAAATCCTCGATTCTCACCATAAACAAACGTGCTAGTGTCCGTGTGTGTCTTAAGAAATCTTTGTATTTGTTGCAGTCTGGTAGTGGTAAGAATAATGTGTTTGGATTAAAGGGAATATACATCATTTGCTTTTGCTGTAATTTTCAGAAATGGATGGAATTGGGGGGTTGGAAATATATAGCAAATATAGTTACACTGACTTTTTTGAGGTTTTGGGTTCGAAAATGCTATAAAAACCAAGAAAAACAATCATTTTCCTGTAGTCTGGTTCCCTGACTCCATATAAGAAGAAACAGAGCAGTTTACAAACATTGGGAAATTGTAAGGTCAGGGAACCAGTCTAGCTGGCTTGTACCCGTTCATAGGTGTGTAATCGATTGCAAACAAGTGCGATGGTCAATTGGGGCCTGTATTTGAAAAAAAGCCAGTTTTTTCCAACGCTGGTCGGCCGACCAGCTTTGGAAATTGATACAAAAATACCACTTTTCTTGAAAATGACAGTATACAAGGTGCCATGATTTTACAGGATGCTTTACACTGTCATTCACTAACAGCCCAGCAAGGTATTTCAAAATGAGTTGGTAGTTTTATTTTGTGATGTTTGCAAATGTTGTATTTTCCCTTTAAACCGTTATGTAAATGTACATAGAGGGTGTGCCGAGGGTTTAGCTGAAATAATTTAGAGCCAGCTTAGCAGTGTTGAAGTCGAGTCCATCACAAGTCTTTGCAAGACCATCACAAGTCCTCCAGTCTGAATTCAAGTCACAATAGTTCAAATGGGTGGTGCTTAGTCAGTCATAATATGGGCGATTCCCAATATAGTGCGCCGAGAGAGGTTTCCACGGAGAGTCCATTTTTCGCAGTGCATTGTGGGAGAGGGTCGACAAATTTGTCGGGTCAGTAGGTTCGTAAGCTTATGATTCGAGTATCTTTTTCTTCTCTTTTTTTTATCAAGATATGGTGTTTTTTGTGACGCGGAAAAAATGCTTTGGCTCGATCTATCAACAAATTTCCTAAAGTTGTCTACTGACATTTGTTCAAATCATGGCGAGTCGGCCATGGTTTTGCCGACCGTAAACTTGCAAAAAAGGACCCTCCATGGCATCCTCTTGGTGGTTCACTGTATTCAGAAATGTCTGTATTGTTAATACGTTGTTGCTTGTAACTGGACTTCTGACTTACTTTTGACCGGACTTTCGATATTAAAGACTTGTGTTTGACTCGACCACAGCACTGCAGTTTAGTGTTTAAAAGCCCTTTCAGAGGCCTAAGGCCCCCAAAAAATGAAAATAGTCGGTCTCTGGTCAGACCAAAGTTCCAGAATTGATTGATTTTTTTTTTTTTTAAAGCATGGATTGTACATACAAGGTGGGTACTATTTTTTTGCTTTTTTGGTGTCCTCATATACATTGGTGTCCTCCATAATTTACCTTGGTGCCCTCCATCATTTGCCTTGGTGCGGTTTCCCCATTCCTTGGTACAAAAAATTGAGAAGTTGCAGAAATAGAGGGCGCTATTGTAGCTACCGCAGACAATTTTGAAGAAAAAAAAAAGGTTGACGGGCACGATTCAAATCGACGTGCGCGCTGACCAGAGACCGACTATTTATTTTTTGGGGGTCTAACCTCCAAACCGATATATTTTAATAATAAGTATATTTTAATTTAGAGCTATGGTTTTGCCATTGTCTTTTAGTGCTTTGGTTTGAAAGGATTGCACAGTGCATTGATATAATTTTACACAAGATATTAAGCGAGTGTCAATAAAAATGTAGCAATCAGTCCATAAATAATATCAAATACTAGCACTCTCATTTTGCAAAACTTATCAACAGAGTCTGAAGGTGTAGTAAAAAATTACCAATCTTGTGGCTCATTTATTGGCTATTGTCACATGACAGGTCACATGATGGCTACATGTAGTTGCCACAAAACATACCGGTAGTATTAGACTTTAAGAACTATTTTTACAGTCGCGCAACCTTATATAAATCCCATAATTACACATTTAATGCGTTATTGACGGTAAAATCATGAAGTGTTTAAAAGAAAGTCTTGAATTTTTTTGATTTTTTTTTGTAAACGCAACTGTATAGTTATTAAAGGGATAGTGCAAACTGTACAAATATGCTTGTATAAATGTAGATAATGATAATACAGTGTATATTAATCATGTAAATTTCAAACTATTCAGAGAGTTGATGATATGTATAATTTATAATCAGATAGTAGTTGTACATAGATGGCCTGCATGATCTATACGTTGAGCAGTTATGAAATATTAATGGTAATCAGCATGTAGTTCATGCATGTAAAGAGGTTTTTCGAAACTACGCTTCGTCTTTGACTGGCTCCAGAAACTGCTTCAGAAATATCAAATCTAATAATAAAGCACCAAATATTAGATGCATGGTTTATACACCAAAGTTTTTTAACCAGTTCGCGCCGGAACTATCTTGGCATTTTTTTTCACGACCCTCGATGCCAGACCTGAGACGCCGGGTTAGGCCGTCATCTGCGGGTAGCACACCCTGATATTTCCGGCCTTGCTATCTGCGAGCGGGCCGCAGACAGATATTTCCGGCCTCGCTCATTGCGTGTTTATCTGTCATCTGTTCCGAATACCGCAAAACCTTTGCGTGTATACACGTCGCCCGGCGCGAACTGGTTAACATGATTTTGAATTAACAGATGAAGCCGAAGCCACTAGATGAAGCCTAGGTTCCACAATATGTGGTTGAGAAAAATCAAGGGTAAAAATATTTTTTAAAATGAAAGGGCTATATATATTGTATATCACAAGCTGTACATTATGCTGCGTTTTTGAGTTGGATAAGCCTATGAGTCAATACTTGATAGTCTTCTAAAGCGTGCCCAGTAATTGTTATCATACAAATAATGAACGTTTATGAGTGCAATGGTAAGAGTAATTTCATGAGTTCGCCTCGTGGAATGGAACATTTTCTGTCTGTCACGGAATGAAATTGTTCTTTCAATTGTACAAATTTGACACCTTCATTAATTGTTTTATACAACACCTGAATATATCCTCGTCATCCGATTTGTCAGAGCCACAAACAGTGTGACAGTGCAATGGGACTTCAATTTACCGTGGAATAAAACTTCTATTTTTGCAGTGCGGCCAGGCCGTGGGTTGGGACAAATGTGATCAACGACCAATCAGATGACGGGTATTTATTCAGGCATTGTATGTTTCTGAGTTACAATAATTTTGATGACGCACCACGGCAACTGCTGTTGCCAACTTCCAGGAGCTGCAAAACACAGAAATTATTTTGGCAAAGAAGATATAGTTGCTTGCGAGGTCGGGTCGGGGCTGGAGGGCAATGGGGCCAGGTCGAATTTTCCAAATTTGTAATGGCCGGTTGCAGCTCTATTAACAGCTCTTTGAAATTCTATGAAAGCTTCCAGGGTGAACATGTAGTTTGCTTTAAAAAAAATAATAATAATAAGAGTGACGCAACAAAGTAAATAACTATGCACTTGCAAGTATTAGGGCCAAGTCACATAAGTCAATGTTTACAGGAAACCTGGAGACAACCAAATAAACTACGAACTAAAGAAACCCTCAAGAAGAACACGTTACATTTTCCTGACATTTTTAAGGAAATTCCTTATTTTTTTCTTGGAGATCGCCCAGAATAAGTTGCCTGTAAATTGTCTGGTGTGCCGTGACAGTGTTAGTGTAATGCTAATTTAGGTGGCTTTTTTCAAATCGCTTTTTTTTCCCTTTAATGAATATTGCAACTCCAAGAGACTTAATCCCATTCATTCCGCAAGAAAGTAGTTAATCATTTGTATGTGCGACCATGAAGTATAGTCGACAGATTTTATCTCTTTCCGATATGCCGTGAAAATAGGGTTAGATTGTCTTCAAAAAATCTAATTTCCATAACTCTTGTTGGCCGTATCTGGTTGCATTCTGACATTGATTAGCAGAAATGTGCATGAGTTACCAAAACAGCTGTGTAAAGGTATGCATGCAGAGCAGCTGCAGAAAGCTATTAAATACCGGCTTAGAGTTTTGACCCAGTAATAAATTGATTGAGGAGAAAAATCTGGATCTTAATGAGTCATTGTGAGAGAGAATTATATCATTTACTGTCTGTGCGAATTGGCCCCCCATCCCTAAGATTTTAATACGCCCATTGTTATGGAAGTATTTATTAAACATAATTTATACATGTAAATGATCCTTACAAAAGGAACGACTTGCATCAAGACTAGCCACGTACGTAGTTTGCTCAACCAAAACAAGCCATTGTACTGCCTCCTATTAAGCATCTTCAGATCTTTTGTCATGTTAACAACGCTCTCATTCATTCGTGTGCACCAGACTGGTTAACGGTATACGTGTAGATGGTGGTGAAGACGTGGCCATGATGATAAGTGAATCTTCTGTTGAGTATCGCTTATGCAGAAACTCTGTTTACTCCCATGTGCTGTTAGCACCGTTCTATGCAAGTGCAAAACACAACTCCGCTTTCGTAATATAACTGCAGGCCTATAAGGTGAGTGAAATATTACTTATTTATAACTGCTGTGTAGTTTCGAGTAATTCTGTTAACTGGCCGACAAGCTCATCAACTTCATACTCTCACACTATGAACATCTGATGAAGGTGTTCATAGTGTCAGTACCATATTTTTCTCATTTTTACGTGTCCGGCCAACGCCTGTATTCACAAACCATTTAGTAAAAGCTTTTGATACCAGATCGTTTCTTGCAGTTGATTATAAGTTTACTTACATTTTGTCTCAAAGACGATCTACAGGTCCTAAACGCGACACAGGAATAACGCATTTTCAACGGACCAATTTTCTTAGCGTGATTTACTGGAGAATAAAGAATGGTGATGATATGAGTGAAGATTTGAATACAATTTTTGAACTATGACTACTTTATGATTCTTCCGATAGATATGAAAGACTGGAGCCCATGTAGTCGACTGATCGTTATCCTTATTTGAAGAAAGGGGATACCGCAATATGACTGGACCGGTAAGTATTTGCTCATTTTTATTAGGCCATCAATCGGGCTGAAATTCACTCTCTTGATGCCACACGGCATATACAAAAGTTAGGCCCATACGTACATCATGTAGTCCTAAATCAATGGCTCGAACACTCGTACCACTACCAGAAAATATGGTGAGGTTACCTTACCAAACACTATATGAGCTGACTTAACCGATTTCGAAACAACGTTGGTCTCTTATCATTCACAGAATGTACATCCACTCCTTTCGAGCGAAAATCCACTCAACTTGAATGAATAATCATTCACCCCAACCGACTGAATCTATACAGTCGAACACCTTTATATAACAAGGTCCTTGGGACTTTACAAATTACCTTGTTTATAACAGGTACGTTGTATTAACAGTAATGGAAAACAAAGAAAACCAAAGACTTGGGACCTAAAATGTTGCTTTTAAGTTTTAAGTTGAACAGTGATCAGAGTTCAACTGCCGAGTTACAGTGAAATTCATTCAATAGAAAATATCGAGTTTTCGCTCCAGTCTCGAATGCTGTGATTCTCTTTCAAAGTGTTTCAATCCAAAATTGGAGTGATTTTTCAAACTAAATTTACTAGTCTTGTCCATAGTTTCACTCTTTCGAATTTAGACATTGGCATGATATGCAGCTGTTTTATCACTCGTATGCACCCGGAGTCAAAGCATCATACCAAGTTGCTTAAACAGTCACAGTCAGTCAATCCTGCTTTTTGTAGGCTGGGAATAAATAACCGGTTTTTAATCAGACCAACTATAGCCAAAGGTGGTCGTTACTATACGTACTGTTCATCAATGGTGCTCCTGCATTCATCCATGACTATACATTATAAAGGAATACAATTTTGTTTAAAGTGTTTAACTTAAAAGCTTATTGTTTGATTTCTGTTTCTTTTCAGAAAGGGGCCTTCTTGTTGATTGTATTAATTGCCGCCATTGTGTATGTGTGTCTTGTACTGGATTATGTGCCAAAGATCCAGCTTACGAACACGAAAAGGAGAGCGCCACTGAGAAGCATTATGCTGAGCAATATCAGTCGTGTAGAAGGACGACTCCACAGTTCAGATAATGTCAAGGAAGCGTCGAACAAAACTATGATGCGAAATGATGTCACTGTGGTCTCCAGAAAACGGGAATTGAGCAAACCGTCCCCAGGTCATTGTTTTTACAAGATCCAAGTGTACGACAAAGGAGACAAACTTGCCAAGCACAGACCAGCACTAGAGAGCATTGTAAGGCAGTCAAAAGGGAGCCCAGACATCAGAGCCAATGTTTCCTGTCTGAACGACTGCATCGTGGAGATCTCGATTGCCGGCGAGAAGAACAAGTTTGCAGGAATGGACGCCGTGGTCTTTCACTTCATGAAGAATCTGATCCCGAAGCCCCAGCCCCCAGCTAGCATGAACCCTGACCAGACCTGGGTATACTTCTCGTGGGAATCCCCGCGGTCCAACCGTGGCGAGGTATCACCCATAGCCCAGTTACCGGTCAATGCCGTGTGGACGTATTACAGAGGATCCGATATCACCACTCCGTATGGGTTCTACGATCCCGGGACACCCATGGCGAAGGAGACGAAGTCGGCGGACGAGTGGCTTCAGGGGAAGTCCAAGCTCGCCCTGTGGATGGCAAGTAACTGCAAAGGTACCTTCTGGCCGAGAAGTGACTTCGTACGCGAACTCCAGAAATACGTCCCAGTCGATGTGTACGGAGCCTGCGGGAAACTCAAGTGCTCGCCCAGTTGGTCGACTAAATGCACGGTGGACCTGGTGCGTCAGTACAAGTTCTATTTGTCGTTGGAGAATGCCGAATGCGAGGATTACATTACCGAGAAACTCTGGAACAAGCCGTTGATGCAAGGGGTGGTCCCCATCGTGTACGGCCCCAGACGGAAGGTCTATGAGGAGTTGCTGCCTCCCAAGTCATTCATTTACATTGGGGATTACAAAAGCATAAAGGAGCTGGCAGACTATTTGAAACTCTTGGACTCCAAACCAGAAATGTACATCGAGTACTTGAAATGGCAGTACGAAGGCAGCGTAGGGGTTCATCAGGTTATGCACGAGTCCTATGACCCAGCCCTGTTTTGCAATCTGATTCCTTTCATTGACAAAGTGAAGCGGGGCCAGTTGAAACGGACACCAGTGGGCGAAAGCAGTTTTTCGAAAACGTGTAGAAAAGGTCGCGAAAATAAGGAAGACAATTACAGCTCAACTTTTGGACTGGGGAAATGGAATCCTTGGTAGATTTTACTTTCAGAATTACATCACTTAGAACTCCAATAACAAATTTTAAATAAAATTGTACAAAATAAAGGTTACGTTGGACTGTGTACAATATATATTAATCCCTTCTCCAATAAACGAATTTTAAATCAAGCTTACAGAATAAAAGGCAACTTTAACTCTAGTGTTTGTAAAATAGATGTCCCTGCTCCGTTAAGGCCAAAAAAAGTCTCCGGTTTCTGGTATGGAGCTTGCCCAAAACTAGTGGTGCGGCGACACGGCTTTTTTTTTACCGGTTTTTTCCCCTTCAAATGTCGGCTGATGACTGCAAATGGTGCCCGACTAAACTTAGTGCAAATATATAAGTCCAAAGAGGCCACATAAAGCTTATTCTAGATCGTAACCCCATCTAAAAACACGTTAAACTTGTGCAGCAGCAGGATTCCAGTCAAACCAGTGAGTTTGGCGGTTTTGAGACATCATCTTTCATTGAAAAAAAAATCATTTTGCCAACGCGCATGGCTACGGCGACGCGCGTGCATGCCAGAAACCGGAGACTTTTTTTGGCCTAAATGAATCTTAAGTGATTTTTACAAAATAATAGTCACACCAAACCTTTCAAAAGTGATTGATGCCTCCCTTGTAAAACGAATCTTCAATGTAGTTTTGCTCAATATTGGTCAAATTATACTTCATAATTTGGAGAAATACCAGGGTGAACAAACACAATATAAAGCTGTCTGCAAGTCAGTTATTAGATAGCGGAATTTAATTTCCATCGGTTTAAGTTTAAAATGTTTATTCTTACATTTAAGAAGAGACAGAGCTTAAAATAAGGCTAATATCCTAGACATGAAAATTGCATTTCTCTGACGCGCTACAAACATTTGTTTTCCAGTTTTGTTTGCGTATGTAGTACAATGTATTACAGTTTTACTATTCAGTTGTTGAAAGTTCCAAGATCGTTAAATTATTTTATTTGTTAACAACTTTTTCAATTCATTTTTTTTTTAATTTCCATAAAATGATTCTAATCATTCAATGAAAAAGTACACACCGAGAAGTTCTTTTAAATGCGTCTTCGGGCACATTTATGTGGGTTTTTTTCGTCGAACTTTCCCACAAAACTGAAATTTCCTAGAAATCGCCTATAAAGTGACATAATACAGGGTGTTTCAAAAAAAAAAAAAACCGAGCTTATTTTGTTGATTTCTCGGGCATGAGCATTACCTCCATGTCTTACTAATGGAGATCAATGGGTATGACTAATTGTTTAGGAAAATGGTAACCACCATCTGTTACATAACCATGTCTTCTTTTTCTTGACATCACAAACTCCATTTTTCCGTCAAGGATGACTGAGCACCAAGTGATGTAACTGACATGCCAGAAATGGCCTTGTAACACATGCACCATGATATTATTGACAGTTTCAGCATGTTGAACATAACAAAATCCAAAATTTGACTTTGCTGGGAAATATAAAAATTGTAAAGAGTTAACCTTGCATTTTCTTCAAAATTGGGGAAAATTTGACTTTTCTGGTAAATTTAACATTGTAAGGGGGTTAACCTTGCATTTTCTTCAAAATTGGGCAAAATTTGACTTTTCTGGGAAATTCCAGATTGTTAGGGGTCAACCTTGTATTTTCATTAAAATTGGGCAAAATTTGATCTTTCTGGGACATTTCAGATTGTAAGGGGTTAACCTTGCATTTTCATCAAAATTGGGCAAAATTGGACTTTTCTGGTAAATTTCAGAATGTTAGGGGTTAACCTTGCATTTTCATCAAAATTGGGCAAAATTTGACCTCTATGGGAAATTTTAAATTGTAAGGGGTTAACCTTGCATTTTCATCAAAATCGGACAAAATTTGACTGCAGGGAAATTTTAAATTGTCAGGGGTTAACCTTGCATTTTCATGAAAATTGGGCAAAATTTGACTTTTCTGGGAAATTTCAGCTTGTAAGGGGTTAACCTTGCATTTTCATCAAAATTGGGCGAAATTTGACTGCAGGGAAATTTTAAATTGTCAGGGGTTAACCTTGCATTTTCATCAAAATTGGGCAAAATTTGACTTTTCTTGGAAATTTCAGATTGTTAGGGGTTAACCTTGCATTTTCATTACAATCGGCCAAAATTTGACTTTTCTGAGAAATTTCAGATAATAAGGGGTTAACCTTGCATTTTCATCAAAATCGGGCAAAATTTGGCTTTTCTGGTAAATTTGAAATTGTAAGGGGTTAACCTTGCATTTTCATCAAAATCGGGAAAAATTTGACTTTTCTGGGAAATTTCAGATTGTAAGGGGTTAACCTTGCATTTTCATCAAAATTTGGCAAAATTTGACTTTTCTGGTAAATTTAAAAATTGTAAGGGGGTTAACCTTGCATTTTCTTCAAAATTGGGCAAAATTTGACTTTTCTGGGTAATTTCAGATTGTTAGGGGTTAACCTTGTATTTTCATTAAAATTGGGCAAAATTTGATCTTTCTGGGACATTTCAGATTGTAAAGGGTTAACCTTGCATTTTCATCAAAATTGGGCAAAATTGGACTTTTCTGGTAAATTTCAGATTGTTAGGGGTTAACCTTGCATTTTCATCAAAATTGGGCAAAATTTGACCTCTATGGGAAATTTTAAATTGTAAGGGGTTAACCTTGCATTTTCATCAAAATCGGACAAAATTTGACTGCTGGACAATTTTAAATTGTAAGGGGTTAACCTTGCATTTTCATGAAAATTGGGCAAAATTTGACTTTTCTGGGAAATTTCAGCTTGTAAGGGGTTAACCTTGCATTTTCATCAAAATTGGGCAAAATTTGACTTTTCTTGGAAATTTCAGATTGTAAGGGGTTAACCTTGCATTTTCATTACAATCGGCCAAAATTTGACTTTTCTGAGAAATTTCAGATAATAAGGGGTTAACCTTGCATTTTCATCAAAATCGGGCAAAATTTGGCTTTTCTGGTAAATTTGAAATTGTAAGGGGTTAACCTTGCATTTTCATCAAAATCGGGCAAAATTTGACTTTTCTGGTAAATTTGAAATTGTAAGGGGTTAACCTTGCATTTTCATCAAAATTGTGCAAACTTGACTTTTCTGGTAAATTTTCAAATGTAAGGGGTTAACCTTGCATTTTCATCAAAATTGGGCAAAATTTGACATTTCTGGTAAATTTTCAAATGTCAGGGGTTAACCTTGCATTTTCATCTAAATTGGGCAAAATTTGACTTTTCAGGGAAATTTAAATTGTAAGGGGTTAACCTTGCATTTTCTTCAAAATTGGGCCAAATTTGACTTTTCTGGTAAATTTAGAATTGTAAGGGGTTAACCTTGCATTTTCTTCAAAATCGGGCAAATTTGACTTTTCTGGTAATTTTAGAATTGTAAGGGGTTAACCTTGCATTTTCTTCAAAATTGGGCAAAATTTGACTTTTCTTGTAAATTTAAAATTCTAAGGGGTAAACCTTGCATTTTCATCAAAATCGGGCAAAATTTGACTTTTCAGGGAAATTTTAAATTGTAAGGGGTTAACCTTGCATTTTCTTCAAAATTGGGCAAAATGTGACTTTTCTGGTAAATTTAGAATTGTAAGGGGTTAACCTTGCATTTTCATTACAATCGGCCAAAATTTGACTTTTCTGAGAAATTTCAGATAATAAGGGGTTAACCTTGCATTTTCATCAAAATCGGGCAAAATTTGGCTTTTCTGGTAAATTTGAAATTGTAAGGGGTTAACCTTGCATTTTCATCAAAATCGGGCAAAATTTGACTTTTCTGGTAAATTTGAAATTGTAAGGAGTTAACCTTGCATTTCATCAAATTGGGAAAAATTTGAATTTTCTGGGACATTTCAAATTGTAAGGGGTTAACCTTGCATTTTCATCAAAATTGGGCAAAATTTGACTTTTCTGGTAAATTTCAGATTGTTAGGGGTTAACCTTGCATTTTCATCAAAATTGGGCAAAATTTGACCTCTATGGGAAATTTTAAATTGTAAGGGGTTAACCTTGCATTTTCATCAAAATCGGACAAAATTTGACTGCTGGGCAATTTTAAATAAGGGGTTAACCTTGCATTTTCATGAAAATTGGGCAAAATTTGACTTTTCTGGGAAATTTCAGCTTGTAAGGGGTTAACCTTGCATTTTCATCAAAATTGGGCGAAATTTGACTTTTCTGGGAAATTTCAGCTTGTAAGCGGTATAACCTTGCACTTTCATCAAAATGGGGCAAAATTTGACTTTTCTGGTAAATTTGAAATTGTAAGGGGTTAACCTTGCATTTCATCAAATTGGGAAAAATTTGACCTTGGTGGGAAATTTCAGATTGTAAGGGGTTAACTTTGCATTTTCATCAAAATTGGGCAAAATTTGACTTTTCTGGTAAATTTTCAAATGTAAGGGGTTCCCCTTGCATTTTCATCAAAATTGGGCAAAATTTGACTTTTCTGGTAAATTTTCAAATGTAAGGGGTTAACCTTGCATTTTCATCAAAATTGGGCAAAATTTGACTTTTCAGGGAAATTTAAATTGTAAGGGGTTAACCTTGCATTTTCTTCAAAATTGGGCAAAATTTGACTTTTCTGGTAAATTTTAAATTGTAAGGGGTTAACCTTGCATTTTCATCAAAATCGGGCAAAATTTGACTTTTCTGGTAAATTTGAAATTGTAAGGGGTTAACCTTGCATACATCAAATTGGGCAAAATTTGACTTTTCTGGGAAATTTCAGATTGTAAGGGGTTAACCTTGCATTTTCATCAAAATTGGGCAAATTTTGACTTTTCTGGTTAATTTGAAATTGCAAGGGGTTAACCTTGCATACATCAAATTGGGCAAAATTTGACTTTGCTGGGAAATATTAAATTGTAAGGGGTTAACCTTGCATTTTCATCAAAACTGGGCAAAATTTGACTTTTCTTGTAAATTTAAAATTGCAAGGGGTAAACCTTGCATTTGCATCAAAATCGGGCTAAATTTGACTTTTCTGGTAAATTTCAGATTGTGAGGGGTTAACCTTGCATTTTCATTACAATCGGGCAAAATTTGACTTTTCTAAGAAATTTCAGATTGTAAGGGGTTAACCTTGCATTTTCATCAAAATTGGGCAAAATTTGACTTTTCTGGTAAATTTTCAAATGTAAGGGGTTAACCTTGCATTTTCATCAAAATTGGGCAAAATTTGACTTTTCTGGTAAATTTGAAATTGTAAGGAGTTAACCTTGCATTTCATCAAATTGGGAAAAATTTGAATTTTCTGGGACATTTCAAATTGTAAGGGGTTAACCTTGCATTTTCATCAAAATTGGGCAAAATTTGACTTTTCTGGTAAATTTCAGATTGTTAGGGGTTAACCTTGCATTTTCATCAAAATTGGGCAAAATTTGACCTCTATGGGAAATTTTAAATTGTAAGGGGTTAACCTTGCATTTTCATCAAAATCGGACAAAATTTGACTGCTGGGCAATTTTAAATAAGGGGTTAACCTTGCATTTTCATGAAAATTGGGCAAAATTTGACTTTTCTGGGAAATTTCAGCTTGTAAGGGGTTAACCTTGCATTTTCATCAAAATTGGGCGAAATTTGACTTTTCTGGGAAATTTCAGCTTGTAAGCGGTATAACCTTGCACTTTCATCAAAATGGGGCAAAATTTGACTTTTCTGGTAAATTTGAAATTGTAAGGGGTTAACCTTGCATTTCATCAAATTGGGAAAAATTTGACCTTGGTGGGAAATTTCAGATTGTAAGGGGTTAACTTTGCATTTTCATCAAAATTGGGCAAAATTTGACTTTTCTGGTAAATTTTCAAATGTAAGGGGTTCCCCTTGCATTTTCATCAAAATTGGGCAAAATTTGACTTTTCTGGTAAATTTTCAAATGTAAGGGGTTAACCTTGCATTTTCATCAAAATTGGGCAAAATTTGACTTTTCAGGGAAATTTAAATTGTAAGGGGTTAACCTTGCATTTTCTTCAAAATTGGGCAAAATTTGACTTTTCTGGTAAATTTTAAATTGTAAGGGGTTAACCTTGCATTTTCATCAAAATCGGGCAAAATTAGACTTTTCTGGTAAATTTTCAAATGTAAGGGGTTAACCTTGCATTTTCATCAAAATTGGGCAAAATTTTGACTTTTCTGGTAAATTTCAGATTGTTAGGGGTTAACCTTGCATTTTCATCAAAATTTGGCAAAATTTGACTTTTCTGGTAAATTTAAAATTCTAAGGGGTAGGCCTAAACCTTGCATTTGCATCAAAATCGGGCAAAATTTGACTTTTCTGGTAAATTTTAAATTGTAACGGGTTAACCTTGCATTTTCATCAAAATCGGGCAAAATTTGACTTTTCTGGTAAATTTGAAATTGTAAGGGGTTAACCTTGCATACATCAAATTGGGCAAAATTTGACTTTTCTGGGAAATTTCAGATTGTAAGGGGTTAACCTTGCATTTTCATCAAAATTGGGCAAATTTTGACTTTTCTGGTTAATTTGAAATTGCAAGGGGTTAACCTTGCATACATCAAATTGGGCAAAATTTGACTTTGCTGGGAAATATTAAATTGTAAGGGGTTAACCTTGCATTTTCATCAAAACTGGGCAAAATTTGACTTTTCTTGTAAATTTAAAATTGCAAGGGGTAAACCTTACATTTGCATCAAAATCGGGCTAAATTTGACTTTTCTGGTAAATTTCAGATTGTGAGGGGTTAACCTTGCATTTTCATTACAATCGGGCAAAATTTGACTTTTCTAAGAAATTTCAGATTGTAAGGGGTTAACCTTGCATTTTCATCAAAATTGGGCAAAATTTGACTTTTCTGGTAAATTTTCAAATGTAAGGGGTTAACCTTGCATTTTCATCAAAATTGGGCAAAATTTTGACTTTTCTGGTAAATTTCAGATTGTTAGGGGTTAACCTTGCATTTTCATCAAAATTTGGCAAAATTTGACTTTTCTGGTAAATTTAAAATTCTAAGGGGTAGGCCTAAACCTTGCATTTGCATCAAAATCGGGCAAAATTTGACTTTTCTGGTAAATTTTAAATTGTAACGGGTTAACCTTGCATTTTCGTCAAAATTGGGCACGGTACATTATCAAAGTCTTATTCAATTGCTCAAACATAACGTAGTTGGTTCGAGGAACTCATTTTGTTCTTTGTATCTATCCTGCATAAAATTAATGCACCCTTTGCCAGAATAGTGACTGAATGGAGTGGTTTTTAAACCACATCAATTGTGGCTGATCTGAAGAACTCCACTTCACACTGCATAGCTGTTTTGTAGATCCCCTTGGCCACTTCAGGGCGCACCCCGTAGCTCTCTGTATGCTCGTTGATGAAGTTGGCCAGTTTGTGGCTGCCGCCAAGGTTATCCTCGATCCAGAAGCTGTACACGTTCGTGTCATTCTAGCATCGGGGAAAAAAACCATACAAACACATCAATGGCCGGTGACTAGGGCCAAGGGCAGATCCAGAACACAATTTTTTTTGGGGGGGGCCAAAAAAAATTTGGTCCCCCAAAAAGTGGGTCCAAAAAAATTACGGCGTGGGGTTCGGGGCCCGCTTAAGGGCCCCGAAAAAAATGTTGGATTCTAGATGCAATGTGGTGCGATCTGAGGCAATTTCTGATCATTTTAACCAATGTTTTTTTGAGGAAAAGATGGTGGTGTACTCATTGCCTGCCTTTATTGCGATGTCACATAAAAAAAATCCTCCTGGATCCGCCCTTGACTAGGGTGTCAATCGCTTCTTAAAAGTGTGTGTGTGTATGGGGGGGGGGGGACATGTATATACCTTGATCAGAACTATGCAAGCGCGAAGCCCTTATAGCGTGGGGTTCGGGACCCGCTTAAGGCCCCCCCCCCCCCAAAAAAAAGATTCTTGATGCTCTGTGGTGCGATCTGAGGCAATTTCTGACCACTTTAACCCTTTTCTTTAGCAAAAGATCATTCAAACATCATATTCGAGTTGAGCATGTAGACCTATACAGTGTGTCCCAAAAAGTGTCAGTCTGTTTTTAAAATAACTACAAAACCATGAGGTCAATTATGAAAATGTTTGGTTGTGCAGATAATCCTGAGCCAAGTGGCCTCACTTCAACCCCTATTTTCATTTAATTTCAGTCACGCGTCACTGCACAATTATCAATTGAGCACAACAACATTTTTGAACACAGTGACCAAGATCCATGCCTTTCGGTGCGGTGTTATAATGTAATAAGCTGTGTAAAATCCGTAATGTTGAGAAAAAAGGCTGGTGTGGTTTGGGATTGGAATCATTTGCCAATGATGACTGATAGCTAGCCAGGCAAATGATTCCAATCCCAACTGCAGCCCTTTTCACAACGTGAAGGATTTTACACAGCTTACATAACACAGCACATGCACATGTACGTATACTGCAATTGAATATGGCAAGGAATTTGGTCACAGTGTCCAAAAATGTTGTGCTCAATTGTGCAGTGATGTGTGACTGAAATTAAATGAAACTCGTAGGGGTTGAGGCCAATGCTCTGCACATCAAAGCATTTTCAAAATTGACCTCATGGGTTCGTAGTTATTTAAAAATAGTCAGACGGACACTTTTTGGGGACACACTGTAGAATCAAATGTAGGCTACAATCTTTATTAGTGGTGCAGAAATATTTCGATTACCGTGCACAGCTGGCCACCTGGTCGAGATACACAAATACACAATAAACAAATCAGCCATTCGTTATTAACGTAACATAAACTTGGGGTCCAATTCGCGGGGTGGGGGGGGGGGGCACTTAGGGGGCCTCATTTCCAGGAGGGGGCACTAAATGGGGATAAAATATAAAAATTAAAAAAAATTGCCTTCCCTCTCATTCTTAGTGGGGCACAGCCGGGGGTGGGCACGGGCCTGGGGGGAGGGTTCAACTACGCCCCTTCCCTTAGGCAATTTCGAAATAAAAATTGTAACCGAAAAGAGAATTTTAAAAAAAATATTTGAAAAGTGACAATTATTGCATAATACTAAGCAGGGCCTGGGGAATATCAAAATGGTCTTTTGTTTTGTTTTTTATTTGTTTTGTTTCGTTTACAATTTTTTTTTCTGTGGTAAATTTGACCCTGGCAAATGACACGGGAATGTCATAAAAGTAACAGAAATCGCTCCTTACGATGCCCGGTTGAATCTGCTCAGCAAGCCACCCCCACAGTTGCTCGCAAGGCAGCATGGCAATCAACAGATAGATTGCTTGGGAGTTCGTAGCCACGCCCTTTTCGAAGGAAGAGTAAGAGGCCGCGGCGGTTCCCATGGCAATACCCCTCGGATCCTTGATGTACCACTGCTTAAACATCTCTTCTGTGTAGCTACAAAAAAAAATAAATAATTATTTGGTGAGAACCGACAGAAAAAAATCAGACTAAGCAGTGTCAATAACAAAACAAAAAAGGCATAGATTTTGACTCACAAAAAATGAATATATCCATGTTTTATGCAAAAAATAAGAAATGACCAAAAATTATGTTTATACGTACTAGCAGCGGCGAAGCTAAGGGGGCGTGTGTGTGGGGGGGGGGGGGCACGCCCAGTGCGCCCCCCCCCCCCCCCACCACCTCCCCAAAAATGGAAATTTGGCAACCGGAGAAAGTCACAATCTGGGACCAGGACTTGAGACCTACGACACTGACCATTATTAGTAAATTAATTCTATGCGACAAAAAATGATTCAGACTAAATCACTTACCCTGCGTAACTTTTGATGCGTCCTTGGATGAACTCCCTCAGAGTAGACTCTTTGCATTTTTCATATGCGATTCCGTAGTAGCTCGTTGCATTGAAGCAATACACGGCATCCTGAACGGTGTATCCACCTGGAAGTCGGTAAAAAAAAAAACAATCGTCAAATCTCAGATAAAGGAATATTGTTATAATATGTATAGGCCTATTGTTATGTAAGTGTACTCGAGCCACTATTTTTGCACTGATAAACAGATTTGCCAGGCGTAGTTTACAGACTCAACAACATAACGGAATTAAAGAAAAACTTTTAAGACCCAAGTATTCAAGCTGATTTATAAAGCCAACGTACCAACCAGCCATGCCAGCCATCCACTGAACTAATAGCCATCCAACCAACCAACCAATGCAGTCTGCCAACCATGCAGTCAACCAGCCAGTCCGGCGCAACCAACCAGCCAGCCAGGCAGCTCAGCTTTCCAGCCAGCCAACACAAAATCCAATTGCAACTCACCATAATCAGTGGGATCGAGAAGGCCACTCTTAATCCCCTGGATGAAACCCGTATCGAGCGCCTCTTGGGCCTGAGCCTGGCTGCTCTCCCACAGCCACTCCGCCAGCTCCCTCTCGCCTCCCTCCGCGGTGTCGGCCACTTTCATCAGCTTGGCCTTGCGTTTAGGGGCCAACAGCTGGTCGACGAAAGACTGGGGGAGATGCTCAACACACGCCGCGATGCGGCGCGGACTGCGGACATTCTTGATGCTTTTCTTCCTCAGAGATGACATGTTGGCGTGCCGATCTGAAACTTTCAAATTTACAAGCTTACAAACTATACCAGCGTTGTTCTGAAGTGATGTTGTATGTAATTTTTAGCAGGGAGTTTTTTCTGGTGGATGTGAGAATGACTCCTAGGCCTATATAACATCTCGTTCCTGTACTGTATGTAGTCTAATATTCTAAACCTCACACGTCACTGATCTCATTCTATCTTGCACTCAAGGATACGCAAAACATACAAATTCGCATTAATTTCATAGAATCCAAATTTCACGCTCAGCTGTACGCGACACGGGCGTGAAACAGGACCCTGTTTTTTGGTCGATGTCAGTTTCTGCGAAATTTTACCAAGTGGCCAATTCATTCTGCCCTATACTTCACTCGATACCCGGACGTTTCAAAATGTTGGATGTCAAAATCAAATACCTGTTGTGAAGTATTCTTAGTCTTCCCCTTCAAATCGTTGTACGTTTATGGAACAGAAACAGACGTACGTCGACAACCTTCTAGGTGTTTGTACGTTTATGGAACAGAAACAGACGTACGTCGACAACCTTCTAGGTGTTTGTACGTTTATGGAACAGAAACAGACGTACGTCGACAACCTTCTAGGTGTTTGTACGTTTATGGAACAGAAACAGACGTACGTCGACAACCTTCTAGGTGTTTGTACGTTTATGGAACAGAAACAGACGTACGTCGACAACCTTCTAGGTGTTTGTACGTTTATGGAACAGAAACAGAAACAAATCTACTGCTGCTGCTTCAAGGTTTTTACACTGTCGGTATTGCCAGCATCGGCTAGCGCTAGTCAGCCTATTATCGCAACACAAGGCCAAAATGGGCCTTTCAGGTTCACAACAATGTGCAAAACAAGGTCACCACTGCCATCCATAAACATTACAACAATGTGCCAAACAAGGTCACTTCTGCTGTAAACGTTGCTTCTGGTAAAGCTTTTGTCGTAATAGCCTATTGAGCATGAGTGGCACAGCAATATATGCGCATTTATAATTATAATCAGTGAACTGAACTCCGGGTGTTAACAAAGCAAGGGGAAACTGCCTAGATGTGTACACACTAAAAACAATTTTTTGCCTGCAGTTTATTTCTGCGCACAGCATTTTTTCTTCCTCTTTATATTTCACTCTGCCCTTGCTTTTTATCGGTACATACGCAAAGGTATGGCTTGAAAGCAACCAAAAAAACAGGGTCAAAATCGGATAGTACCGTGGCCCCGTGAATTGAATTCGTGGTCTGCGGGTAATTCTGCGGGTTGTGGGTTCGAGTCCAGCCTGGGGATGTGGGGCATGTGCCCTTGGGCAAGGCACTTTGTCATTCATTGCTTCTCCCCACCCAGGAGTAAAATGGGAACCTGTGAGGGCAGAGATGGTTATTGTGATTGATTTAGCTTCCTTGCACCTAACAGGCTGCATCGAGCTGTATACTCCCCATGGAGCTGAAATGGTATTTGGAATGTTTAATTGGCCCAATGATCAGGGGTAATAATAATGTAAAGCGCTTTGATCTAAAAGCGCTAAATAAAAACCCGTTATTATTATTATTTATTACATTTGAAGAAAATATACGAGAGATTAAAAACATGTGAAGAACATTAAAAAGGAAACAGTTAACGGCCATATTGAGGAGAATATGCTCCCCTATAAATTAATTCCAACTTATCACAGAATTTCCACTACACAAGGTCACCTCAATCTACCATTATTGTTTGATTACATTTGGGTCGCTTATATGCTACTTTTAATTCAATACTCAATATCACGTATTATAAGCACACCATTTTGCATCTACAGCCTTGTTTAGTGCCACATGCATATACGCATGGGGACAGGTAAACATTACAAAATACGAATTTCGTGTTGCATGCCTGTAAAACTACACAATATTGTTTTAGCCTGCAATTACCTAACCGGAAAAGTATAAAATCCCTGTAAACCAGGGTCAAGAAGAATTAAGAATGAGGGACAGATATAAAACATTAAAATATAATATAAAGCCAGAAAGGATCATTTGCAATCACCCAGAAAAGCCTACATAATTTCAGGAATCTCTGTGTCTGTCTGTCTGTCTGTACGTCGATTATCTCCAGAACCGGGCACTTAATGAAGTTGAAAATCGGCAGGTGAATTGCTCGGGACCCCAGAATGTGCAGTGTCAAGTTTGAAGTTGTTTGGATGAGCGGTTCTCGAAAAAGAGGCAAAAAAGCTGCACATTAACCATTTGTCCCATAAAAGATTTGGCCGGTGTGTGTGCACAGACTGACCTTCACTGGGGGGAGGGGGGAGGCTATTCCATTATCAACATTGGGTACTTCATCACTGAATCGGAGATACGAGCCACATAATACAGTTGAAAATAAAGGTCATGATTTAAATAAAAAGGGAATTAATTAAATATGTCTACATTGGCAAATCGACCAAGGGATTCCAGGACTCAACGTGTTTCTAAAAATGGTGGAGGTAGCAACATTGTGTAATTATTGCACAAAATCTAACATGCATTAAATCTCAGTCAGTGAATGCAAGTTATCTGGGCTTCCAGTGCAACTTAAAGGGAATGTACGTCATTGGCTGTAATTTTCAGAAATGAACTATTTGAGGGGTTAGTATAATAGATCAAATATTGTTACACTGACATGTTTGAAGTTTTGTGTTCGAAAATGCTGGAAAACCAAGAAAAACCAAAAATGTTTAAGTAGTCTGGTTCCTGGACTCCACTAAAGATAAAATGGATCAATTTATAGTTGACAGAAAATTGTAAGGTAAGGAAACCAGTCTAGCTGGCCTGCACCCGTTCATGAACATGTAACCAATAGCAAACAAAATTTGGACTGAAAAAATATTGTAAATTTGGAACAGTAGTTGAAAAATAGTTAGGTTTTTCCAACGGTGGTCGGCCGACCACCGTTGGAAATGTATACAAAAATACAATTTCCTTGAATATGACTTGACACCAGGTGCCATAATTTTACAGGATGCTTTAGACTGTCATTTACCAACATCCTAGTAAGGTATTTCGTAAAAACTTAGTAGTTTTATTTTTCAATGTTTTTAAATGTTGTATATTCCCTTTAAGATAGACCATGCATAAAGGGGCGGGTCCAAATTTGACTCAAGGAGGTGGGGTTATCTATGGGCGGTGGTCGAATTATTTCTTTTTCACGAACAAGATCCGACAATATCAAAAATATCAAATATCATCACTCAGTCATATACAACAAGGATAGATGCTCAGTCCAATCCTTTAGTTCTTGGGTCGCGAATTGAAGTAAACGAACATCATCAGGGCAAACAACAGCACCCCCCTCGGCCCCTCCCCACTCTTAAGATTCATCTGGCCCCGCCCATGAACATCAAACTCTTGCTCTGCCATCACTCAGTCCATTACAGCAAGGACAGATGCTCAGTCCGATCCTTCAGTTCTTGGGTCGCGAATTGAAGTAAACGAACATCACCAGGGCAAGTAACAGCACCCCCCTCCCCACTCTTGTAATTCATCTGGCCCCGCCCATGAACATCAAACTCTTGCTCTGTCATCACTCAGTCAATTACAGCAAGGACAGATGCTTGGTCCGATCCTTCAGTTCTTGGGTCGCAAATTGAAGTAAACAAACATCACCAGGGCAAGTAACAGCACACCCCTCGGCCCCTCCCCACTCTTAAGATTCATCTGGCCCCGCCCATGAACATCAAACTCTTGCTCTGCCATCACTCAGTCCATTACAGCAAGGCCAGATGCTTGGTTCGATCCTTCAGTTCTTGGGTCGCGAATTGAAGTAAACGAACATCACCAGGGCCAGGAAGAGTGCCCCCAGGGTAGGCAGGACCACAAACAGGATGTTCCTCTTGTTGTCCACGTTCTCCAGCTTGCGTTGTCTCTTCTCCTTCCTCGTCTCCTTCACTTTGCCTTTCAGCTGGCGCATGTTTGTGCTGGAGTTACCATTTGAGTACGAAGAAAAAGTTCAACAAAATTTTTGTCAAGTTGGGGGACGGGTTCTATCCAGGAGGGAGGGGGGGCCAAGTAGTCAGTAGAGTGAGAATCCACTGCCACAATCTGTTAGGACAAAAAATCACAAAGTAAAATTTAGAGTAGACCCAGTAAGTGGTAACTGGGCGTTTGAACTCTACTGTACGAATTTTGTCTTCAGTCGATTATCGATTGCATTAAGTAGCAGCTATAGTCAGCTGATAGTACGACCGACCAAAGACACAATTAGTACAACCGACCAAAAACAACAATCGTAAACAGGAGTCCTACTCCTAGCGCCCCAGTAATTACATTTACTCAATTTTGCTGGTACCAGTACCCCGCTAGCGCTACGCTTTTAAAATTGCACGAAAGAAAAATCGTCATATCTTGATGTGCACGTACACGTGTGCAATTCTCAGTCAGTTGGCTGAATTAAAATGATCGCAGTGGCTATTGTTACGGCAGCCGTAATGCATTTCCCATTTTCTATCGTTACGGTAGACTGCAACCTGGCAACTTTTATAAAAAAACATGACAAGAAAATATAAAATTAGAAGGAAAAAAGTGAATTTGAACTTTATGAAATTCGGACTTTATTTCCCTTTTAAAAAAAATCCTCCAAAGCCTCAGGTTAGAAAAGGAAACAAATTCGAGTGCAAAACTGAGATCCGAACCCGCAACCTCGCGGTGCAAAATCCTACCCTCTATTGGCTGAGCTGGCGCACTGCTCGATAAAACGTGTGGAAACAAATAATTATATACCTGCGTGCGTACCAAAAAAATATCGTAGAGGGCGCTAAACAACGAGTGCCGTAACGATAGCCACTTCGTAAAATGATATGATGATGACCGAGTGAGCGCGCGTCACAAAGTGTGTCCTGCAGCAGCCTGAGCAGGTGTGTGGGAATTGTTGGCTAGATTCTTACCCTATATAATCACTTACGATCTGGGATGAAATTCGCCGATGACAGTTGTGACAAAAATAATCACGTTCATGAACTTCGTTCGTGTCGGGAAACAACACAATTCTAGGCCTACGCGTGATATTATTCGAGACGTCTAGGTACGTTGTGAGAGCAAAAGAGAGGGAACCAGCCTCAATGTTAAGGAAGTATAGCGCCCTCTACCTAGCCCCAAAGTTTCGTATCATTTTTTTCCTCGCCCCTCGAACACATGCAGTGATAGAGACGGCTCAGATATCTATCAAAACTGCTGATAGATTATGATTTCCTTTATCATTATGTGTAAAAAAATGTTCTGGGGATAAAAGAAACTTCAATTAATGTATGTAAGTAAGTAGACGAAACCGATATTCACACTTAAAAAATAAACACACGAATGAAGCCGATCGTAGCCCAAAACTAACCTAAAACTCATAGATGAAACTCCTAAGTTAACAATAAACCAGTGGCGCGGGGTGCTGGGGGGGGGGGGGGGGGCTATTTTTTTGTTGTCTAGCCCCCCCAAAAAAAAAACCCCAAAAATTCCATTAAAAAAAATGCACTAGCAAAAGGTAAGAATGTAGGCCTACATAAGCGAACGGTCTCCCCCGTAAAAAAAAATAGTCGTGAAAAGGGTGCATTTGTACACTTTTAGTTAATACATGTATAGTGTGCCTGATTGTAGGATTTTATCAGCGCTCCCCATTGAAAATATGGCACGAGCCGAAAATTTACTGAGGAAAACTAGCCAAAACAAGTGAAGCAACGGCAAGTCGGCGACCGAAAACTATCATTCAAGGCACCTAAAAGACTTCTTCGTTAAAAGAGCCATTTTCCCTTGAAATTACAGTTAACTAAATTTTCACGGATTTTTCATCCGTGAAAACACCCATGGAGATCCTCTGTGGCCAGGGTTATTAAAAAAACCCGTGATACCTTTACAGGATTAGTCCTATATAAGCCCCATGGAAATGTCTGTGAAACATCTCTTAAAGATTCTTTTCACGAAGAAATTGACTTTTAATGAATTTTTAAGGGATGAAGATGTTCATATATAGTGAGTGTCCTAGCCGTAAAGGCAGCCAGCCAAATTGAGCCAACCAATCAGCCAGCTAAAAATAAATATAAAGACATCAATTGCAACGATTTCACCATTCTTGTCATTCACCCACGATTTTTTTCTTGGGGGGGGGGGGGGGGTGGGGGAGGGGAAGGGCGGGGAATGCGCAACAACAAGAGGGGACGGAAACCCCAAATAGAAAGCAATTTGTCACACCAAGTCATACCAGACTCAAACCGACTCATGCTAACAAAAAAAAAGAGTCAGTCGGAAGGAACTATCTGTGTGGTAATTTTAATTTTCCGATCAGGAATCATGATTATCAGTTACAAAGAAATGGCAACAATATTGGAGCCACCGCCCACCGAGTGCAGGAAAGATCACAATACAACGCCTTGACTGAATACTGAGTGCTTTATTACCAAATGACGAGGGAAAGAAATAACAATGGTGAAACAGCAAAAAAAAGAATACAATTCTGAGGGTTCAAAACATCGCAACTTAAGGCAATGATAAAGAAATCGAAATTCGAAACTTATGAACCTTCCATTTTTTAACATAACAAAGTTTAATGTCTGGTACATTAATGTACTCAAACCGTACCTGAAAGCATGGGCGTCGCGGGGGAGGGGGAGGGGACAAGGGGGGGTGGGCACTTGCCCCCCCCCCCTCCACTGGAAAAGAGAGAAAAAAAAAAAAAAAAAGAGGCGCGAAGACAAAGTGGTGTAAATTTAATGAGTTGGGGGGGGGGGGCAAAATGTCCCTGCCACCTTCTTAAACTGATAAATCGAGAATGTGTTGAGAAATACAAGCATTTTTTGGCCAAACAATTTTTTGCCCCCCCTGTAGAAAAAATCCTGGCGACGCCCATGCCTGAAAGTACAAATTATTAAAGTTATACTTTATAATTTAACAAACAAAATTGAAACGACAACAGAACTTTTAAAAAATATAAAACGTTGAAACTTTTTTTTTTAGCGCTGTGGTATATACAGATGCTTCTGCTTCCATATCTGAAGATGTTTCAATGAAGGTTGACACAGATACATGTACAAAGAGGCAATCGTCAAACCATGGCCATCGCAGCATTATAGAAGTGGTCCTGGAAGAGTTACCCCGTCTTTCAACGCAGGCACTCAGACTGGGTAGTCTTCCGGAAGCCTCTTGTCAAGAAAGTTGTGAATTCTGGAAATGCAAAACGTGTGACGCAAGCCTGGTACTTTAATAACCTCAGACGAAATTTTTGAAGCTAAAATGCAAACGACAGGAAAAGAAAAGGAGGGAACAAGGAGAAAAAGCAGCCAGAACGGATTCAGAAAGAAAGAGGCAATAAATGAGAGTCAAAGCAAGAATGACAAGTCCAACAACTGCTCCTGCAGAGGGAAAACGAAACAAAAATGGCCTTCATGCACAATACCCCCTCAAGATGGACGCTTGAGCAGCATGCCATTCGTGCTCAGGCTGCATTCCTAGGAAGACACATCCAGGTATCTACGTACACTAAAACTGCATGGTCTTCAGAACCAGTATGCATCTAGGACTCAATGGTTCAGGCCCCTCTATTAATTGTAAATACAAGGGATGCAATCCGTTTCAAAAACAAAACAAAAACCTAAAAAAAAGAAATAAATATCTTTAAGAGCAAGAGTTAACGTATTAACACATTAGACAATTTAAGTGAATAATAAAATAAAATGGCACTATAATTTATCTATAAGTACTATATATTTGGGGAAAAACTTTAAGGTTTTTTTTCTTGTGAGTTGAAATGTCACTTTTTCATAGTATGGATTAAAAAATCTTGCCAATTGTAAAAAGCAAAAGATTTCACTTCAGTTGAATATATCCTCCAAACTTTTAAGTACTGAATTTGCTTAGTTATTTTAAAAGTACTCTGATTCCATTTCCCCCCCCCAAAAAAAAATGATAAAAACTAAAGAACAAATGTGAATCTTGCTTTTCCTCTGTACTTGTTCAACATCGTTTCGCTTAGGCCAAATTTTTAAAAAATGTTTAGCGTCCTACCTTTTAAAAAAAAAAGGGAGGCCCTTTCTTTCCCCCTCCAAAATGGCCGCCCGACCGGGCTATTTTTCAAGATGGCCGCCAGCTTTTTTTTTTGAATGGCCGCCACTTGGAGTCAGGAAATGACATAACAGCTTTATATGGGCTAGATGCAACAGACAAAGCGGCCAAAATGATGTCACTGTTAAAAATTCATAATTTTTTTGTTAAAAAAAGGCAACCTCCAAAAAGGAAGCGGGCGGGGATGCTAATCAAGTTTTTCTTTTTATTTGGCCTTATACACGATGACAGGATCCATGTTTCTTTTCTTGAATGCACATACCGTTTTTGCGCACCATTTGAAATGGATACCAGCTCTCATGACCCTTCACAAAAGTTTTGAACTCACTATGTTTGCAGCATCGGCAAAAAAGAGGAATGTTTGCTAAAAGTTGAACAAAAACACTTTTGTGTAGCTTTTTGATGAGTTGTTAAAAAAAAAACAATGGAAAATGATAACTCCTTCAATATCAAGTCACAAGCTATTCAAATGAATTGTGAAGGAATTATTTGTCATAATTGACCCACAGTCACTTGTAACCTCACTTGTGACTATCTAGCCTTGAATGCAAGACTGTGTATAGCCTTGAATGCAAGGCTGTGTATAGCCTTGAATGCAAGGCTGTGTACAGCCTTGAATGCAAGATGGGTACAGCCTTGAATGCAAGGCTGTGTACAGCCTTGAATGCAAGGCTGTGTACAGCCTTGAATGCACGGCTGTGTATAGCCTTGAATGCAAGGCTGTGTAAAGCCTTGAATGCAAGGCTGTGTAAAGCCTTGAATGCAAGGCTGTGTACAGCCTTGAATGCAAGGCTGTGTATAGCCTTGAATGCAAGGCTGTGTTAGCCTTGAATGCAAGGCTGTATATAGCCTTGAATGCAAGGCTGTAAAGACTGCTTCAGAGTACATGCTTGGGATTCTTGCACAGCGGCAGTGTGTTTGCAGTATGCATTGTGGGTTTTGTGTGTACCTTTGGATCGGAGTTTCGCAGTGTGGATGGAGCCGAATGTGCGCAAGCTCTTAAAGCACGTATGCAGCCTTGCATTCAAGGCTAGTGACCGTCTTGTGATTTGACTTGAGATGCACTTGACCACAACTCCGGTATACATTACAATCTCCGTTTCGGCTTTTTGTTGTCTTTGCAGTAGCAGAACGGCATCATGTTGGGCCGGGATCGCCGGATGCAGTCGGCCTGTTTACCATACCTATTGATACGACTGATGTCCCCGGTAGACTGGTAGACGATGAACTGATTCTTGCTCTGCGGCAGCACTCTGACCGTGCCCTCGTAGAGGCCGTTACCAGGCAAGGTTTCCACGGTGACCTGGTAGAGAACAGGCAGCTCATCAACCTGAACGGTAGAGTTGTCGCTGAAAGCCGCTTCTCTATGGTCATCATCTGTGTTCTTAAATCGCAAAACCTGCACGAAAGTTGTAGATTTGTTAATCAAATAGGAACTTCCTTCTCAGAAGCTGCACTCACTTTTTTCAAGAAAAGCGAGGCAGCGATACGAGGAAAAAAAAAAAAAAGTGTGATGAAAATTATGAATCAATGTTGTTTTACATTTCGCAGTTGGAGGGCGTACATTTAGTTATTCAGTTGTAAAGTATTTGGTGGAAAGGCACGAGCAGTGGTGTATCCAGCTTTAGATGTCAGTGGGGGCAACTGCACTTGCACATCTGCGCTGAAAGGTAGACATTTGTTTTTGTCTCCAGACGCTTGCCCTCCATAAAATTTAAAAAACGGGTGGGGGTGGGGGGGGGGTGTGGCTGGTACCAATCTTCCAAATGCAGACACTCTTCAAAACTAAATGCATACTGCAAAATGTATGTCGATTTTTACAGCGCATTGTAATGGTTTTGGAGCTGGGTTTTCTGTATTTTGTTCACATTACTACTCTCTAACCATTTATGGAAATAGTAACTGAAAAAAAAAATGGCTTTTGAAAAACTGCCCCTTTTCAAAATGTTTTTTTTCCCTAGCAATACCAAAGTTATAAGCCTTGGAATAGGACATCAAATGAAAAAAGAAGACCACTGTATGCTTGACAAATGTTAAATATGAAATTGCGGCCCATCAAGAATTCTGTTCTCACAGGGTAGACTGGTTCCTGCCCCAGTTCAAAATCAATAATGTAGGAGCCAGGAACCAGAGTACTTTTTTGCACACCGGATTTGTTTACTTACAAAAGAAACCCCACATAAAACTTTTTGCAGATTTTTAAAGGCACCAAAAATAGAAAGCAGTAATTTTTTGGTTAACATAAAACACCCAAAAGCTAGGTCAAATTTCATTAAGAGAAAAACAACAGAATCTGTACCTGTTCATTTGGGACCATCTTTTCAGCGTGTAGGGCCACGTTCAGGCGGAGTTTGGCACACTTGTGTCGGACCACCTCCGTCTTGGCATTGATATCATCAAGGACAGCAGATGCAAGATCACTTGCCTATGAACAAGTAGAAAATGAAATACATTTATCCTTGTCCCGTGCAATCCCATTTGATATAGTCCCAATTTCAATGAAGCTTGCTGGTGATATCTATTGCCTATAGACCTAAATGTCATAAATGCAGGCAACGGGGAAGTAAACACAAAAAAATGAAAATTCCAAACTTTTCCGGATTTTCTACATTTTTGTTTTACGTTTTTGTGAAGTAAACGATTTGTGAAGTGAAAAATATGTGAGGTGAAAATAAAAAGGAAATCGGTGGATCCTCGGAAAAGTTGAACGCCTATGTGCAGATTTAACCAACTTCATGTACAGACCTGTGAATAAATATGTACATGTACAACAGTTAGAGCATACATGTACAATATACACATACATTTTTGTACTATGTACATTCAGTACATGCACTTGTTTCCATTTGTTTTTGCAGGCCTAACATTAAATTAAACTTCAATTTTGTGCAGGGTTCGACTTGAAGTCCACTCGCCAAATGAGAGTAAAAACAGTGGCGGACTGGTCAAAACCATTCCCTAAGTAGTCCGCCTGGCGAGTCTAAATTATTGGAAATAACATTGTTGTTCATGACATTCTGGTGCGAGAATTTAAAAATTCTACTGCGGATTAGTGAAAAAGCCTGAGGAGCTACATGGAATAGTCTGGTTCCTCACTAGTCCAGCTGGCTTATGAAAGAAAAGAAGTTAAGGGTCAACCCTGTCTTGCCGGCAAGACAGGGTTCGCCCTTAACTTTTTTTTTCATAAGCCAGCCAGCATGCCTTGCCTTGTCTCCTTACCCAATCCCCACTAGCTGGTTCCCAGGTCATGCAGGAACACCAGTGAGGGGCAACATGGGCGTGGTCACATGTTCTCTCCAGTGGGATTTCACGGAAAAGGCTTATTCCACGCTGCTTCACGCTAACAGGCCTGGTGCTAGAGTGCAGCACAGATTGCAGAGTCTGATGGATGTCAAACGGTGTAACAAGTCTCTTAGCGTTCATCAGTAGGTTCTGGACCATGTCTGGGTGACGCTTGGGCATCCAGTCCGGCAAGGTGATTGACATGAAGGGCAAGCGTTCTTCGAGCTTCCCTTGTAGAGTCTTGCGTATTGCAGAGTATCGCGACCCGTGATCGCCAAACATGAAGATCATCGTGTTGTTTAGGAGACCCTGGTTGTGGGCGTTGTTGAGAAACCAGTACAGGTCGTCGTCCATCAACTTCAGTGGGTTGATGTTAGCATGAGTCAGGCCAACCAGGAATGATAAGGCAAAGTGGGGCTTGTCCTTGTACTCGGTCATGTAATCAAACAGGTAGTTCAGCATGACATTGTGAACAGGCCGCGGACCAAGACAGTGGCGCCTGTCCTTGGCAGAATTCCAAAAAGTCCGCATGTAATGGTCTGTGGGTTGTTCCTCGAAGCCGTTGAATCGCAGATTGAAGGTGGCCATGCCTGGACTGTCCTCGGCAAACATTGTGGCATACCCGCTCTTGGCAAACTCTTTCCAGATCATTGGGTACGTGTCCACCGATTTGGAACGCGGTTCACCTTTTCGGATCTCGGGTAGCTCAAGTTCTGTCTTACCTGTGAGCATCGGGATCATTGCGCCTGCTGTGGCATCGGCAACAATGTTATATCCTTCCAGAACTATGCTCCCTAACTTTGCAAGGAGCTCAGTTGTTTGGGGAAGCTGCCTGATGAAGTTCATCCTGGAGGTGGCTTCAATGGCAAGCATAATGACATTAACTCCAAGACCATCCTTGGGCGGTTTGATTTTGCGCAACCGCTGCAGTACCTCAGGCCTGGGAACTACACTGGCATGCAGACCAAAAAGTCCAGGACTTGCCCTGTAGAAGGCATCGAATTCCTCCTCATTGCTTATATCAGTGAAGGCGTCATTAAACTCCGAGTTGCTAATGTCACTTTTTTCATCCAGGCAAACCACGGCGGTAAAGTCTGAGGTCAAATTATACCTTAGCGGAATTTCTTCCGGCTTTGAGTGATGCTGGTTATCAACACGAACCTTGACGGGTGACGAAACAAGGCTGGAAAAGTCTGACACTCTCTCGATAGTCGACACATAGCAGGTCTCATACTTGATCTTTTGGGATAACACTTTCCGCAGCACAAGCTGCTTGTTCTTGACATCGGTGAGCATGATCCCCTCACACTTCAGGGGTTCCGGCTCCCTGATGTGTTCCCTTATGGACTCATCAAAGGGATTGAGTTCAGGAACCACGCAAGCTTGCTTCTTGCTATCTGATCTGGTCCCGTTGACAACTCTCTGCTGAAGAGCCTTTCGGACCTCGGACCTCATCATGTATTTTTTTCGGCTACCTTCGCCGACATTCTTATCACTCCCCTTGACATTTTCATTGTATTTGGACACATTGGCCTGTTGAAGTAGGGTTAACCTTTCCAGCTCTTTACGCAATTCCCGCCCTTCCTTTCCATAGAGTTGTCCTTCCGTGAGGTCCCCAGGTCCAACTCGGATGCCGTTTCTCCCAATGACAAACCCTTCCTGAAGTAATTTGGTGGCAAGAGGGTTGTGGTTTTCTGTGAAAGGAATCAGGCCTGGTCGACGTCTGGCATGCAACTCCTCCGATTTGTAGAGGAACAGCACGGCAGTAACAGTGCACACAGATATCATCACCAGCACAATAATTTTGACGCGGTGCCGCAAGCATAAGCTCCGACTCATCTTGGCATTGCCCATTTTCGTTGATCATAGTTGAAGGCAATTCCTAGAAAGGAAAAGACATGTACAATATCAAATGCATTGGTCAGCTGAACGTAAGGTCTTGTACACTAAATTTCCACGGACTGACCCTAACCCTGGCAGTGTAGTCCCACTTACTGGGGCGCTAGAACTTTTGACATTTGGGATGTTAGCCTGTGGTACTAGCGTCCCACTATAAGGAAGAATGATCAATGTTGCAATTTTCAAAGTTCACCACAAAAGTTGCCAAAAATCACACAAAATACTTGACAAAAATACCTTTGAAAGCACCTACTGGCTTGTCCACATGTCAGAGACAAAAAAATGGGGCATCAATGATAGTTATGATAGTTGATACTCACGATTATTTTTTGGGTTGCAAACTAATCCGTGAAAATTCAACCACAATAGCGCAGATGACATCATACAGCGATCATTCAATAACGTTTATGGCTGTGAGTATGATAATGTATTGTCTATATGCACGTACATATACAAACATGTACGTGAAGCGCAGGGCCAGGGGACACGACCATGACCTGCTGTCGATAAACAAACTCCATGTGCAGCCCCATATCGTGCTGGGTATACAATCTGCAAAAGCCCCTCTTCCTCCTTTTTTTCAAAAACCTGGACAAGAAACATGGTTTTTTTTATATTCGGCCTTATCTAGAATCATAAATGTGGCAAATTTACTGGACTACCTCCATAAATAAAGCCTTAAAGGCCACACTTCCACCATGTAGGCCTACATACATGTACAAAAACATGTCAAACTAAATTTAGCTTTGTCAAATTTTGATTTTCACAATTTAGGCTTAGTTTGTAATTTGTATGCCTAGTTTATTTTTGCTTTAGAAGCATACTCACCCTCTAATAATTTATAGGCTAATCAGAAAGTGCTGCCTTTTTCAGATGTCTATTTTTCGTGAAATTTCCAGATTCATTTGCACACGTTTGCGTATCAAAATTTCAACATGAAATTTCACAAAAATTAGACATCTGAAAAAGGCAGCACTTTCTCATTAGCCTATAAACATGATAAAGAGGGTGAGTATGCTTCTAAAGCAAAAAAAACCTACAAACTAAGCCTAAATGTAAAAATCAAAATGTGACAAAGTGCGACACGTTTTTATGTGGAAGTGTGGCCTATGTTTACCATGTTTACGGAGGTAGTCCAGTAAATTGGCCACATTTATGGGGCTACATAATGGGGCTAGCGCCTAGGCTATTCATGATTATCAATTGTTTCCCCTCCCCTATGCAATTTACACTGTGCAATAGACAGTTTACAAATGTCATACGTCAAGACAGCTCACACAAGTTGTCTTTACCTTCAGTGAACTCGATTGAAATTTGACTCAGCACCGGTCGGTCATACGTACGTACGTCAATCGTCAGCACAATTACGCAGCCATCTTGAAAAAAAGCGCCACCATGTGACTCACTAAAGCCAGTCGAGCTGGGGGGGGGGGGATATACCTGTCCGGGGGGGGGGGGGGGGGGGGGATATACCCCACACACTTTTTGAACAGGGTGATGGGACATTGGATCAAACATCCCCCCCCCCAGACCAAAGCCTGAAAAGATTAATTTATATCCATTATGAATAAAAAGAAATGTGTGCACTCTTGGACCAGTTTTTAGCAGGAACACAAGCGGCTTAATATTCTGTATCCACCAACAATATCCAGTGTGTCTTGAAGGATTAAAGTAAGGACACAGATGCATACAACTATACATATACATTTTTTTTTATTAAAGCTCTTTCGGGAAAGATGAAACCGCCGAACACTTATTTTCTACATTTACATTACATCCAAAATGTATACACGAAGCATTTCACAAAGTTTTTTTTTGCATAGCTTAAAAAAATACCGCATGTCCTGTTGCTTGAAACCTGGGAAATGTGGTATAACAGTTTAATATTATTATAACTCTCTGTTTTAAGCTTGAAGTAACGAAAGAAAGTTGCATAAATCAATGAAATCTAGTAAACACACATAGTCATGTGCTGAAACACCAATCTCGGCTATGACACAATGACCATACGGGTGTTAAATTGTAGACTATGGGACTTATGCACAAATAGGCCATTTTTGTAGTGTTTCCTGGACGTATTTCATAATTTGTGAACTGTTGAATGGGATGGTAGCAGACTACACTCTATAGCCTCACTTTCGGGGTTTTTTTATGTGGCTTTAAAAATTAGATGAGTATGTTTAATCACAAAGTTTAAATTATTGCACCAGAGCAGACTGGTATTAATTTGTAACGTCACTGCTTTCGTTTTTGTACACAAGTTCCAAAAATGAAGATTTTATTGACCACACTCTCAATCCAATATGGCCGACTCGTGAATAAGGCCCATAAGCTTGCCTTTACAAAATTGACGAGAGGTACTTTGCATGGTGAGTAATGGACCGATCCAGTAAGCATCGCCCCATGGTGTTCTGACCAATCACAGCAGTGATTTATGTCCGACGTGCGTGCACAAAAGTCCGACATGCGTGCACGCGCGTATGATGCGCGCAGAAGGAAAACGCAGCGTGGCATTGGAGCAGAGCACGTGTTAATTTGCCCACGTGCGCACTGGGCGGAGCTTACTGGATCGGTCCATTAGTGCAGCACTGACTACATGGTGTCGGCAGTCATTCGCGTGATGGTCACAGAATATGGCGGTGATGACTAGTGTGGGGTTGGGCTACTTCGGTGATGGTGATGTGCAGCATGCATGGTGGTGAAGATGAGTTGGAATGATTAGATGGGGATGCTGGTGATGGTAGCGGTCAAAGTGGTGATATACAGTGAATGACGGCTAAAGCCCGGTTCATACTTCACGCGAAAGCGAAAGCGAAGCGAAATTCGTGATGTCAACAATACATTCGAAGCGCGTCTACCATTGTTGACGACATGAATTTCGCTTCGCACAAGCTTTCGCGTGAAGTATGAACCGGGCTTTATTAAGAATTAGGATAATGACGATAGTTCGAATGATGATGAATGGGGAGGGGGTGAAGTGCCGTGGCCTCGAGGTTAGTAAAAGTTCTGTGGGGTATTCTGCAGGTTGTGGGTTCGAGTCCAGCCTGGGGTTGTGGTATACGTGTGTCCTCAGGCCAGGCACTTTGTTACTACTTTCTTCTCCCCAACCGGCCAGGAGTGAATGGGTACCCGTGCAGATGGTTATACTATATGACTGAGTTTTTAGCTCATTGTTTTACGCCGAAATGCCAGCACCTCGAGCTTGTATATCGGACAGGTAGGCTACTATACTGAGATGGTCTGTGGAATATTTCATGGGTCCATGCAAGCAGCAGGGGGTAATGATGTAGCGCCCTGAGCACCAATACTGATGGACATGTGCGCTTCATAAATACGCCCAAGGTAGCGATATTGTGATATAAAAGACGAAGGCGATGGTGGAGATGAAAATTATGATGATAAATAAGCCTATAGGTGGTTAAATTGCGGTACCCGCTGCTACACTAGATGCGAACCAGCCAACCCATCTTGCAAGCTCGGTGGTCAGTTGTAAGACGTCTACGTCTGCACTAGATCAGGCAGGAGGTCATGGGTTCGAGACAGTTCGAGTCCCACCCATGCAGGTGATTTTTTTTCCAAGCTTTCACTCGGGAGGTAACACACTGAGTATATACAGTGTTTATACGTCGGTGAAGGGCAAAACTAATATTGATTATTATGATGATGACAGACGAGCATCAAATGATATTTTGATGCTCAAGGCTTCTGAGAGCTTCAGCTTGGATTGCATGGATTATAAGTACATCATAGCTGACTAACCTCTCAGTACAGATTAACCTTTCATCCTCGCCACAGACCATGAAGCACTGGGGCCCTCGTCTGCAATGCCAATCCATCTGATATTTTAGCATCAAGCATGGACACGTGTTTAAACGTAAGTACAGATGTGAACGGAGTTAATTTTGATTTTGCTGCTAGGTTGGTTACGGTTATAGGCAAGAGAGGCTATGATAATTACCTTCTAGGCCTACTGACTACACACATACACTATAAATTGGAAAGTTACTAAAGTAGTTATCAAGATATACAAACAACGGTACACCATTTTTAGTGAAACTTGTATAGAAACATTTTCAGATATTTCAATCGGCACGTATAAAAAGGACATAATTTTCTTGCCATGAGATGCAAAACATTAATTAGTATACGCGATTACATACAACTTATCTACACAATTATGTACAAAATTATTTAAAAAAAAAAAACAGTTAACGCCCCATAAACCATAACGACAATGCATAACAACCAACCGTATTCATTAATGGCCGGAACGTCTGTGACTGTGACGGCTTCAGGGCAAGATATAATTTTGTTGTTCGATTTGACCATTTGGTTACTGAACTAAACTCTAAAACGAGTGTTCAATCCGAAATTACGGGGAGTGTAACACGTTACATTTTAAGTTTAATCCTAAACTTACAAATTTGACGATAACAGTTTATTTGATTGAATTGTAGTTTTTCACATTTCGACTGGCTGTATCCCCCCCCCCCAAAAAAAAACCAGCACGGCGCCTTTCTGCCCCTATTCACTATCGGATGTCACACCCCTTTTCCTATCAACAGGAAAGTTGTACCAAGAATGATGCATCAATACCGACGCATTATAGTCCTTACAGGTATAATATTAAATCACAAAATATGAGAAATTTTACATCACATGTATTATTGTCGTGGCACAGTTAGCATTATTATAATACAAACACTGATCGTGAGATGATAGCGAACTTCGTTACTTTGTAAGCGAAAACGTTCTGCCCTTACCGAGTTTAAGGCTTATACAGGTCTTGATGAAGTTTGTTAAGTTACCTTCTGTGGTTATCCAGCACCAAATTATATTTTGATGAGTATTTTGAACAGCTGGCATTTTCCAAACCTTGTTGGATACTGCGTTAGTAACTGGACCTCCAGGTGGTTATTCAGAGGTCTATCATCATGAATTTGCTTGAGCCGGAAGCAAATTCAGGAGACAAAAACTGGTGTTTAGAACCCCTCGATACAGAACTCTGTTTGCTAAAACCAACATGGAAACGTGTTTGCTGCCTCCAAGTGTTGAATAGGTCCGTGTTGGTGATGGAGGTGTTTTAGATAAGCATCGTTCTGGGTATATGAATTGAAGGTTTGCATGGTAAAGCCAGTAAGAGAATAGGTTTGCGGTTGCACTCTTTGACATGAAACCTTATTCGGTGAGCTTGCTTGGTTCCAAGAAAAACCGGTGGAAACTCATCGTTCCAGGCAGTATGCTCTGGCCGCCATCAGAAGGGATTCCAACGGGTGATGGGTGTGAACGAGAAGCGATTATACTGCTGGAAGAGATTATACTTGGAACTCAATGACCCCATCATTGCCGAAGGTAACACTGTTCCTGTTCATGTTGTGATTGAGTCCGCGGTGTGCGGGCGAGGCCGTTCCGTGGTTGTTGGCGGCGGCCAGCCGGCTTCCCGCCCCCTCGGACATCTTCTGCTGCTGCCTCCGTTCCTCCTGTTGCGCCAGGTATTTCGCAGCCAACTTGGTCTCCAGCTTCCGCCGGTCCCGCATGTAATATATAGTTCCTAGGACGAGGACGTTAAGAAGCAAGAGAAAGCCTCCCACCGCAATGACGACGCTGAGCTCAACTTTGAAGTTCTGCTCGGACGGTTCGTCCTGTTTTACAGGGCCCACCGGTATCTCGTTACCCTGTGATACCGCCGCCGATGCGGTGGGTACATTGTTCGGTATCTCATTGCTAGCGTCAGTGGTCCGGGGCGCCGCTGAAGTGGTCAGTGGGCCGGGATCCGAAATGGTGGTCATGCCGGTTGGTGCGGGCTGGGTGGGGGCCACGTAGTGCGGCACCACGTCGGCCGGGAACGCGCGGCTGATCTCTGGCACTAGCTCCTCCCAGAAGGAGATCTTGTGCAGCCGGTAGAAGTCTCGGATCCTCGGGGAGATTCCGATGTGGATGAACTGCTGCGAGCCGTCGTTGTACGTAGGCCAGGGATCCAGGGTCTCGTACGGGAATGCCACCTTGTAATGCCGGTGGATCTTCCTAGGAGTCTGGGGCACTGGTCTATTTGGGTTCCTTCGGGAAAAATGAAATAAATATAAAAAGTTACACGGTCTGGGTTAACCAAAGACGATACTCTCGATGTTTACTTTCTGACAGGATTTTTACAAAGAATTTTCCATTTGCCCATTGTGGTGATTCAGGCATAAATGATTTAATCAAATCAGTTGTATATACAGAATGTTTTCCCGATAATCAATACACCGTCGTGTAATACATTAATTTATAAGCCTGATCATTTTGAACTTTGTAGAAGTTTGCGGATATAATCGGACGCGATTTTACCTTAAATAGAGAAGTAGGTCTCCTCAGAACCACCTACCTAAAGATATCTAAACATTATGTAACAACGTCTCAATACATATCCGCCTTCATTTCAAAGCACAACTCCCGTGGTCTTTTTTTCTGTCTTATCTTATACTTTGGTGACCACTGAAATACAAAGCCAAAAATAGCAAAATATATGTGATATGATGTTGATCAGAGAAAACTGCTGGGCCGGGATCAGAACCTGCGCGAACCGGAATAACTCCTCTTTGCAGGAGGCCAGCCAATTAACACGTCAAAAAATTTTGGTTTATGTATTTGTTCAGGAAAGCTTATGTTAAAAAATTGTAACGAGTGTGTATAAAAGTCTAAGCGGTACAAGGTTGAAGCAATCTAAGACTGGTTGGACCCGAAACTGACGGCCCAGGGAAATTTGATGTTTGCCCCTGTAAGAACGACTGACCCTGTCTTGGCAAAGTTGGTCCAGTAAGTCATGACGGCCAGGCTGACCGAAGCGTCGCCCTTAGTGAAGTTCTCCATGAAGATACCAAGAGGGCCGGGTATCAACGGGGAACCAAAGACAAACGGCATGTCGGACAGGTGAACAGATCCTGGTAACAAATAAATCATAAATTTAGTAAAATGATTTTATCAACATTACAACAAGCAGAGTATCAGTCAAGTCGTCACAGGTCACCACAAGTCAATCATATGCCACTGAGTCTTAACTGACAGCCATTGAAACCGTAACTTAGATAATTAAAGGACTTTGTCAATATACCTTCTTTCGTGTTTCTTGTATAACCTCACTTGTGATTTGACTTTCGATTGAATTAAGATCTGGCTTGTCATTTAGACAGTCTTGCCTCAAATTCTCCACGATCAGCCAACTTTTGTGTAAACGTTGGAGTGAATGTGAAGTTATCAACACTTCGTATATATACATGGAATCATACAGCAACCCCTGCACAACAATCACTGAACTGCCAAAGAGATTCACCTGCCCATCTGGGGTGGGCGTCCATCTTGGAGCGGTGGCCGAAGGTGTAGAGGTACGTGTCCAGTCCCATCACTTCGGCAATCTTGAGTGACCTGATGGCCGGGGTCACCCAGAGGTCATCGGTGATGATGTCAATGGCGCTCTCGCTCAGCGTGAAAGGGTTGCCCTCTCCGCCGCCCCAGTCGATGTACTCGTAGTAGATTGCCTTCTTGATGACGTTACTGGCATTTTTTTTGGGGGGGGGAGGCAATAATTGAGATTATAGAATTAATGTTCCTCCAAAGCTAAGTTGTTGGCTTACAGTCTCAATGGAATACACATCTTAGTTGTCTTCCCATCCTAGTACACCGCTAACGGTAGCCAGGCCAAACAACAAGATGAGTGAAATGAATTGTACAGTCTAGAAATTTAGGGACTATGGATCCCATAAATTCCGAGCATACATTTTACGTGCACGCATTAGCTTAAAATGAGCCACGTGAGATATGCTCAGAATATCTAGCACCAGAGTGCCGAAATTTCCAAGGCTGGATATATTTCATGCATAGCGCCCTCTGCCGCTGAAGCAGCTTAAGCGCTCCGGACCAGCATGTGTTATCTGAATCTCAATCTGGATGAGGTTGGCAAAGCATCCATCAGAAAACATCAACCAACTTGTTGGATTAGTTTGGGGCATGGAGCTGGACGTATTTTCAACAGATTTGGAACCACTGAACAATTTGAGAAGTTCCGCTCTAAACGTTCAGTGAGATGTTTTCCCAGATTCAATGCTACCAGGTGGGAGACCATTCCTATCCTTGATTGTCATGGGGAAGAAACTGTTGTTGAAGGTTCTGGTTCTAGCATTATTGATTCAGTTTGTGTTTATGTCCCCGGGTTAGGCAACAAAATCCTGGAGTAGTCTTTGTTTCCGAATGGGAGCAACCTGTAATACCTACCCAGCATGCATATTGCTACCGTAGTTGTTCTGCACGAACCCGTCCAGGATGTGATTGAAGACCTCGGGGTCCAGCTTACCAGCCCCGTCCGCGTCCTCGCCGACGTACATGAACCCCTCGCTCCTGGTCACTCCCGTCATGTAGGAGCAGCCGGCGCAGCTCATCTTCCTCTGGCCGCGGGAGATTTCTTGGAACAGCACGGCGGGGTGGTCCTCGAGCACGCCGCCGTCCACCGTCGGGGCGAAGGCGTTGTAGTAGAGCGGGGCCTCTACGTCCAGGAGCTGGAACTCCTCGGCTCGGACCTGAAGCGGAAACGTAGAGCCGCACTGTAAATGTACTAAGGCAGAGGAGCTTGGAAAATAGATTTAACCAGAGGTTTGAAGACGACCGATTGAAGTCGATGCTGTGGTCTATAATCGTCCCCTTTCCCTCCAGGAATTTGCGAAATATTATTTAATAGAGGGAAGGAAAACCAGCAAGGGAAAGAGCCTCCATGCATGCGTCAAAGGTCGAGCCATAACCCCTCCCCACCCTCACTTCACCAATTTGCAAAAAACGGCCGGTCGGTCAGCCTCGTGGTACGACACATTCTGGATACACAACTGTATTCTTGGCCCCCCCCCCGAAAGTTTTGTAATAACCAATGCATGACACAATACGACCTCGCCAGATACTACAATCACGAATGATCCTCTCATAAGCTCTCATCGGTGACTTGGCGACCCAGAGCCAACACTCTTCTGCGTGCGTATTAATGTACATGAACTGATCATGGCGCTGAAACTACCCATAATGTTTTGTATAATGCGTTTCTTCACAAATTTTTGTGAAAGAGATTAATTAGCAGTCACCAGGGCCATTGGATAAAAAGGCGTTGGTACGAGTGAAGGCTACATGTATGGCTGAGGCATACCTGTCGTAAGCAGTCCACTATTTGGTAGGTGGTTGGTGCTTCGCAGCCTATCTCGGTGGCCGCCATCTTGGCGAACTTGCGAGGTTCTCTCGTGATTGCCCACGGGGCAATGGCTGAACCACTGTGCGCTATGACTCCAGATATAAGACCTGTGAAGTTAAAAAAGTTATAATCAGAAAAAAACATTTACAATTAAAGCTGCAAACCGTGATTGAAGTTTTAAAGATGTTATACCATTATTGCCGCTACAGTTTCATGTGAAAAGGGCTTAATTAGGCTTCTCGGACGCATTTTTCATCCATAGTATCTGATAGAACGTCACTGGCTCAAAGTGATTGACGTCTCTGTACTTTTGGTGTCAACGTTTTCCAATATTAAATATTCAACCAGGAAAAAAGCAAATATCGTTTAACTGTGACGTTTAAATGTTAGGACTCTTCAGTGGTAACATATTATTTTACAATGGGATGACAAATCAGGCAGCTTTTGTTAACCTAACTGCTCTGAAAGCCAGAAAAGCCCAGAAACTATTATCCATTGTCAAAAAAACACAGAACTATCGAATTTATCATAATTCTAAAACAGAGGTATACCTGAAGTCATATTTGACACCATCAAAATTCCAGCACACGCTGCTCCTGAGCCGACGCCAAACACAGTCACGCGACGGGGATCTCCACCAAAACTCTAGGCCAAAAGAAGGGGAAAAACAGAGATTAACGTTTCAAACGTCTGCAAGTGCTGAACACAGATTACAGAAAGGAATTTCAATTCCAGAAATTGTCACCAGAAATATTCAATTTTCATCACAATTGTTGACGAGGTATTGTGGTAGTACTTATCGGGGAAATAATTTGGTCTAAGTGTTTGCTTGGATATGGTTAAACGAATAAGTTAATTTGTCAAACATTTGAGGTATGTTGTAGGAAGATCCAGGACTGAAACCCCATGTGTGAAATAGCATTTGTTTGGATTCAACAAGTATTAAAGGCTCTGCTTCTTTAGACGGTAATACGTATGTCCACCGTTTGAAAAGTGGCAGAAAGTTGATTTATCGAGAAGTTACTCCTTACAACAGCGTATATCTGAGACACTCCATGGGAAGAAACGAAGCAACCTTAATCCTGGATAATATGATTCATCGTATTGGTATAGAGAGGAACTGACCTGGATGTTCTGGTTGATCCACTTCAAGACCAGTATCTGGTCCAGCAGGCCGTAGTTTCCTCTTGCCGCCCCGTCATTTGTGCTCAGGAAACCTGTAATATACAAAAGGGCAGTGTTTGGTCTCATTATTATACAAAACACGGTGAGGATATATTGGAGCGGGGTTTCGTTGCAATAAAAATTATTGACAGACAGTAGACAGACCTCACTAGCAATACAGAGATCTCTGAGGACACTGAACGTGACCGGAACACACGAAAGGAGTCTGGCATTGACATCTACATTTTTTTTAAAAGGCCTATTGTGAAAACGCCTGACTGTTCTTACTGAACTCCATTGTACAAAAAAAGAGAACACTCAAACGTCTTCCTGGCGACTTGTGACTCATTTTATTGGGTTGAGTAGTCCTCAATACCGAGATCGTGAGGGCATAACTGTGACTATACGGCTATCCATTGTAGTAGCGTGTCAATCCCACATCCAGGGAAAGTCGCATTATTATGGCGTGTATAATTGACATTTAGTCCCAAATGGAGATATCTCTATTTCTAATGGAGAGATATCCTAGTACCCTATAGAGGAGAGATATCGCTATTAGACATAGAGACATCTGTATTAACCGAGGAAATAGAGATGTCTCTATATCTCTATTATAGAAATAGAGATATCTCTATTTTAAATACAGATTTCTCTATTAGAAACAGAGATATCTCTATTAGAAATATTGATATCTCTTTTACATAAAAAAAAATGAGATATCGCTATTAATAATAGAGATAATTTATGTACAGCCACATTTGCTGCCCTAGAGGAAAATGTCAAGTAGGCCTGCAGTTTCTAAAAGTCGAATTGATGAATACATTCTTCCACTCTAATGAACAGTTATCCTGCTGGGACAGACTAGGCCGACAATGCGCACCTATTGACATCAATATAACTCAGACATAAGTAGATCAAGCGATTGAGGGTATATGCATCGTGCGTGATGGGCCCATCTGGCCTATAATAAATACCTATAGCATAAACAAGATCGCGGTTGGGAAACATATGATGAATGACAGTTAAGTCTGCAGGATCCTAATTGACTTCATCATCTATTACACATTCGGAACATGCATTGGTCGTTAATTCGGAGCGAAGTTATGGTGACCCTCTTCTTTTTTTTTATAGCGAGGTCATTAAATATCTAGCTCCCAACGAATGAAGAAAGGAAACAAGAACTCATACTAAACAGGTAGGCCTAATGACACAAAACTGAACAATTTGAGGCAAAGGGGAAAGACGAAGCCAGGGCCTATTAAAATCGTTACAGAAGTTTGCGTGTTTCGTGCTGGGAACATTGGACTAAACAATTAATTTTTGAATAAAACCTAATTTCGGCAAATATTATATCCATGCCCCTGAACTGCATTGACAAAATGATGAGAGAGCAGTTTATTTCAAGAGTCTCACTGCTATTTCCTGCTGCCAGTGGGGGCACTTTTGCTGTAATGGGGTCGCTGTCCCTAATGTGCCACCTGCTCAAGTAGGCTATTGGTGATGTGCCAATTTTGCTAACACTTACCTAAAATTCCGAGACGGTAGTTAAAAGTGACAACAATGACGTCCCCGTAACTGGCGAGTACGCTGCCATCATACATGCTCCCCGATCCTTCCTTAAAGCCATCGCCGTGAATGAAGACCATGACCGGGTAGCCATCGACCGGCGGGCCCGTGTCGTCCCCCATGGGTTCCTCGGCACCGCCGCGGTCACCGCCCTCTTGGTCGCCGGTACCTCCGGGCTGGTCCGCGGGTTGCTCCTCGGCCTCCGAGCCCTGCTGGCTCCAGCTGCCGGCCTCACTCCACGTCTCGGCGTCCCAAGAGCCCGCCGGGTCCTCGCTGCCGGTCACCGGGGGCGCGTCGCCGGCGAAACTGACGCTTCCTTCTGTGTCTGTTTCGGTTCCATCGCCATCTCTTGGTTTCATTTCTGTAAAATATGTATTCGTTAAAGAAACATTCAGTTGAATAAAAACAGCCTGTTGATCCTAATCCAGGCTCTCATGTAGACTTCAGGTTTGTACGTTAGGTCTAGCTATAGCAATTAAATCACGAGCCATAAAGTCTCCATTCAAGTGGCAAGTTTTTGAAATGTAATTTTCTTTGTCCATTTGCTGTTTTTGCAATCAACTTCTGATTGACTCGACTCAAACTCTGAAACACTGTCATTCCTGTCCTCGAAAGAAGGTGACACTTTTTATATTTTAAGCTTTATACGAGTAATGTGTCTTGCTTAAGAAAACGAGCTTCAAAGTTTCTCGGATGAATTTAAATCAACACTTTCACATTTCCCCCTCACTCTCCAGTACTTCAGCTTACTGGCCAATTCAGAAGCACTAAAAGTTAATCTTTGATCAGTGGCTATTATAATTTGCTTAGACCTATATTTTAAAACATCGGATTTTGTTTTTAATAAGGGAATAAATGTGTGCTTGGCCGGTTTAAAATAATCTGTTTAAGACCGGTTGGAGTCTTGATGATGATAATTACCCGAGCCGAAATATCAATATCGGTATAAAAATATCAAAACTTTTCGGTCCAAAAGTCAAAAAGGTCCACAATTATCAATTTCCAACGATTTTGTTTTTGGAACATCCTCTAGCAGTATTATGAATTATCCCACTCGCGAGTATGGAGATTGGCGCGCGCGTCGCGCGTACTGCGCGATGTGGCGCAGAACGCAGCTGTGCCGGTGTATTGTGCATTTAGGACTACGAAATACTGACTCACTGGTAGTATTGCGCATGCCTACGTGAGCATTGTGACCGTTCAACCAATATAACAGTGAAATGCGCCGGATTCCACAGGAGTTCAAATTTCATGCGACACTGGAAAAGTGTTTAAGACCAGGCAGCCGGCCTTTATCGATCGTTTAAAACCGGTCACGTGACGGGCTCTCGACCAACATGAATGGCTAAACTGTCTTAAGTTTTTATGAATGGCTCATGTTGGTAATAGTCTGTATTTAACTTACAATTTAAGACATTTAATCCATTGTTCTTACCGCCATCTAAAATCGAATCTGGGTATCCGAATCCCCGTACCCTAAACGTGTATTAAATGCAAAGGGAGCATGGTCATTGTTTGACAAAAAGGGGCAGAATTCAATGACAAAAAAACAATCGCAGAATGAAAATTCAATAGTACTACTCCTCATTCGTCTTCTGATTTAATTAGGTGCAAATGTCATTCTCCAGACAGTGTTCTCTCTCCGTTGTTCATGCGTAGCATACCACGGCTGAGGAGAATATATAGCATCGGGCAGAAGAGCATAATTCACGTCCCAGATAAGACATTATGAGATTTATTGATCCGGCAACTCAGCAGTCACGCAGCCGGCTCGACGTGCACGATCCCGGAACGGTCCCACGCCGGGCAGAACATTCTAATCTTTCAATCAATTCATGCAGCTGCAGGCAACATTGTCATAAGAAATGTAAGACTTTTTCCTGGAGTAGGTGTTGAAATGTGAGCAATACCTGACAATTGCCGTGATTATAAAGAGTGTGGCTATGGATTTTCCTTCAGGTTTTTTTGTTCAAGACGATATTAGGATGTAATAACAAACTATAATACGAGCCGACATCATTCAGAAGCAAGTCCATCTGCACCACAAGCAATTGACAAGTAGTAGACAAAGCGGTAAGAAACAACAGCTATTTAAACAGCGTCAGTAGAAAAAAACCAGCATCATTTGCAACAACATCAGCAGAAACAGTTTGAGCGATCGAGAGAAGATATTTCAGTAAGCAGCTGCAGTAGTAAAGATCTGCTACTGATACAGCAGCAGCTGTATAGCAGCATTAGCAGCAACATTGAGCAGCAACAGCAGCAACACTGCCAGGACAGCAAACGCAGCAATAAGCAGGTGACACAACAGCAATCAAACAACAGCAGCAGCAGTATAACAACAGCAAAAAAACCTGCAGCGCAAGAAGAAACTTCAGTAAGCATCTGCAGCAGCAAAGGAGGGGGTAACAGCAACTACCAAGTCGGCAGTTGAAACAGCAGCAAACGAAACAGCATTAGCAGCAACAACAGCAGCATCAACATAAAAAAAAACACTGCAAGGCCAGAATAAGCAGCTGACACAGCAGCAAACAGGAAGCGACACCAAGAACAACAGCAGCAGTATATAATAATAACAACAGCAAAAACATCTTCAGCGAGAGAGGACATTTCAGTACGCAGCTGCAGCAGCGGAGGGGTAAAAGCGACTACAATATCAACAGTGGAAACAGCAGCAAATGCAACAGCAATAGTAGTATTAACAGCAGCTATTAAGCAGCTATAGCAAAAGGAACAACATTAGCAGCAATATCAGCAGCAACACCAGCGACAACAGCAGCACAAGCAGCAACAAGCAGCTCACGCAGCAGCAAACAATAAGCAACATGCACTAACACCTACAACAACAGCAGCAGTAGTGTAAAATGCATAGGCAGTTAGCAACTCTAAACAGCAGTAACAGCATGCTGCATCGTAGGTCTACATAGCAGCTGGCAGCAGCTGCAGCAGATACAGTATTGGTTACAGAGTTAAACAGCAGTAGCAACAAGAAGCAAGAAACGGTAAAGTTGAGCAACAACAGAAGCAGGCAAATCACATGTGCTAGCGCCTTTAGCACAATAACCTGACATGGTTTGTATTGTGCATATCAACAATTTACCTTTTTTCAAACATTATTCGTATAACATTACGAATCTTAACCTGCATTTTCAAATTCAACCAATTATGTATAAATTTACATCTTTACGGGATGTCGAAGGGTTACAGCGCCACCTAGAGTTGAACGCGTGCAAAATCAAACCTGCCACTCAGTTCGAGAAACTGAAGAAGAAAAAAAATAAATCCTGATTGAACACTTCTCCCTTTCCTTTGCTATACCCCCACGACTCTATATAGGCACCTCTTTCGGATTCTATCTCCGAAAACTTGGCGCCTTTCTCCTGGAATTAAAATGTTGCAAATTTTACAACACTACCAAGACCCAATTCAAGCATATAGTTTAACCACAATTCTTCATCGTCGCAGCAAATCTTGAGTCTAAAGTAGACGCAAAAGTGTATTTCCTTGCGGAAGAGATATGTGCATCACTTCGTAAGACGACAAATGGGTGCGGCCGGGACATCAGCCTTACAGAAATTGTGGGCATGATGTTAAAATATTGGCACCGAAATAGCCAACGCAGTCTATTCCTCAAAAGTCCTCGTAAGTCAATCAAAAGTAAGCCATCCAGTCTCATGTCAAGTGAAAAGCCTAACCAAATAGCTGCAAATCTGGATTTGTATTCTTTCTTGTTGACAACAACATTCGAGAAATACGATGCAAGACTGCATTCATTTTGTCGCGCATAGAAACACAGCATGCGAGCCAGCTAGCCTCAGATAGGTCCGGAGAGAGACTGGCCTGATTTACCAACTAAAATGATCAGTTAATATTAATTTCCCTTTCTGGTATCGCTGAGTTCAACAATTAATTTGGTTACTACACATGAGTTCCGAACGTGTCATGTTTGATGCAGGCAAACTAAGCCCTTGCGTTGGACCTGGTAAAGAGTTTGGTGTTTTGTTGCATGTGACTGATGTTGTTCCAGTTGTTACACCGTGTCGTTTTTGAGTCATTTCATGCCCTGGAGAATTTGGTTCTTCCTGAACCGAAATGTGAGCCAAGTGCAAGTGCATCACCGCAATAACGCCTCTAGGCAGGTGCTTTCCTGTCCATTTTGACAATCCGTGACCTGATTTGACAACCGAGATTTGTGCATTATAGAAATGAAGTCTTTGGCTGTTTTCCTTCAATTGGAATTCTTGGCACACACATCCAGCAATCACTCTCCCCAACTCTGGACTGATTTCCTGCACTTTTAGTATTGACGTGCCATGCACAACATCTTTGAGACCTTGCACTCTGGAATGATGATCCTCAGCGAGTGATTTTACTTTATAAAGACAGACAGCAAGGGCTGGCTTATTTGGTGTTATGTTGCAAGAGCATGCATGTTTGGATCAATTCTGTCAAAAATCACGAGTAGGTCGCAATAGGCGCCCCACACTTAGAAGTCACGAACAAGCAGGGCTTGGACATTTTGCTTTGAGATAATCATGGATTGTCATTCGCTATTCAAGAAATACCACACCTGTGAAAAAAATTTAGAAATGTACAGCTTCATTTGTGTGTTAGTTTACGTGGTTCAGTCTATTTCGTTGCTATATATTTCAGAACCATAAGTAACGAACACACTAATACATTTGGTTTAGGCCCTATAAACCATAGGCGATAACTTTACTTGAAATGAGTAAAATAAAGGTACTTGGTCTCAAAATAGGATTTACAAAGGAAGTATGCATATGTATTCACACATGCAGACTTTTCCTAAACATTTGTTTATAAATATGGATGGTAAACTACAACAGCAAACAGGTAGGCCCTACGTTAAGTTAGTCTCGAAATTTAGATGGGAGGGTAATAGTTAAGGAGAAGCTGTCCAGGAATTTCGTTGATCCTAAGACAGTATGAACGTAGCATGTCTTGTTCTCAGTGTAACATCCATATCCACTGGGTTTCCCAATTGCGTAACCGTATAATCATCCACTGAGTCACAACAACCATCGTATCTCATTATGTCGGTCGCAAGGGGAGCGCGCCGGTAATGTCGCCGTCATTATTCGGCGGTGACACCGGCTCACCTTTCAGCATTTTTTTCATCCGCACGCCCCTCAGTTTGTTTGTTCTCCCATTTCGCGTACCATGATACGTCTGATCGGGCGAGGAGCGAGGCCCCCGCGCGTGACACGGCGATGCGCGTTAACTAGCCTCACGCACTCGAGCTCGCTGTCGAGTGGGGCTTTTGCGAGCGGCCGCTTTTTTTTTAAGTCAACTGTGTTGCCTCGCGTGCCCCGACTCGGCCGGCCGGGGGCTAAGGGCC